TATCAGTATTCCGCGTAGCAACAACTCGCTACTTCATGTGCCTGTACCTACATTCAAAACGCGTATCGTTGGTTATTCAGCAATCATACATTACTTAATCATTGCAACGATGAAATGCGTTTCCGTAAACATCAAAAACGCCATCTTAACTATATCTTTTACCTTCCTATAAATTACACATGTTTTACTATGAATAAGTTAATTGGTAACAATTCCTAGCTTTACTTCGTATGCATAGGCTTTTAGAGCGTCGTCGAAGCTTATCTTACAAATTATGCATTTACTTAATCATCGCCACTATGAAATGTGTTTCCATCAAAAACGCCATCTTAATTATATCGTTTACCTTCTACCAATTACACATGTTTTACTATGAATAAGTAAGTTAATTGGTAACAATTAAAGGTTATACTTTGTATGTATACAAGTTGTGCATGTCTTACTATAAATAAGGTTATGACCCCACGCTATACTTGCCTGCATAAGAAATTCGAAAAAAACAGGGTGGTCGCTAGAAAAGCAAAAAATTTGAAAGTCAAATCAGATCACGAATAAAATGATTAGGTATAGATTGAATTGGAACGATATCCCACAAGTTAACTTTAAAACGCTACATAGCTTCTATGAGTTAGGGCTGGGCATTTTCGAATACCTTGTGATTTCAGAATCGAATCGAATAATTTTTTCGAATCGAATCTCGAATACTTGAAAATATATAATTGTAAGCGACTTTATTATAGTAATTAGTCCTCTCAACAAATGAATTACTGAAGACATAGAATAAATCACTCAGATAGATTACTGAGCGTTCACACAGAATAACAAACACGTTTTATCAATAACTCACTACAGAAAATAGTCATATGTTAGAATTTCGTTGAAAAAATATGACTTCAATGAAAAAAAAATTGGGGAATTCACCTCGACCATTAGCCGAAAGATAAAAACAAGATGGCGGCGATTCGAAATTCCAGTCTTTACCGATTCGAATAATTTACTATTCGATTCGATTCGAATATTCGATTCGAAATGCCCAGCCCCAATTATAACATAAGCTTTTAAAAAACTTTGTAGAAGTTATACTTTGTAAAAATGCATAGCTGTTTGACAAATTTCCCGTTTTTCTAGCGACCCTTCGTTGTATATTGCTTGTTTCATAGTCATGCATGTTTTACCATAAATGAGCACCATGTAACCAAGCATTCGCTATGCTTCATATGTATAAACGTCGGCACAGCTTAATTAGTTATGCGTCTTACTATGAATAAGAATGTTAACTATCACTGGCTACACGTCGTATGCCCATATAGACATTCAAAACGTTGGGTGATATGGCTTACTTTTCACTTACTCATTTACTTATTATGAATGAACCTTTACCTGCAGACCTGGTAACAAGCACATTCCATACTTCATATGCCCTAGTTATATCGTCTATTGATCTATTCGTTATAAAATCATCTCATACGACATTCTTCAAGTCTGATAGCGATCGCTCGTCACCGCCATAAGTACATATTATGTGGCAATAAACTCTTTGCCTAACTTAGCCGCACAAAACCATGAATATAATGCCACGAGAATTACTAACAATATCGGTCAATTACTAAATCAGTCTGTCAGTGCTATTGGAAGTAGACATATATAAAAGTACAGAACGTAACAATGTCGTCCGTATATTGTTTATTCGGTATACACTTATATAGCATTCTTCTTACTGATAGCCCATGTTTTACTAAAGAACACATCGCCATTCGTATAAATTATGTGGCACTGAACCATTTGCCTCGCTTGCCCTTACAAAGTCTAGAATATGAAGATACGAGACTTACTAAAAATATTGAAAACATATCAGGCTTATTTAATATACACTCCTATAGCATTCTTATTACTGATAACGCATGTTTCACTTAAGAAGGCACAGTCTTACGCGTTGGTGGGATTCAAAATTTTTTGTCAGGCGGTTTCTTCACAAAAGTCATATTTTTCAGCCGGTTCTGTTACGAACAGAACATTGACAGTAACCATTAATGCTAACCGGTTCGCTGATGTCATAAAATTCCGTGAGACGGTTTTATAGAACCGGTGTGAACCGGCTGAATCCCACCACATTATATATGTACATATTATGTGGCACTAAACCAACTAGTCTTTACCAAAGCCCAGAAAGTACTGCTACGATGCTAATAATATTGTAAACATACAACCAAACGTTGCCTGTCGAGTTGCTCGGCAATTTCTATCGCAAGACTTCAGTAACGAAGCGTTGCGGTTTTCATATTTGGGATGTGGTTTATTGATCGAACGCTGTTAAAAATGCGAAGTGAATAGAATGGAATTTCAAAGTTTTGTATAATTTTTTACAGTGATGAATTCTGAAGGAAAGGATAGAGTTAGGATTGAATGTACCAATAGGGAGTTAACTAATTTTATTCGTCTACTTTACATCGAGTTGTGTAAAGGGACGGAAGCCTATGGGCAGGGGGTATATTCACTTGGCTAATACAGACAGTTTCCCGAACTCGTAATAGAACTAAAATAAGGAAAATCGGAATAAAATTATGGCTTAACCCAAACCTGGTACACATACTACGGGAGTACCCATAACTTAATGAACAATGTTATGATTTTTATGAGGATGGGAACGCCCTAAACGAGACTCTCGTCGTTTCATATATATGCAGGTCGGATTACGATACCAGCACTTACCCAGTGTTCAGACAAGGGGCAGTGTTTCACCACACGGTGTAATAAGTATAGCGATTCTATCCATGAGAGTATCCAGGATCTCGACCAAATAGTCATTAAAATAAAACGTGATGTCATTTGACAAAAAGTGACGTCATAACATAAAAATGTGAAATCATTAATACCGTGAACCAGGAAACATATCCAAATCCACCCGTACTTGGGAGGAACCGAAGCTGACTACCGAGCCGCGATACCTAAGGTTCTAATATCTAATTAAAAAGATCGGGAAGTCTAGTTTCGAAACTGCTGTTTTTTGTCGAGAATATAGTTTTTATGGTGCTCCCGAAGTATGCGAACCAAGATGGCGGACATCGGAACATAACATGGTTAACAGGTTAGGGTAAGGCGATAATTTTTTTCCAATTTTCCTTATTTTAGTCCTATTATCAGTTCGAAGACTAGCCAAGAGCCTCCCGTAGTATTTATACCTAAAATTATGGCCTAACCCTAACCTAGTACACATATTACATTCCGATGTCCGCCATCTTGGTTCGCATATTTCGGGAGCCCCGTTTTTATACTGTATTGAAAATTCGTGTCAGAATTTAGATACTTATACGGTGTCGCTGACTCACTTGGTTATTTTCATAACGCTTTGAAACACCACTATCTCATCTAGATATCACTCAATACGTGCTAAAAAAAATGCGCGTGCAGGTTTCTAAAATATCACGACAAGAAATAACGAGTAATTTACAAGCCGCTGCATTCCGCACTTTATGTACTTACACTATTCAACAACCTACTTAACAAGCATTCCTTATTGACCATGGATCACTAAGATGTAGTTGTCAACCTTGGGCATTATTACCAGCGCTCTCTTGTGGCCTAGTCACGTTAGAAAGCCTCAATTCCTAAAACTAAGTAACGTAATCGAATACATGCGTGTGTCAATATATCTGGCCTACTTTCATATTCCCTCAGGGCGTAATTACTCGCGGTAAATATAATTTAATTGCCGCTCTTTCATTTAGGAATGTCGAGTAGGGACGCCTTACATTTACGAGCAAGGGCGGTCATTAACACTGTTGCAAAAAGCGAAAATATTAATATTATTTCAAGGTAAGAGGGTTAACCCATCAAAGATCTCTAGCCCTAACTTCAGACTCCGTGCCCGCAATTATGCTCATGGCGTACTAACCTGGGTAAACAAGGCCAGGAAGGTTCCGGATGGCCAATATTAGACCGAAGACTTATTGATCGAAACTGCGGTTTCGATTCATGACTCTATAGTGACACCGCGTGTCCCATCACTAATTAATTAATAACTCATTAATTATACGATATAATTCATCCAAAATCAATAGGCTTCTGGTCCGAGATATGATGAATGCACATGCATCACGCGTGCATCTAACAGACAGACAGACATACAGGCAGACAGACAAATACCTATCAACATACTTATCGATCTAAAGATCGATAAGTAAAAGAATAGCTCGTGGAGTTCATGGGTTTCTGTAATGGATTCCTGGGGCTCCATAGAACTCCGAGAACCCACAGTCTATGGCACTATCTGAACAGCGAATGCCACTAAACTCAAAATTGGAACCTCACCATATATCTTACTATATAGAAATTATTGCTGATTCTTAAATGCTACCTCGACATTAACCAGACATTTATCGCTTGCTCCTGGTACTCGACACTCGAGTAATTTCAAGAGCCCTCAACAAATGTTAATGTGTTACTGCTTGCTCTAGGCTCGGCAATGTGGCGCGTCGTGTCAATCGTTAGGAAAACCCGTACGCTCGCCACCGCGCCTCTGATTTCCTGCTTGCGAAGGTTCGAATCCCACGGGAGATAATTATATGTAAAAAGGATTGTTGGACTCCTCTTCCACGTAGTGTGGTTCACGTAATCTCTTGTCGGTTACGGCTTCATACGCCATCAAGTCCATGCATCTGAAAGCAAATAACTGGCTTATTAATCCTATACTTACATGGACTGGTAACCAGATGAGAGGCCATGGTTTGCCATATCATTAAGCCGTCTTAACGGCTTTCCTCTCCCCGGAATTTCTATCATGATAAAATATAGCCCTCGTGTTTCTGGTATATTTTCTTATGTGCTTTACCACCTTCACTCAAAAAAAAGCCTATTAACAAGCACATATGAAGCTTCTAATCATTCAATAATACATTTCAATATCACGTTATATTTTAATAATTTTCACATAATTATGTCGTCACACTGCAAAAGTAAAAATTTGCTAAAAAAAAAAAATAGAAACCTAAAATACCCAAAAAATCAAAATTGCTAGTCGAGAACAATGAACGAAAAAATATTGATTTGTGACGTCATAATACTGCGATAAAATTTCTGAAAATAGCAGCATTTTTTTCGAATTTTATCGTAAAAATGAATTGTAATAAGGATGGATGCGCACATTGGCGGAATTGTGATTCCATAAGTCAGAAGCATTGCACGAAAAGTTGGAAGAATTTGGTGAGATTGTGGAGAGCCCAGAAGCTGTGTGATGTCGTGATTGTGGTGCAGGGTAAGGAGAGAGATTTTATTCACAAAGCGTCTTATATATTCATTCGATTGGGACTCTGGACCTGACAGGGTCAAACTGCGGCCCGCGAGCCAAATTCAGTCTGTTTGATAATTCAATATGGCCCGCCTAATGCTGCCACAACCAAATCAAAATCAAATTTTGATGTTTTAGCTATAAAAATAGGTCAAGTAATTTGTTGAGATTGCAATTAAAATTTAGTTTCAGCACGAGTTTCCACTTTCGCTTTTTTAACACTGTAAATATTTTTTATAAAATGTAACTGTTTATGCCACACTTACATGACCTGCCAGTCTAGACGGGGAAAATTGTTGGCCCCTGTTCAAAAACATTGCCTATATCTGCACTAGATCAGAGGTACACTGTTTCTGTGACTCATGGAACCCTACGTGACTCGTAACATACATGTCTTTGAATGCATTTATTTTCTTATTGGACACGTTTAGTGGCCATAACGATCGTTTCAAAATTTTGTTGTTATTGTTATTTGTCTCCGTCTGGTTGTGGTTAAAGATAAAATTTTTCTCCAGAAGGCTATTACTTTTTTTTTTCGTTATGACGTCATCAAAATTATTGCCACTGGGTGGCGCTACGTGTCCATATATTTGAGCATAGCTCTCTTGTTTGTTATGGCACCATCGACTTTCAGTAGGACATTCTGTGTTTGAGGAATTATAGTCTTTCCAACAATTGTAACTGGGATTTGTTACGAATATATAAGTGCGGAAGTGTAACATAAAATGTATCAACGCCTCCTGGCAAACCTTTTCTTCTCGCTACAGATTGGCATTTCTGCCTCTTAGTTACTTTTCTAGCAGAAACGCATCTTATTTTAGGGCCACATAAAATGATTAAAACTTATGTCAGTCCGTATTTCTAGAGCTGTGTAATTTGAAGACAAAGTTTGGAGGGTGTTTCACTTGTATTGTCGTCGGTAACGTATTCGCTGTCATTGATGAAATTGGCAACCCCCAATATTTGCCTCGTTAAAATTATGTTACCCCAGGACTGGGAGTCTAAATCGGAGACAAACGTACTTGATATTTCAGCAGCAACTGTACAGTTAGTCTACTGACCAACTGCTACACTATGCATGAGATATCGAGAATATTTGTTGATCGGATTTTAATTGACGAGAGATTTATAACTGCACAAATCAATGGATGTTTCCTCGACCCTTGAGCCAAGAAAAATTCTCTCTATACTTTACTATTGCAAACTTCTGGATGCTTATTTTGCGAGTGTTTTGAAGAGTCGACACTCTCCCAGGATAGAGAGACTCACTCGGAGACTAACGTACACGTTTTTGAATGGCTTGGCTTCAGCGACGGCCGTAATTTTTCACAAATTTGCAATTACACAACTGTGAATTTCTCTACTTGAAACCTGTATTCCTTTTCAGACAAACGATTCCCGTGTCATGGTATCGTTCCAGCATCTACAAGTCCGTTCTTCAGGAACGCTTTTCTCCGAAAAAGCAAAATGTCGGCCACTGACTCCATGCTTTGTGAGAAAGAAGTGATCGTAGATTTCATGACGAAAGAGATTTTTGCTCAGGTTCGATTAATCTGTTTCTATTTTATCGCGTCTGAATTCACGTTGAAATGCCATTTTTTTTTCATTCTGCATGTACAAAAAGTTTTTTCAGTACGGTGGAAAATAAACTACTAATTACTGATATACTAGACCAGGGGTTCCAAAACCAGGGGTCGCGACCCCAAATTGGGTCGGAGTGATAAGTAGGTGGGGTCGCAAACAGGTCATGGGGTCGGTGGGGTCGCTGAGGTATGGTGGAGGATGAATGTACAAAACATCTAAGATTCGACAAACCATGTTAACTTTAGCAGCTTGTACCATGGCTTACTGTAAAACAGGCCCATAGGCATCGCTCTATGCTTATGCTATAGAAAATGTAGGTGCTCTTTGCGACATCACTGTTTGGTTTTAGCTTACTTTACTTAATATCACCACATGACCAAACTCAAAAGTCCAGTAAGAGAAGCTTCAAAGTTTCATGAAAAATATATATATTGACCTGGGGTCGCACTGGACACTTGAAAGTTGTTATTGGGGTCGTTCTAAGAAAAGCTTGGGAACCCCTGTACTAGACTGTGGCAACGTTCTTGCACTGCGGACTGGTAAATCCATATCCATGGCCTGCTAACGGCATTCACGGCCACAAATAAACATGGGGTAGAATTTCAGGTGCTCCCGAAGTATTCGTACCAAGATGGCGCACAACCTTAAAATAGCATGTGTACCAGGTTAGTGTTGTTCAGGTTGTGCGTCATCTTGGTACAAATACTTCAGGAGCGCTGAATTTTCTAAACCACGAGTTATCTAATGATTCAGCGATTAGTTCACTACACTACTCGGTATCATACAATTTGAGTTGTTGGAAAAAGAATTTGCATTTATGTGTTATCCGTTTAGTAAATGACCTATTTTGTCAAAATCAACGTAGGCCAAAAACATGAAATATGACAATTTCAAACTCTAGCAGCATATCTTTCCGATTAAGGGGGCGAGATTTTCTTATTGATAATTATTGCATCATACACAAAGCTTTAGCGGGGAAAGTGGGGAATAAGCTGACAACTTACTCGAATGTATACGATCTTCATTCTAATGTTCCTCAGCAAATTACCAAATTCATAGATACTCCATTTGGATGACTCGGGTCTTTCCGAGCCTTTGATAAATAAACAACCGTCAAATCATTTACTCATGCCTACCTGGTACTGCCAATAAGTACTTAATAATACCGAACCGCATTTAAAGAGATAAAATATATTACTATTAATATTTATTCCGCAATGAAAACCTTATGTTTGTTGTGTCTCAATGAGACGAGATGCCTCCAATTTAGACTCCAATGACTTCTACTATCTATCCGCGATTTCTGGACATAGTACTGTCCCTTTGAATCAGTTTAGACCTGAAATAGTAGTTTTATAAAATGCATTTAATATTGTATCATTGAATTCATTTTATTAATTGCTCAAAGGGCTCAAATTAAAAAAAAATGACATGAGCAAATATAAAAAACGACATTATAATAAAGTCGGTTTGTTCGACAAAGCATATGGTCCCACATAGCGTCGATATTTGTGCCTATGTGTTTATGCAAGGACTAAACATGCGAAATACAAGTGATACATGAACAATCCAACCCCTCTAACAAGTATATAAGTAAGAAAACTCCATAAGTAAGCCTCAAGCTGAATAGGATAGGATCTTACTCATCTCAAGGAGAGGCAATAAGATATCTTAGTCAGAAAGAGACTTAAATATACTTAATGTGTTATCACTAGGGCTGGGCATTTCGAATCGAATATTCGAATCGAATCGAAGAGTAAATTATTCGAATCGGTTCAGAGCAAAATTTCGAATCGCCGCCATCTTGTTCTTTTCCTTTCGCCAATGGCCGAGGTGAATTGCTCAATTTTTTTATTAAAACCATATTTTTTCAACGCAATTCTGACATATGAATCTTTTCTGTAATGAGTTATTCATGAAAACGTGTTTTTTATTGTGTGTGAACGCTCAGCAATCGTTTCCAGTATTTTATGTGTCTTGAGGACCCAATACAAGCAGAAAGGAACGTACAATTATATATCTAATATAGTATTCACTATAGTATTCGAAATTCGATTCGAAAAAATATTCATTTCGATTCTGAAATCATCAGATATTCGAAAATGCCTAGCCCTAGCTATCACATATTGTAACATGCAATATAAGTGAAAATAAGATTGGAAGATTGGATACTCTTAACTCAGACGTTAAGCTTGGGATAATACCACATGTCGGTGCCTGAATGACGTACCTCCTCATTTCTCTCTTTTCCACAGGTTCTAAACTTCATGTACACAGCCGATGTCGACGTGAAATCAGACAGAGTGAGATCCCTGATTCTGGCAGCGGCAAAACTTGAGATGCAGGGAATGGTGAACGCAATCATGAGAAATATACTAGATTGGGAGATTGAGCAGGAAAACCTCGGTAAGAAAACCAACAGAGTGAATCGCTTTGCTTATTGTTAATGAGAGTTTTCACTGTATAAAGATGAAAGAAGCCGCTAGGAGGCTATTACTTTTATTGGACACGAAATGGACCAATGGGTCATATGTTATTACGTTGTTGATGATCATTATGTTGTCAGCATTCCATTCTTTTTGTGGAAAAATAGCTTTTCTTATTAACTACTGTACAATTGCTTTGAATTTTCAGTGGTTAAATATGGTATTTTTCGCTAGAAGGCTATTTTATTTATTTTAAAACTTTATGAGTTTTTATTTTTTATTTTTTTTCTATTGTTTTCATATAAGTAAAATTATAGACAAGCGTATAAATTGATATTACAAATGCATAACATATTTATTTAACATGATTTCACAATTTCAACTATGACATATTATTCCACTTTTTATTATGTAACGGTAATTGGCCCCGGTTAATTGCATACCTTTTCTCGCTTTCTTTTACACTTTGAATAAAGTCAACAAAAATGCCAAATATTGGAAGAATACGTTGCAGCTTACATCGATATATAAAAAAACGAGCACAAATTAATATACAATTGATTAACATGTTATTCGGAGGGTTAAAATAACCTAAAAAACATTCTTTTTTGTCCAGAGTAATTGCCGGATTGTCAGTAATCAAATATAAGTATTGATTAACTAGTGCCCAAAAATCTTGAGCGATTGGACAGTCAAAAAATAAATGAAAAAGGTCTTCAATTGCATATTTTACAAAATCCACATAGATTTGAATTCGCCACGTTAAATCCATATAAAATATTATTTGGCACAATAGCTTTCAGAAAAATTTTAGTTTGAAAAGATCTCAATTTAGTTTCAATCGTTGAATAGTAATTATTTGAATAGTATGACAGCCAATCAAAGTCATTAGGTAAATTTAGATTTTCTTTCCAAAACCTCTGTTGTTTCTCCGGTGGAATAAATTTATTTTCTATAATACGTTTATACGACGAGCGGCACGTACTTTCACACAATGTACTTGATAAAAATTCATCAAAATCAAACATGAGATTTGTTCCTTGTGTCCGATTACGTCCTCAAAAATGGCGCACCTCGTGGGGATTACGTTGGTCATGAAGTTTGCGGTACGTTTTGGATTTCGTGTCCACATATTCGAGCATCGCTCTCTTACAAATACAAATGCTTGTGCAGAATAAATTTAAAGTGAATTTAAAAATAATGGATTTAACCTGTGGGTGCTTTTTTAGAGTCGGGTGTGGTAACTCTGCAAAAATAGCAGCTTATCCTTATAACCATAGTTTTAAAATTGCAGTTTTTTGTAATCAATTAATGTCTCAATATATTGCTACAAAAGCATATTTAAAATAAATTTAAAGATGTTGCTCTTAACCCAGGTGCTCACCATCTCATTCTGGATTTCCTTACTAATCTACGGATGCTTATTACTTATCGATTTTAATCGGTAAGTATGTTGATAGGTATTTGTCTGTCTGTTAGATGCCCGCGATATCTCACGAAAGCGAGGTTGAATCTGCTTCAAATTTTGCATGTGCATAATAATATCTCGGATCAGAAGCCTATTGCGTTTGGATGAATTATGTCGTATAATTAGCGAGTTATTAATTTTTTAGTGATGGGACACATGGTGTCACTATGGAGTAAAAGCGCATGAATCGAAACCGCAGTTTCTGTTTTGGGGGATCCCCTAACTTTCGATCGATAAGTCTTCGGTCTCTGGAAGATAGTCTCGTTTGCAGGTTTTACGATATGGAGGTCAAAATTAGAAGCTTATCTCTAGAACACTAAATTCTTGAAACCCATAATTTTAAAATTACAGTTATTAAAATTGTTTTATGTCTCAATATCTTCTGTAAATTTCTGAAGGGTTACATTGCCACCAATAGCTCCACCTGACTGTAATTAATCCAATTCTGGTATCGATATAAAATGCCAACCAGGGAGGGTGGTTTTGCGCTTCGTTGAGATAGAAACGAGAATATCTGTCAGAGACCGAAGACTTATCGATCGAAAGTTAGGGAATCCCCTAAAACATCGCTCTTACTCCATAGTGACACCTTGTGTCACATCACTAATTAATTAATACCTCGCTAATTATACGACATAATTCATTCAAAATCAATAAGCTGGTCCGACATATGATGAATGCACTTGCGAAATCTGGAGCAAATTCAATCTCGCTTCCGTGAGATATCGCGTGCATCTAACAGACAAACAAACAGACAGACAACTACATATCAACATACTTACCGATCTTAAGATCGATAAGTAATAAACTTTGGGCAAACGATTAGCATATCGTATATAGAAATAAGAATGTGTGGGGAAATCGTCGTTTCGCATATGGTTTTCTAGCAAAATTTACCAGCCCATAAAAAGCAATTGATAATTATAGCATTCATATTGGAGCATTTCCGAAATATTACCACGTACAGTCAAAATTCTATTGACGACCGGACATAAATTATTCAACGCATCAATGGAAATAGATCCAGGCTTGTGAAACTCATGAACTTGTCAGAATTCATCGAACTATGGGCACGCCCTCTCGCCACGCCTTCTTTGGGCTTGAAAAGCCATTATCACGCCACATTCTGCTTCGTTGATTTTTTTATAATCAATGACTACTCCTTGCTTAAATAAATGAAAGTGAACCAATTATGTATTATGTTGACTTTTCAATATTTTTAGGGAAGACAATCGAAAAGCACACCATGCATCACAAGAAATCTCCGGCCGGTGCCGCTTGTCGAAGATTGGGCCCAGGAGATACCGGCGACTCGGAATCAGACATCATGGTAAGCATTAGTAGTGCTGGGTAGATATCTAGGCTTGTCCATGGGAATGGGATAGCACAACTTTGTATTTCCCATAGGACACGAAAACCGTATGATTTTTGGGGAAATGATGGTGAACATTTCGTTATGGACTTCTTATTCATATATTTTAGCATATCTCTCTTCTCAGCTATAAAGAGCAAAATACATTCAGCCTTAACAATATACTTCGTGAAGGGGCTGATGAACACATGTATAATAGTTATGGATATAAAGTTAACGAAGTCCGTAAATTTTGTTGTTTTGTATGTCTTTCCGTACATGTAGTCCTGTTTAGTAGTCGCTAAACCTAAATTTAACTATTTTTATTGAATTGTATTTCAATGGGAATCCTATGGGATGGGACAGAATAAATGTCGCGTGGACAAGCCTGTAGATATCTCTAAACCCCAAGTCGGGGTAACGGGTCATCCGAGTCTCGAGTGAATCATTGAGTTGAGTCTCACTGGCGTCATTCTTTTAGATCATGAGTATGCAACCTTCAATACAGGAGGGCCAGATACGAATAACTTGTGACCGTACATTTGAACCCATGTACATTTGAACCCATGCGTATATCCACGGGTTCAATCTATATGCGGGTGCTAAAACCCATGGGTTAGAGTTAGTATGGGTTTAACTATCCGTAAAACAACAAAAAATCCATTGGTGCAATAGCATACAGGTGCAATTGTCATGGGTTCAAATGTACGTGGGTTCAAATGTAATGGAACCCGAATAACTGGGTGAAACCGTTGTCGAACCTTTTTCTAACATGGGCTTTCTAGCAGTTGCAGACGCAAAAATATTGGATATTGATCCTGTACCAAGCGTTGTTCGTTTCGCACAAGGTAGCTGTTATGGCATTGTAAACGCACGCATTAGATTAAACAAAATTAAAAACTCGTTTCGCGCGCAAAACACCATTAAAAATTGACACATTTTCCTTGGGGGCCGTTGCACACCCCTGTTTTAGAAGATTCAAGGGAGCTCCCGAAGTATGCGAACCAAGATGGCGGACATCGGAATGTAATATGTGTACTAGGTTAGGGTTAGGCCATAATTTTAGGTATAAATACTACGGGAGGCTCTTGGCTAGTCATCGAACTGATAATAGAACTAAAATAAGGAAAATTGGAAAAAAATTATCGCCTAACCCTAACCTGTTACGTTCGATGTCCGCCATCTTGGTTCGCATACTTCGGGAGCACCGATTCAAGTCTCTTTGCGTATTTGATAACGGCACAGACCTCCCCAAAATTGATCCTCGGGAGAATTTTAATTGATATTAGAGTCAGAGCCAGTTTTATGGGAAGGTATTTCGACATTTTATTTACGATTAGTAATAAAACATTTCAAATATTTGTATTATTATTGTTTAACTCAAATTGTACGAAAGCCAGACTGCAAGTTGTGCGTGACACTAGTTTTTATTTATCAAATAATGAACAAAATAGGGAAACAGGAATTTTATGCAAAGTGAGAAGAGAATAAAGGTATTTCAGCCCGAATTTTGCTTTCTTTCTGAATTAACTGTTCGCAGAATTATATTAAAGTTTGGCTGACCATTGCCATGTCTATACAATTGACCGTAATTTGTTCATTTTTAAAATACTAATATCTCTCAAACTAAATTTCAGGACGCGCCTATACCAGGCAAAGGGCTTCAATATCCGAGTGAAAAGTTAACGGTTTGCGGACTGATGGATGAGTTGAGATTACAGGGAGATCTGGCAACCCTGACTTTTGCTCAAACCTTTGCAGCAAGGAACTTCTCGAAGATCAGTGCAACGCAAGCATTCTTGTGAGACAATTTTTTGAAAAGCATTCCGTAGAAATTTGCTAAAGTTCTTGTTTCTTGTTTGTGAACTAGCTATTGTGTTGGTTATAACCGTGTTGGCTCCGAAGGTTAGGTTTCTTGGTTTTAAGCCCAGGGCAGTAGTCCTAAACCGCCCGTAAAAACCGCCCGCACCCGCAAGGTGGGCCACCACGCAGTCAGCGGGGAACCATAATAATAGGCCCAAAACTGGTTTAAAAAAAAACTGTTTTTTCCCGTGATTCCCTTTCCCTCAAGAAAAATTCTCCGCTCTTCTTAGTTTTATTGCTTGATAAAATTATTTCTCTTTAAATGAATTGTTTGAACATAATCGAATTTGGAGTCTACCAATCAAAATAACACTATAAATACCACTGGAATGTTGAACAGTCTATCTATACCAGGGGTGGGCAAGGCAATTTTGCCCACCTAGACTGGCGGGCCATGTAAGTGTGACGTAAAAAGGTAAATTTTATGAACAATATTTACAGCGTTACGAAGCAAAGGTGGAAAACAATATGCTTCGTGCCAAAACCAAATTCAACTGCAATCTCAACAAATTTCTTGAGCTATTTTTAGCTAAAACATCGAAATTTGATTTCAGTTTATTTGTGGCAGCATTATGCGGGCCAGATTGAATTTCCCAACGGGCCGGATTTGGCCCGCGAGTCGTACTTTGCCCATGTCTGGTCTATACCATAGCACGGATATCGAGTAAAAGTCCCTAAACCCTTCCGAATCGGGTCACTCACTTCACTCAGATCAGAGCTACTGAATTGGGCCATCGCGGAATGGCTTTTCCGTGTAAAAAAAAAATTCTTTGTTCAGATCGGCTTCAGTCCACACAGTCGCCTCTCTTCTTGAGGACGACAGACTTAACATGGAAGAGTTCTTGGTTTTCCAGGCTCTTAGTCGATGGCTTGAGGCAGAACAAATGCATTTGGTTCACGGGCCATATTTGCTGTCAAAGGTAAAAAAGTAAATTTTTATTAATGCGTGACTTTGTCAAAGTTTGATGCAGAACTAATGCATTATGTTCACGTATTCGCTGTCAATGATGAAAAAGTAAATTTTCATTGTTGCGTGACTTTCTCAAAGTTGAAAGCAGAAAAGAGCATTTAGTTCACGGGCCTTATTTGCTGTCTAAGGTAAGGAAGTAAATTGTTATTGTTGCGTGACTTTGTCAAAGTTTGAGGCAGAACAAATGCATTTAGTTCAAGGGCCTCATTTGCTGTCAAGGGTGAGGAAGTAAATTGTTATTGTTGCGTGACTTCGTCAAAGTTAGAGGCAGAACAAATGCATTTAGTTCACGTTCCTTGTTTGCTGTCAAAGGTGAGGGAGTAAACTTTAATTGTTGCGTGACTTTCTCAAAGTTTGAGGCAGAACAAATGCATTTAGTTCAAGGGCCTTATTTGCTGTCCAAGGTGTGGAAGTAAATTCTCTATGTTGCGAGATTTTGTCAATGATAGAGGCAGAACAAATTCGTTTAGTTCGCGGGCTTTATTTGCTGTCAAAAGTGAGGGATTGTAAATTTAGGTCCCTGTTATAGGCGTGGCGTCGCAATTTGACATGTTTTTACTAGAGTCATATTTATAAAATCCTTGTAGTCGGGAATTGTAATTTTACATCCTCCAAAATAAGAGTTGGAATTTCAGATTTCAATGTAAGTACTCCCACAGAAACTCATAAAATTAAGTCAACTAATCGTAGTTCAAAAACTTCGGACCTGCGATCCGAGTCGACATTTATTAAAACTCGGAATCATAGGTTAACATATTAAACAACGCATTTGCGGTCTTTCATCGTGAACAAGGCTTTGTAAAAGCGCCACTAACATGTGTCTTCTTTTCAAAAATTTCAAAAGTCTTGTGTTCCGATATTCAATCGCATGTTTTGATGTTTATTCTAATTAATTGGAGCACGTTCATATGACATTCGGTACAATTCTGTTGATATTTACCTGTAATTTTAATGACACCGCGGTGGCCACATCAGTTATGTGATTACTCTTTTGTTAAGTACTATAATTCAACCCATATTCACCTACAACTGTTAGCACCCACCGAGAAAACCCACTGATACTCATTTTTTTGTTTCCAAAATACGAGCGCAATATTCCACCCAAAACCCTTTAGCTTTTAATATTAAAAGGGCACACTTTTATATGACATTCGATATAATTATTCTAACATTTGGTTGAAATTTACCGGCATTGCGGTCACCATATTGATCATGTGACTTTCGTGTCTATATTTTTGAGCATTATCCTCTAAATCTGACATGGGAAAAATACGGTCCGCGTGCCAAATCGGGCCCGATGGATAATTCAATCTGGCCCGCCTGGTGCTGCCACAGCCTAGCTAAAGTTAAATTGTGATGTTTTACCTAGAAAATAGCTCAACGAATATGTTGTGATTGCGGTTGAATTCAGTTTTGACACGAGGCTTATTTTTTTCCACTTTTGCTTTTGTAACACTGTAAATAAAATTCTGTTCATAAAATGTAACTTTTTACGTCAAACTTACATGGCCCGTCATTCTAAGTGGGCACAATTTTTGTCCCTGGTCCAAAAACCATGCCCACCGCTGCTCTAAATCGTCTCGTTCTACCTAGATTCGCCTGCAACTACTAACACCCACCGAGCTCGCCGATCACGTTGAAACGAAAGATTATCTTATGCGAAAGAAGAAATCCCGCGTTCTGATTTTAGAAGCTTTTCGATTCCATTGCCTAAAACGATCAGCTGAAATGAACGGAATTGACCCTCCACCTCCGAGAGGCCAAAGAAAGCGAATTGGGGTCTTAAGGTCAGTGTAGGGAAGAAATCCGCCCTTAACTATGCAGGGATCCATGCGAAACGGATTGGCTAGGCGGTGTGGCGCATCGTGCTAAGCGTTAGAAATACGCTCGCCACCGCATCTCTGATTACCCTTCGTGGGTTCGCAGGTTCGAATCCCATGCGGGGATGATCATGTACGGGTGGATTGCTGAACTCCTCGTCGCCGTAGGGTGGTTCACGTAACCGCTGTTTGGTTACGGTTTCCTCTACCATTAAGTCCATGCTTCCGAAACCAAATAACTGGCTAACTAATCCCATGCCCGACCTGGACTGGTAACCGGACGAGAGGCCGTGGTTCGCCATATGATTAAGCCGTCTGATCGGCTTTCCTCTCCCCCGGGATAAATATGTGAATCCTATCCTATCCAAACGCCCGATTTGGGTTAGGATACTGATAGTAACTTGATCGAAAATGAATTACATTTCCACACATTACATAATCACATTTTATTGCCTCTTAACAAAGTACACAATTAAGATCAAAGTAACTTCTCTTTGCGAGTGTACACTATAAACACATGATTATAGTTTATAGCAGCTAAATTTAATGATCTTTCTCTAAAATCAGTGTGGGATGGCGGGGCGCATAGGTTGTGGAGAGCTAAGGTCGGCCCGGGGAGGGGAGACTCGAAGACATTGAATCAAGTCGTCATTTCTCATAGACTAAGCGTGACGAGTCATCTAAATGCAGTGATTCGGACTCGAGTCGACTCTAGGATAGGGTGAACCGTGATTCGACTTCTCGTAAATTACTCGTTTCTTGCAGTCCAGTAATCTCTACCTACAAACTCAGCTAAAGCGATTTATAAAACAGGCCAGATGATTCCGACGCCGATGATTGGACAGTTGGTGAGGATGGGCAACTATATAAAGACGAAGCGTCTCCATACTGCCCCGTGCGGCCTTGTTCGTGTTGCCCTAACTACATACTGGCATCAGGAGGTGAAAAATATTGCTTTGCAAGATTCTGTTTCCAAACGTGCTGTCAGTTATAGTCAAAATCGTTTAATTTAGAGCCCAAAAGGCTAGGGTTGTGCAATCGGAATTTGCACCCGACTCCAACGTAACAAAAAGCAACTCCGACTCAAAATTTGAAAATTTCAAATCAATTGGTTCGGTAGTTAATGACAAAAGCGATTTTTTTTCACAGTATGAAAAGCAATACTAACAAGGCGATCAACATAATGACAAACAATCCATTGGTCCATTTCGTGTCCAAAAAAGAGATATGTTGTTAGTAGCCTACTTCTCACTGAAAATCGAAACGTGTCTCAATAGCAGGCATTGACACAAAATCGAAAATTGCAACACTGTAAATAAATTTCTGTTCATAAAATATAACTTTGCACGTCACACTTACATGGCCCGCCAGTCCAAGTGGACAAATTTTCGGCTCCTGGTCCAAACACCTTGCCCACTCCTGTGCTAAAGACTATATTCGAAAAATCTGCGATATGCTTGTAGTAATATTTTCTCAAAATCAAATATTTTTTTGCAAACAGGTATCGACACAAAATCGAAAAGTGCTTCGGATGGCGTCTACAAATACGAGGAGCGAGAGAACAGTTGGTCCAGGTTTGCTCGGCTGCAACAACCAAGGAACCACCACGCTGCTGTATATTGTAAAGGATATTTATATATTCTAGGTAACGTACCCTTTGCTGCATAAAAATCAACGCTGGTTGCTGTAGTACAGCGTTTCCCAAACTGTGTTCCACGGAACACTAGTGTTCCGCGAGCGTCTTCGAAGTGTTCCGTGGATAAGGAATCAAAAATACGTCTAAAATGGTCGCCATGGGGATTTAAGGAACGTGAATTGTCGCCTAACTGACCGTTCAATATTGCAACGAAAATATCGGTCGGAGGCCGAAGACTTATCGATCTTAGATCGGTAATTAACTCGCTAATTATACGACATAATTAACCCAAAATCTATAGGCTTCTGGTCCGAGGTAAGATGCATGCACATGCAAAATTTGGAGCAGATTCAACCACGCGTGAGATATCGCGTTCATCTAACAGACAAACATACAAACAGACAAACAGACAAATACCTATCAACATACTTACCGATCTTAAGATCGATAAGTAACTAGGGTGGGGTAGTGGCATTTTTGTTAACCGTCGGCCTAGCTTTTTGACTTTTAAGTTCGTCATCAGGTTTTGGTTTTGCTATAGGCAAACAAGTAGGTGTATAGAATGAAGAAAAAAGGTCAACTCTTCTTCCTCCATCTCTGCCTGGTTTTACTTTGAAATTCTGAAAAAATCCCTCATTTCCGCTAAATTCTATTCAGTACATAGCCTATATGAACTGCATGTCAGCAGCTCACGAAAGTGGGGCAAATACTTTTATCTTCATTAGATGTAACATTGGAGGAAAACACTACGTAATGGAAAGTAAACGACATAGAATGGTAAAATGAATGGATTGATTCATATACACAACATATGAATTAAGAAACAATAAAACATTTATGTATAATAAATGCAATATGTAAAATATTCAATCATATTCAGGTATGTTTAACACAATGTTATTAGTTTTCGCGGCGCATTTGGCAACCTGCCGCGAGAACCCATTGGGAACCGCTACATTACCCCGTTTTTCTTTATAAATTTGACTCTTACATTTTTTGGTGTTCCGCGAGGCGAGATAAAAAGCGTAGGTGTTCCGTGGCCGAAAAAGTTTGGGAAACGCTGCTGTAGTATACAAGTATTTTTATAAGGCGTTTACTTTCACTTCTAACGAGGCTTTGTACACGCAGTTACTGACTAAGTAAAGTTATAGTATGTTTCCCAGATTTTCATTCTAGGGAGGAGTGGGAGGTCCAAATTTAGATATTGTTTGAAATTTTAGCGGTATAGAGGAGGATGTGTGTGTGGAGGTTGTCATGAGATTTGGAGCCGAGGTCTTCAAAGTGTGACACAAACTTAGTTATGTCCAACAGTCGAAACACTCATTAAAACTGAAGAAAATTTCCGAAGAAAAAACAACAACTAAATAATCATTATTCTGACGAAACATCGTCAACAGAGATTTAAAAAAAGACATGCATGCGCCAAAGCATTTAGTTTTTCCGTATTTCGGAGTTGTAAATAAAACTCAATCCGGTTCAATACATCATTTTAGGCTATCCATTCTCGCGAGAGACGTAGGCACATTCCTCCGCTCTATAACCGATTGGCCTGTCGGGCCAGATCCGTCACATTTAAATCAGAAGTTGAAGAATTAGATAGAAGGTCCAGCGCTTATACCGTTGTCGCAAAATAGTTCAATGTAGAACAGTGGTTTCCAAAAGGTGGGGAGTAGACGATTTTATTAAATAATAAAAAATAAAATATATTATTAAAAAATATTGTTAGATTTGATCTTGCCCGCCTTATTTTGGATATTTACATTTCTTTAATTCTGGGTTTTTACGTTTCATTCACGTAATTCCATTGTGTTTCTTGGATAAAACACACTTTCGCCTTACTATCTGTTATTACTTATCGATCTTAAGATCGGTAAGTATGTTGATAGGTATTTGTCTGTTAGATACACGCGATATCTCACGAAAGCAAGGTTGAATCTGCTCCAAATTTTACATGTGGACTCATCATAGTTCGGAACAGGAGCCTATCGATTTTGGATGGATTATGTCGTATAATTAGCGAGTTATTAATTAATTAGTGATGAAACACACGGTGTCACTATGGAGTAAGACCACTGTTTTGGGGGATCCCCTAACCTCCGATCTTCGGTTTCCAACCGAATTCTAGTTTGTAGCTTATTATCAGCTAGTTATTTTTTAAGAGGGGCGCGAGACTTGATAAATTCTAGAAAGAGGGCGCTGCTTCAAAAGTTTAGACAACCACAGATTTAGAATATCTTGAATCAACTCACGTGTATTTCAACTATTCTTCGCCACTAATCACTCTTTTTATTTGTCAGGCGGATCAGACCCATCTCTGACCGGCCCAGGAGCTGAAGTATGTCCTGTTGCCAGTTGTTACAGACTCGGCCTTGAATCGTTGAAATGGAGCAAGATTGATTCTATGTCAACGCCAAGGATGTCACTCCAGGTAAATGCAGTAACTATGGTAACGTGACGTCATTATTCTTGTTATTGTGAGGGCCATTCTGCATGACTAATAAAGGTCACACAAAGTCATATAATCTAACCCCTTTGTTTTAACCTCCTCGTGTTGGTTCAACCTGCTTCAGAAGTAAATTTGATTTTCTATGCCTGCGCCCCCTGATGCGTAATGAATGTTATTATGCTCTCACTACAGAAACCATAGTTTTAGTGGTTATGAATAAAAAACGAACATTGCTGAGGCAATATCTAAAGTTATAATGTACTCATCGCAATCATTTTTATATATCTACAATTCTGTATTAAAATTCATTCTTACAAAGCCTTTTTCGCCGCGTGAATCATTTTAGATAATAGATATGCAACGTAGAAGTGAAATAATAAAGAAAATAAATTTATTTTTAAAGCATACCGGTGATCCACTAAAATAGACCGTAATAAATATTTTAATATAGCCTACTATAGCAGGGCTACCTAACTGGCAAACCTCAGTCCGAATCCGTGATCTTCAATTCAAACCGTAATCTATTCTTGATTGAGTAGTTGGTTATTCAAAGATTGCTCAATTTTCTATAACCGTGGAGATAGCAGTTTTATTTGCCAACAAAATTGTAGAATAGCAAAAGTATGCCCTACTGTAGGGCTACTTAACTGGCGGTCCAAATCCCGACCTTCGATTATTCAATTCGGACCGCATTTGCTTCTTGTATTGAAAGCATTAGCATTGTTTTTATTTTCTAATTGGTATTGGTACTAAGAAGCGAATATTTATTTTTGTTGAACGATGCTTTAGAAGTTTCGTTTGCATAATAGAACATATTTTCTGGGGTGCTCCAGAACTGTGTGTACCAATATGGAAGTAACTATTTTTTTCTGCCTACTTTACGTCAAGTTGTGTAAAGGGACTGAAACCTATGGGCAGGGGGTATATTCACAGACAGTCCTGGCCTAACCTGGTACACACACACTACGGGAGTACCATTTCTGGAATGACAGGATCCCAGATTTTTTATGTTTCGTATACGAATGTGTGGTGAAATTAGTTGAGTAGCCCTGTACTATAGCACGTGATGTTAAATGAACTTGACTTAGTAATATACACACTTTGATATTACAGGCTATTCACAAAGACGGTTACATCTACGCTATCGGCGGACAAGATCACAAACAACGGATATTACGAGATATTGAGCGTTATTCTATCGATTCTGGAGTCTGGGAGTTTGCCGGGACCTTGTCCAGCGTACGAGCCGGCATTGCTGTTTCTGTACATAAGAAAAAAATGTGGGTTGCTGGAGGGTATTGTCATAAAAGTGGTGCAGTATTGGACACCGTGGAAACATTTGATGAAGAATTTGGAAGGTCAGAACTGGCTAGCTTGTAGATTATGTTCTATGATTAGAATGTTTAAATCGAGACCTTTATACAATTTGCTCATAGCAAAGTCCTAGCCCTCAACTCAAAGTTGGAAAACGCCGATATATGGGCTGCATGCACCTCTAAGGCTTTACAATGTCGCAAAATAAGGGACTACTAAGAATTAATTCACGTGATAATGAAAAATGCATTGCCCTTAAATCTGCAATATTTACTAATATTGGCGTCGAAAATGGTTCAGGTCCAGATTTGCATGTTACTTGATCTACTTCTAGTCTGCAATTAACAAAATCAAAGAAAGTGAATTGCTACTCAGCATGCTAAGCTATTTTATTCAATCATATCTACTTAATAATTTACCTTCATTTCAGTTGGCAACCTGCTACACCGCTTCGATTCCCAAGATGTTTCGCGAATCTACTCGACTCACACAACCAAATGTTCGTCATCGGCGGAGCATGGCTCGACTCAGAAATGGATTGTGGAAGTTTCAGTAGTGTTTATGACGTAGACAAGTATAATGACGACACAAACATCTGGGAAGGGCTTACATCACTGAGAGTGGGAAGGCACGACGCTGGATACGCGGTTTTAGGTTTGTTTTTTTGTTTAAAGTTGGCTAATGCAAAGGTGGCTTTTCCGTAAAGTAAAGGTTTTGTTTTCCTGGCGTTCTGAACATACTTTTATCCATGGTTTCGCTTTTATGCTTACTTTGTCTACTACTATATCTAAATAGCAAAAAAACACAGCATATGCACAAGAATATCAGACGGTGAGTCGAGCATGAATATGTCCCGGGTTCGTACCCGTTCAGGTATAACGAGTACTGAAAGCAGCAACCCCATGAGAAAGAGGAACTAACCAGTACTTTCGAAATCAGAATCGTCGCCCACAAGAAATCTCAGTTGTTGCTCCAGGTCGCCGGCTTGCGGACACGCGGAAAATGTCACCATCCGATTTCCTTGGAAAAAAATTCTGATAATTGCATCACTTTGCGCGACATTTTCACGTGTTTTTCAAAATTACTTTTGACTATTAATTATCAAAAATGGGTTTTATATCTTCGTATGACAATGATTTTAATACAAAGTCATTAAAATCACCAACATCGCGATAAGCGATGGAGTACGACATTGTTGTAACCATGGTTACACTGTTCATGAGCGTTCGGTGTGTGGACTCGTTTTAAGAGCGAGTTTTGCCGTTTTGAGTTTGTGCAAGTTATCAGAGAATTATGTCTAAAAGCTCAAACGGGGTGCCCAGGCAGTGCTTGCCGAGAGAAGTGTTAAAATGGATCCAAAGTTTAGATTTGTCTTATTCGGTTCGTAACGCCAGGCGAGATTTTGCCAACGGGTTTCTCGTCGCTGAGATATTTTCATGGTATTACCCTCAAGATATACAAATGCATTCGTACGATAACGGAATATCTCTGCCTACAAAGTTGGGAAACTGGTCTCAATTGGAGCGATTTTTCTCAAAAAAGAAGCTTGATATACCAAAAGAAATGATAGATGGAACAATACATTGCAAACCAGGGGCAGCAGAGCTTTTAGTGCAGACGATCTACTCCTCACTCACGAATAGGGTTGTGAGGACGCTTGAGAGCGAACCGCCGGTCGATTTCACCGATGGAAATTATCAAATGAAACTACCGTTACACGCTAGATCAACCGCGTCCCATTCAATCAAAAATAATTTGAAGATTACAGAATTCATGACCGAGCCAAATATTATCACAAACAAAGAAAAAGCACATACGATTATCGAAAACCATCTCAAACGGCGAACACTAGAGCGCGTCGAAGATCCAGCGAGGTTCAATATTAAACCAACTTTAGGTGAAATGGCAGAGCGATATTGTCCTCCAAATAACTCGGACAACAACCCACCAATCCCATTCCCTTCTGGCTATAGTGAAAGAGATTCAAAACCAGGTTCGAGGCATACTATTGACACTAGAGGCAGTGTTCACTTTAAAGAAGTCCAGGTTCGACAAGTGGACAAGTCTTCGCAACCGTCTGTCTACCCTGGATCATATCAGACTGCTCAAGCTGTTTAGCGAACTTTATTTTGAATGATTTTTAATTTTACCCCCCTTGTCCCCCCACATGTTAAATTATGGACAATATGAAAATTGAAAATGGTTCTACATTTGCTGTTTTCGTACCCATCACACTACATTTTTACTCATCCATGCCTATGGCAGAATAATATAATCTAAATTACAGTGTTTTGATTCTGCCCAACTGATTCTTTAGAATGCTTTCATTTTTATACTAGTACAAGCCAATGGGGCGTGGCTAGTTAAGAATATTTGATGCTTCACTGACCAATATACTGTTTTTTTAGGACTAGTTCACAAAACGCCGTCAAGTACTTCTAAGTTGCGTGGCATAACCATTTTTGCATTTATCATTTCTAACCCCCACCTGACTATGTCATTCGAAAATTATGTCACTACAGCGTCACAGTGACGGAAAAAGGCCTGTCAAAGTATACAGATTTCGTTTAAAACGCGCAGACGATTACCCGAAATCAAGCAAGCTATTTCTCTTGTTTTCTCGTCATAACGATCCCGATATTAGAAAAATTGCTGGCGTCAGCAATATCGATATCGTCGACAGGGAATGCTATTTCGGGCCGATCTTAGTTTTTTTTTTGGCAAGCTCTATGACGTGATTATGACATAATCTTTGGATGATGTAGTCAGGTGGGGGATAGGAATAACATATGCAAAAATGTTTGTGCAACTAGAAGTACTTACGGCGCTTATTAAACAAGGGCTGTTTTTTCAATATCTTCAATTATTATGACCATAGTGTGTTATTTTTTTTTCTAGCCTACTTTAGGCCGATTCTTTCAATATAATGCAACGGAGCATAATAGAGCATTGGCACTGATTGTTTAGATATAAGATTCATCCGACTGGCCACACCTCATTTATTTTCAGTAATGAGTCAATTCATTATTTTAAGTGTTAATTTTATGAAAATTGTGTAGTAAGATACTATATTATTGAATCTTTTTAAAATTGCAGAATAGCGTCACTTGAATTACAGTGTTTTAATTCTGTCAATCTTACAGTGTTGTTTTCCTCCCAGTGTATCAAAATCAAATTTTCTATGGTTAGATAAAAACTTGATAATTTTGAATTATTTGGTTTTATTTAAAAAATCATCAAACAATTTCCTCTCTGTATATCTGAAACAAATAACTGGTTCACTATTCCCAAATCCTACATTGACTGGTATCTAGATAAAAGGTTGTCGTTTCCATACGATAAGGCCATCTTATTGACCTTGCTCGTGGCAAATATGAAGAATAGGATTCACATATTTTATCTTGGTGGAAAAAGGAATCCAATAATGCGGCTTAATCCTAAAGTGAAGATTCCATCCCAATTTCAAATGCATGGTTAAACAGTTTAAACATAGTTTTGAAAGTATATATCTGCATTTCCACAGCATAGTGACTTTGTTGTGTATATTTTGAATTACACAAATTTCTCTGAATGATGCCAAAGTACACTACGTACCAGATACTTTTAAATACTATGTAATATGGTCATTTACTTATAATGTGTTCTTCACTTGTAACTCCTTTTATCAGTACTCTACCAGTTTTACCTGAGAGATCAGAACCTTTCTTTTAACAAACTGATATACAGGGTGTCCATAAAGTCCCTTAACAATTTTAATTTTGTTATGAAGTCGGTTCTTAATATATCTTAACCAGGTTTGTTGATTTAATCAGTAATCGTTCAAGTATTTTTACTTCATCTAATACATCTGTGAGTGCCAAAACAATATATTGTATCGATAAATTCCCTTTGCAATTTTAAAAAATTTTGAGACTTTATGGATAGCCTATATAACTGTTGGAGTACTCTTCACATTTATAATTATGCGAACCTTGAAACATGTATAGAAACTACCCAATTCTAACATGCACTGTATTATTTTTAATCGCATTTTTTGAGACATGCTCTTCCATTATAAAGAATAATGATCTGTAATTATATATTTTTGCACAATAACATAAGCCTATCAATCATAAATATATATAATGGCAACAAAGATGTCGTCCAGAATCCAAACTTTTGCTCGGACATTGTCTGGGGTCTGGCAACTGCTACAAAAATCAATCGTTCGGAACAATTTATGTGCAATAAGCATGAATCACTGCCAAAATTTTACGATTAGAAGACATTTTTTGACGCTAAATTCACTTCGCAATGGAAATTTTATGAAAATTGATCCAATTTCTAGTGGATTTACCAACAGTGGACTTATACCTGATATTCGAAATATCAGAATGCGGAAATATTCAACAAAAAAACCAGAAATTGAGTCAAATATTTCTAATGAAGACACAGAAAATTCTTACACTGCCACTTTAGGACAGACAGTAAAATCAGGAAAATATGGTTTAGCTTTTACATGCACTGTCTGTAAGACACGCACAGGGAAACATATCTCGAAGAAAGCTTACCATCATGGTGTTGTTATAGTTCGCTGTCCTGGCTGCGATAATAACCATATTATAGCGGACAACTTGGGCTGGTTTAGTGACTTAAACGGAATGAAAAATATTGAAGAAATCATGGCTGACAAAGGAGAAAAAGTAACGAAGATTGTGACATCAGAAAATGATGTCATAATTGAACCTGATGATGTCACAATTGGACACAAAAAAGAGGGTGATGAAACTTGAAATAAAAGTAATAAAAAATTTTCGTTTGATTTAGTCTCCAGAGGATCATATCATCATATGCCCATAAAATTAAATAATGATTACAAAACAATCATGTTACAGTTATTTTCTCAGAAATCACTTTAAAATGAAAAAGCTTGTTTTTGAAATCATGGCGTTGCTGTAAGCAAAATAGATGCTGCCAAGTTTTTACGCAGTGATACTTTGCTCGTATATAATTATCGAGTAGACCTTTTTGTTCAAAATGATTTTCAGCCGACCCAATTGTGGATTGCTACCCATAGGTGGGAAACCTAATCGCCGCATTATTAAGTTGATGGTTGAAGATTCGTTCTTAATTGCCGTTATTGAAAGTTGACTTTCATACTGCCTTTTATATATAGAAATAGGGTGTCCAAAATATTTCGCCCGATTTTTTAGTAAAACAATTGTAAATTTATTGTATGATAAATGAGAACTACGAGCACAATAAGAACTTCTTATAAACAAAGACAAAGGTATTACTATAAAATTGGGCGAAATTTTTTGGACACCCAGTATATATAATATGCATTAGGCTTCATTTTACTATTAAGTGTGAAATAGTTTTTGCACTGTTGTGCCTGCCACCTCACACATGGTGTAGAAATTGGGTGGGCAATATGGGCACTCCAGAAGTATGTGTACCAATATGGAGGTAACTAATTTTGTTCGCCTATTTTACATCAAGTTGTGTGAAGGGACTGAAGCTTATGAGCAGGGGTATGTATATTCACTTGGCTAACACAGACAGTCCCGAACTCGTAATAGAACCAAAATAAGGAAAATCGGAATAAAATTATGGCCTAACCTGGTACACATACTACAGGAGTATTGTTGTGCCAGCCACTTACTCATGGTGTAATGAATTAGGCCAGCGGTTCCCAATAGGAATCTCAGTGGGTCGTGAAAAGATGTAGAAAGCTTTGATCAATTATACTGGTTATTAGGATCGGTGGCAAAGCAAATTTTGAAATAAACTGCAAAAAACAAGCTCATCTTTTTCCCTAGCTTCATTGAAAATTCATTTTGAGAAAATAAAATAAGTTTCCTCCGTCAGTGTTTTATTTATTTATTAAAGTTGAATGGGTCGCCATAAGCTGTGGTAACAAAAAAAGTGGGTCCCAACTCTGAAAAGTTTGGGAACCACTGAATTAGGCAATATGTGAGGATCCCAAAACTGTTCTGCAGCAACTGAAAAGTGGAATATTCGTGGAATGACCCCATTGATTTGGATCATTGGACTCGACAAGGTCCAAACCATAAGGCATTGTAAATTTCCCAATCTCTTTCTCATGGTGTGATGTGAATTGGGTAGGAAATGCCGACCTTGCAAAATGAGGCAGCCCCCGTTACACAGCAATTGTCCTTGTTTGTAGTGAGAAGCAGAAAAAATGCTCCGTATTTTAAAACTTTTTTTCAGGGTATAATAAATTGATGAGTGGAAAATTCGATATCTAGAGGATTTAATTTCTTCCAGAATAAAGTACATTCTTACAAAGCGTGAGACGCTTGTTCTGTTGCCTTCTTCAGAGTGAAAGGTGTATTGAAAATGCTAGCTTCTTATAATTCTTTTTTTTTAAATTCCAGGTCCACGGCTCTACATCATAGGAGGGAAACACTGCGATGACGGGTCCATCAATAACCTGGATACGGTGGAATGTTTCGATTTAGAGAAGGAAGATTGGATAGATGGCGTAACGTCTCTACCTCTGCCATTGCTTGGACCTGCCATTACTTTCACAACATGAAAACTAATAAAATTTTGGAAAATGTGTGAAATATATACTGTGTTAATGAGACTGTAGTGATAGAAAAGTAGCGATTAAGAATGCATATTGTTAAAATCTATTTAGTTACGGAATGGTTGTGCAATCTGGGAAAAAATTGCAGTCTGAGACACAGGTTTCGCTGACTGTTAGTTGATGGTGATTTTATTCTATGGGTGTGCAGGTGTCCCTTGGGATAAATTCGTTCAGAGGAGAAGTGTTAATTTTGAATGCTACGATTCCTACCAAATGAGGGTACGTGTGAGTAATTCTTAAAGTGAGTTGCAAAACATATACCTGAGTCCAATGTGGTATCTATGCCTATGAGGTTACAATGCCCTTGTGCGAAGCGAACGCATGTCATAAGATCTATACCCAAAATTTCTGTGCCTGCAAATACTAGAATGCCCATATTACTAAATAAAGGTATAGGATAGGATAGGATTTACATATTTATCCCGGGGGAGAGGAAAGCCGATAAGACGGCTTATCCATATGGCGAACCACGGCCTCTCGTCCGGTTACCATTCCAAGTCGGGTATGGGATTAGTTTTACTGTATTGTTTGTTTTCGGAAGCATGGACTTGGTGGTGGAGGAAGCCGTAACCGACCAGCGGTTATGTGAACCACCCAACGACGGCGAGGAGTCCAGCAATCCTCTCGCACATAACCATCCCTGCATGGGATTCGAACCTGCGAACCCACGCAGAGTAGTTAGAGGTACGGTGGCGAGCGTATTCCTAACGCTTAGCCTGTTGAGCCACACCGCCGCGCCTTCCACCCAGTTATTTGTATCGGCTTTCCTGTATTGAAAGTTGCACCCTGGTTTAGGCATTCAGAGAACAATCTGTCAAGAAATATTAAACTCTGGCTCCCAACTCAAAGAAAATCGAATCATAATCACAAAATCTTTGGCTCATACAAGCTTTGTTACTTATCGATTTTAATGTAAGTATGTTGATAGGTATTTGTCTGTATGTCTATCTGTCTGTCTGTTAGATGCACACGATATCTCACGAAAGCGAGATTGAATCTGCTCCAGATTTTGTATGTGTATTCATCATATGTCGGACCAAAAGCCTATTGATTTTGGACGAATTATGTCGTATAATTAGCGAGTTATTAATTAATTAGTGATCTAGATTTTGTAAAGCGAGAGAATTTTGAGATCCGCCGAGTGTGTGTGTGCGATGCGCGAGTTACAAGAGCGGATGAATCGAAACCGCAGTTTCTGTTTTGGGGGATCCCCTAACTCTCGATCGATAAGTCTTCGGTTTCCAACCGATATTCTCGTTTAAATCTTTATTTATAATGCTTAGTCAGTCTTTAAGCAGGGGTTCTCAAACTTTACAAGCTGCGCCCTCTCTGTAGAATTTGTCTTATCTCGCGCCCCACCTTAAAAAAAAACAGATAGTAAAGCAGAAGTATAAAAATATGGGTACTCCCGAAGTATGCGCACCAAGATGTCGCATAACCTGAACCCTAAACTGGTACACAACCTGAGTTCAACTTGGTGCGCATACTTCAGAAGGTCCAAATTATGTATATATACAAAACAAGGCGGGCAAAATTAAATTTAACAAATATTTTATTTTATATAAGCTTCGCGCCCCACTTTCGGTGGCTCGTCCCACCGTTTTGAGAACCACTGGTCCAAATGTTTTTTAACCATATGTTTGAAGTTTCGATTTTTATTTGTATCATCAAAAGTCTGAAAATACATTTGAAAAATTCAAAACTACTCCTGGGTGAAAATAAGACTCTAGATGCATATCCTAGAGCAGGGTTTCCCGAACTGGGTCGCGGGCTGGTCCGTTATGAAAAGTGTCTAAAACATAAACAAATATATCATCTAATTTTATCGAACTGCCATTAGCCAGTACTTACTGTTGATATGCATTGATTCAGACTTTAAAGAGTTTTATTTCGTCAAAGGAAGCATTATCCTTCCTCGTTGGTTAGCCACAGAAATTGATACGACGCGGGATGGGGGTCTGTCTAAAAAGCAGATTCACAAACGGGTCCACGGCTCTACAAGTTTGGGAAACCCTGTCCTAGAGTATAGAGCAGGGGTTCCCAGGTTTTTTTCAAGGCGACCCCAAAGACAACTTTCAAGTGTCCAGTGCGACCCCAGGTCAATATATATATTCTTAATGAAGCTTCTTTCTTTAACCCTTTCCATGCGATTTTTATTTTTTATTAAATAATCGTATTTGCTACGCCGACTTTATGCATTTGTACCCCCACAACTAATCGATCGACTAACGAAAAAGTAATGATCCTCTGCTGCCCACTGACGGCTTGTTGGAAAGCTTATTTAAAAAGCTTGCAATTGGCGATTAAAAAAAATTTTTTTTTTAAAAGGGGTGGTCTGAGTCACAAACCGGATAGAAAAAAGGCATTTTTTTTTCTTGGGTGTTGAAACTTCAAAACCGTGATAAAAAATAGAAATATTTGCTAAATCCTTTACTGTTACCGCTTCTTGGTTGGCAAACAATGCATAATATTGCTGTAGCAATTTCGTTATCTAACTCAAAATACTTTGGTAGATGGAAGGGATAATTTGTCTTCTATCACTACCCAAAAAACACCGAAATTTGCATAAATTTCAAAAACACTCCATCGTTCCTCCGCAAACAAAACTCCCATGGTAAACGAAAGCGAGATTTATCGTCGCTTATGTTAATCTCGAAGAAGACTTTTTATCAATAAACTAAAACCCGGAAAAACTAGACCAACAGTTTGCGACCGATTGCTAAATAAAACAGTGGAGTACATCAACGTACCCGCCGCAATCTAGCGAGTTTTGTCGTGGGTACGTATACGTGCCCACCGCACGGAAAGGGTTAAAGTAAGTAAAGTATTTAGTAAATTAAGCTAAAACCAAACAGTGATGTCACAATAATCACCTCCATTTCGGCCTGTTTTAAAGTAAGCCATGGTACAAACTGCTAAATTTAACATGGTTTGTCAAATCTTGGATGTTTTTTTACATCCATCCTTGACCATAACTCAGCGACCCCATGACCTGTTTGCGACCCTACCTCTTTATCACTCCGACCCAATTTGGGGCCGCAACCCCTGGTTTGGGAACCCCTTGTATGGAGTCTAAAATAATATAAACAAGGTCCGCCTGCCTAGCAGAAGAAAGAAAACCAACAGAAACTTGAAACATTTATTCCCATATCTGCATAAATACTAATAATTTCTTATGGCTAAGTAATACGAAAAGGCAAGAATAAAAAGAAGCAATGTCGCTGAAATCAGCAGTTGTAACTAGGGACATTCATATGATTTAGAAAGATGCAATGCAAAGGCAAGGACAGGCTGTCGTCATGGCTACTTAGATTTTTGGTGCACAGAGTCGTTTTTTTTGCTGTTGAAACGCGAGATTACTGGGCATACAAGGTTGGCATGCCTTGACGTATATGTTTTTTTCAAAATAACATATACAGTTCGACTTTTTAAAGGCATATGGGTAAAAAATAGGACAACCGATCGTAGGAATTTCTTGAACAATGATTGAATATTATGAAGGTAATGATGACCCTTGGTATGATTTGATAACATTCTTGAAAGGGTTTGGAAACCTACTTTCTGAAAGGAGGTATAACAGTGGTTCCAAACTCTAGTCCACTCGATAATCTAACCACTGCTGTAGCAGGAATCAGAATGGCCATACTGAACCACCTAATAAAAGATCGATGTGCTTATTTGCTGACCAATATCAGATAGTTGCCAAGTTAGACAAGCATTTTAGTTGAACGTCTTGTTATAAAATTTATAAAACAACTTGCATCTAAAAATTGATTTCACAACAATCATTACAAAGTACAACAAAACCATATAACATGAACTTAAAACCACACTTGTAAAAGATTGAAAATGAGGCCTAAATTGCATAAAAGGAGAGTAATCTTTTGTTGATGAAAAGATCAAAAATTCTTCAAAATAAGGGCATTAGTTCAAGGTCATCCTTGTCTAGTTCAAGGTCAAAAAGATCGGTTTCCTTTTTCGCTGACCAATATCAGATTGTACACAAGTTGGAAGCCATCATGTTGTTTAGATTTGCACTAAATAGCATTTCAGTTCAACATCCAAGTATAAAATTCATAAAAAAAATTTAACACTTTACACTAGACAATACAACACAAAACCATATAACTTCAAACTAAAACGACACTTGTAATGGTTGAAACACCACGAAGATAAATTAGGCCCTAAATTGCATAAAAGGAGAGTAACCTTCAGTTTATAAAAAGTTCAAAAATTCTTTCAAGGTCACTGAAATATTCAAGGTCATTCTTGTCTAGTTCAGATATATTTTTTTTGTTCAGTTCAAGATTACTTTCTTGCTCCAAACATCGTTAGTGGACACCCAAGGTCATTTCATTCAGTTCAAGGTCACTGGAATTCATAGCCTACTGCAATTCCGACTCCCTCAGTGCTGTTCGGTCTGTAGGTGATCTGGTACAATGCTGTTGGAACATTCACTGGAACAAAAAAATAAAGAACTGAAGTAATATATATATATATATAAGTCAAATCCTAGCCTGTGGCTGTACTTAATGCACTAATGTAATATTGCTGGAAAAATCTATTCTTTCCGCATGTCTCGGCGATTGGGGCATGGTGCTAAAAGTAAGAATGTAAAGAAGTAGACGATTTATAATGACTGTTATCTCCGTTTTCGCAGCCCTGTCCAACTAGTGTCCATGGCTGCCACACCCCAGATATGCAACTGCTGACCATTTCCAGGCCAGGCTTGTCCAGACTACCGTATTTGCTCGTTTTGTAGCCCGGGCCCATATCTTTTTCAACCAACTCACTAACCGGGCCCTTATTCAAGCACAGGCGCTTGTTATTTTTAAGTAAAATTATACACAAAAATTACGGTATCTTTGAAGACAAATATTTGCTGACATTAATCCTTTTTCCATGTCAATTTATTCACGCCAAACGCACGTTGAAACGACGCACTTGGGCGTTTGAGAACCACGGTGTTACGTAATCAATGCTTTCTGTTATGTACTTGGACGCCTAAGGCGTGGGTGTTATCTTCCAGCGCTTAAAATTCAACAGCATTGTGACAAAAGCGCTTCTCATTTCCCATTGTTCTCTACCAATGAAAAATCAGCTTTTACATCGGGCGGGTATTCAAGCACCGGCCCTCATTTATTTTAGGTTCTGTTCACACGGGCGGCTATTCAAACGGGCCCTTAATCAAGATCGGGCGTTAAAACGAGCATATATGGTATTTGTTAGAAAAACTTGGGATTTTTTTCTTTTTATACAAATTTTGCTCAAAATGGAAATATTACTGATACTGATAGACTAAGAGTTACGTATAAATAGTCTCCTTTTTGTGACTGAAATCGCAATAGATAGGGTTTAATATGGCCTTGAAAAAGATTGAACTCAGGACAAAGTTACAAACAGCGCCACCGTGTCTAGAGCTACTGAGAAAAGAGGATCAGAGCGTGTTTGTTAAATTTCATTTGACGAGAGACTAAAGCAGTTCATCAAGTCAATACAATGAGAAAAGCAGATTTGATTTATAGCCCACTTGACCAAATATCAAAGAAATCTTAGTAACAATCAGAGATCAATTTCCTATATTTCTGAGTGAGTGCTCTTATTCTCGCTTGGAGCAAAATTTCTTGTCGTAAAACATGAATGAAAGTTGCAAGTTTGCTCAAAGCAGGGCTTTGAGACCCCAAATGAAATCAAAAATAGTACAGATAGAACCACCCATGATTCGAAATGATAGGATAGGATATACATATTTCTCCCGGGGGAGAGGAAAGCCGATAAGACAGCTTATCCATATGGCGAACCACGACCTCTCGTCCGGTTACCATTCCAAGTCGGGTATGGGATTAGGAATATTGTTTGTTTTCGGAAGCATGGACTTGGTGGTGGAGGAAGCCGTAACCGACCAGCGGTTACGTGAACCACCCACCCAGCTATTCTCTTGATAAGGATGATAATTGATACTCACATATTTGTCCTTCCTCTAAAACAAATCGGACTTTACTACATTTCTCCTGACACATTCGAATGGGGTTAAGAATAAACTCAAATCTTCCTGATACCTGGGCAATCCAGATCCCCATGTCATCTTGTCTTGGTCGAAGCTGAAAAAATAAAAACAATTTATGATGATTAGGGCTGGGAATGGTTAACCGGTAAACCGATTTCAGATGGTTAACGGTTACGATTTATTTTAACAGTTAACTGACATCTCAGGTACAAATCATCTTCATACCGTACAATTTCTTTTTAAATATGATTACGTCATAGCAAATTTATCTCTTGTGGCATTTAATTCAGAAGAATATTACTAACTGTGTGGGTAAGGACTCAATAAATGTGAAAAATAATGGAAGTACCAAGCTTGCTGATAATGAAATTTGACAATGATGAATCGGATATTCAATGTCATACAACAAGTGCGCAGTTGATGCCGTTTTTTATATCTCGAAGTAAAATTTGCACATCGAACACAGATAATTTGTCACATAAATGACGTTTAACAACGGAATCGGGTTTTCTGAAATACCTCAACACGCCTGAACCACGCCCCCACGCGTATCTCTTGAAGCAGAGCAATCATGAAACTATCTCAATTCGTGAATAATTTTCATAAGCGATACCGAGATACAAACACCCGAAATTGCTTTATAAGCATTGTGACGTAACAAGCTGAAATTATAAATTATTACGTCAAACGTCATGCGACGGTTAACCGGTTAATTTTATCCGGTTAACGGTTAAAGTGTTTTCCCTGAAATTCCCAGCCCTAATAATGATACAACCAGCGACATGAAGTCTTAGACAATTTACAATAGAACCTCCAGGGTTGTATAAATTTTGAGGAAATCAAATTTTGGTGAATGCAAGATATTCTTGATTATAAGCTGTTAAGATTGCTAAACCTAATGCTTCTGGATTTCCGAAGAAAATATTGATTTCTTGGTGCTCCAGAAGTGTGTGAAACAATACGAAAGTAAATAATTTTGTTCGCCTACTTTACATCAAGTTGTATGAAAGGACGAAAACCTATGGGCAGGGGGTATATTCACTTGGCTAACACAGACAGTCACCAAACTCGTGATAGAACTAAAATAAGGAAAATCTGAATAAAATTATGGGCCATGGCCTAATCCTAACCGACTACGGGTGTACCGACTTCTTTCATAAGTATTTGTTCCATCACCATTAAAAGCTGGACCAATGGAGCAGTGACTGATTGTTGAATATATAATAGCTATCAGAAATTTCAGTGGCTCCAAGTCCTAAATCTTTTATGACATTTTCTAATACGTCATATAAGTAGTGAAAAATATAATTTTAATTTAATTTCAAGGTATTAAGTTAAGTTTAAAGTTGAATTCTAAAACTTGGAACCATTAAATAAATCATGGTTCATGTTGGTGGGACATCAGGCATTATTAGGGCCAGATCTGTGGTCCAGGTTCGAATTGAATGCACTTACAAAAAGTCCTTTCAATCCTTCTGTCGCATTCTGTCTTGCCATCATCAAATAACTGAGCCCTCTGATTGGTTCACACATACTTGGCAGAAAATATGGCTTTGTGTAGTAATAATGCAGTGCTTTGTAACTGTTTGGACCGATATTAGACCTGGTTTAAAAAGAGCAAAATGTTAGACTGCCGTGTTACCGCACTGTGAAATAGTGTAACTTAAGCCTTCAATATTTCACTGCTCGATAACCAACTGTGGTTCCCGGCGATTCCATTTCCCAGTAAAACACTGTAATTATCATTTTCTCATGTTTTGTGCTGCGTGATATTTTATTTGTTGAAAAATTAAACTTGACCTTGGGCACAATATGGTCGTATGGTATCAGACTATCACTGTGTATTCTGTATTTACTTATCGATCTTAAGATCGGTAAGTATATTGATAGGTATTTGTCTGTCTGTGTGTCTGTGTGTGTGTCTGTTAGATGAACGCGATATCTCGCGAATGCGATGTTGAATCTGCTCCAAATTTTGCATGTGCATTCATCTTATCTCGGACCAGAAACCTATTGATTTTGGGCGAATTATGTCGTATAATTATCGAGTTATCAATCAATTATTGATATAGTGATCTAGATTTTTGTAAAGCGAGAGAACTTTGAGACCCGCCGAGTGTGTGTGTGCGATGCGCAGTGCGCAAGTTACAAGAGCGGATTAATCGAAACTGCAGTTTCTGTTTTGGGGGATCCCCTAACTATCGATCGATAAGTCTTCTTTTTTTTTTTTTTATATCTTTTTTTATTTATTTATAAAAACAGTCAATATTATCAATACTAGTCAATCTTAAAAATGTACTATCAAAAGCTATGACATTACCGACTTTTCTAACAAGTTTTCAATTCTTCCATCCTCCAAAAAGCTATTTTTCATATTTGATGCCATATTTTTCAGCATCCCTCTAATTTTACATTTAAAAATTATTCTCATAACTGATTGGAAATTATCCAAATCTTCAAATATTATTTGATTCCTGAATTCCCAAATAGCTTTCCACATGCAACTATCATAATAACTGACAGGTCACATGTATTTTGTGCAATAATGGTATCAATATTCTTCGGTTTCCAACCGATATTCTCGTTTTGTTGTTGGTGAGATTGTTGGAGAAGCACACACATATGTATGGTATGGGAAAGATTACTCAGCCAATTAAGAAGACCTCATGCTTAAAATCTACTAAAGCCAAATTAACGCGTTTTTTGTGGTCTAGCAAAGTAAATGCCGTAACTTCTCAAAATAACACCAAACAGGAATGAGATGTGGAGCTTATATGGATTTTTTAAAAGTCTGTCTGGCACCGAATGAAATTATTGACAGACTCATGTAGTTAAAATGAAGACCATCACCGTAAATTAATTTACGCAGTATATCCCATGCCAAAGAGGGTATAGCGTTCAGTCAGTCAGTAGTTTATTTTTCACCAAAATGAAAATGCACTCACAGTGAACATAAACTTAAAAAAAGTTGAAAATGACATTTCAGCGTTCCATGCGAGATGTACTTTTATTTGAAAAAATAATGAAAATTTGGGCTGTATTTTATCACATTTTTGTTTGGCATTATTTAAGCACTTGCTTCGTTAGACCTCCTTTTTTGTGTATTTACCCTTAACAGGACTTTGTCAAGTAAACACTGATACATCGAAACTTATTAGTTTTAAAACCAATGACATTTTTCTGCTCTGATTAGCCTTTTTATTAGACATCTCCCATCTTAAATCCGAATAAGAATCTGTACTAACAGTCAGTGATATGTAAGAAGCTAACATACGTGGAAGGATTAGAATCTACATAGGCGGCCATTGTGTATCCAATTTACTATACCGTGGATGAGGTGGTGGACTCAAGATTTACTTACCATTGAGCAGTGAAATTAGGGTATCTCCCCTCCTTCGCCTCATTGTAAACCCATTTCGCGAAAGCAGTGACATTTCCCACGGATTTTGGAAGGCCTTTTGTTGTTCTGAAATGATTTGTCTGTTTCTCTTCCGTTACTTTCATTGTTCGTTCATCAGTAGCATATAACTGGAAAAATGAAAGATTTTTAGTGTTATTAATAACACCGCAAGGGTATATTGCAGTGGTTCCGAATTTATTGAGAGCTGACCCTTTCGGAAGCTTTTAGCACTCATGGCCCCTTGTTTGTCATTGCAGTAGTATTTATGAATGGACGTTATTTTTATTGGTAGGTTTCTGTGAAATAACTTTATCAAACAATGAAACTAGGAACAGGGAGTAACCAAACAAGAGGCCTTGGTTCGCCATATAATTAAGTCGTCTTAGCCTACAGCTTTCCTGGGGCGCAGCAGTGTGGCTCAACGGGCTAAGTGTTAGGAATACGCTCGCCACCGCACCTCTAATTACTCTGCGTGGGTTCGCAGGTTCGAATCTCATGCAGGGATGATTATGTGCGAGAGGATTGCTGGACTCCTCGCCGTCGTTGGGTGGTTCACGTAACCGCTGGTCGGTTACGGCTTCCTCCACCATCAAGTCCATGCTTCCGAAAACAAAACAATATAACTAATCCCATACCCGACTTGGAATGGTAACCGGACGAGAGACCGTGGTTCGCCATATGGATAAGCCGTCTTATCGGCTTTCCTCTCTCCCAGGATAAATATGTAAATCCTAAAATCCTGGGATAAATATGTAAATCATATTCTATGTTTTAAAAACACACAACATAATCAAACCTCTATGAAAGTGTTCAAAGTAACTTTTTCCGTTGTTGCTCTCCAGTCAGTCATTGCATCAGACACGATCACAGGCTGCATGGAATAAATCTTCTCGGCTATGGGGTCTGTATCTGTTACATTTGCCATCGGAGTCAGTTCTGTGATGCATTTCTGGAAGATAATATAGAATGGTTGCCTTTATGAGTACCTCAAGGTCACTCTCACTTCTTAGTAAGAGCATATGACTTTGCTCATAGATGGGCCAGTCTCCTTTACTCTGAAGTGAATGCCCATAGTGCCTTGATCTTTATTCAAAGGTAGATAGATAGTTAATTTTAAAACTCCATATCACACACAAAATTGGAGAATTCTGGAAAGCACACACATGAAAAAGTAACTAAAAACACAAACCTAGTTAAACAAGAATGGCCCAGAAATAAACAAACAAAAATATACAAATGCATTGAACTTTCTGGCTGTTATACTTTTAAAACACTTATGCTAATAATGACTAATTTAATCTGATACAGTATATGCCTTAATTTAAATGTCTTGAAAGGATGGATGGAAATATAAAAATCAATTTTCAATCTGAGGAAGTAGAAATTGTCCATGAGTCCAATAAAATGAAGGCAAGCCTCCCTTTCTCTGGACTAACTAATTCCCTTGGAGAAATTACTTATTGGATCTCCGCTTTTAGGAGACCCTTATTATCAGTCGTTCTGTCTGTCTGTGTATCTGTCTGTCTGTCTGTCTGTCTGTCTGTTTAGATGTAGCGTCTTAACGACTGGACCAATCTGGATGAAATTTTTCACATGGGTTATCCTGTCACCCTAGTATTGTGCGTTTTATGGAAAGTCTGGATGGAGGTTTCGTTTCCACGGAAACAACGAAAAACGCGCCGATCGTTATGAAATTTCAATTTTTTTCACAATTTATCGCCGTTTTCTCACCAACCAAGTCGAAAACTAAAATTCCAAGAATGCTACCTTCTGCGTGGCAAAATACTCTTTCCTTTAAGTTATCTTTGGTCTCGATACTCCATAAACTGGAGGAGCCTTAGGGATTTTAGTGAAGATTATTTTTTAATTTTCAACCACAATATACCAGTCACGCGAGTAAGACTAAGAAACGCGCAGCGTTCAAAATCAACTGGCGTTTTTATTAGTGTCTCCTTATTATTCGTTAGTGAACTGAAATGATGCGGGCCTCAAGCAATGGCGGAGATCCAATTGGGAATCTACCGGCTTGTACTATTATTATGGCTACTAACCCAATACTCACCAAACAGTTTTCTTCAGTGAATTCCTCTTGTGGTGGATCGTAATACGGGTTCTCGAGGATGCACTCAGACAGGAACGGCCAGGTCCAATCATAGTATGGAAGGATCTAGGAAAAATAAGAATAGAAGAATTGATAACTATCAGTAGAGATTATGCGAGACTAACTCCTTATCCTTTCACAATGCTTTTGAGCCAGTGGGCCCGTATGCGCATAATACAAGGATGCTGTAGCAGGAATAAACATGACCATACTATGCAATTGACACAAATGTACAACCATAGTGTCCGTGTTTATGTAGCGTATATTCAGATGTTATCCCAATTCTCAATACTCAGACCCAACAAGACGGCATTCAATAAGGGCTAAGCATACAACCATAAAACATAATATATAAATAACATAAACACGGACAATATGATTCGTGACACTTGTCACATACTTGGTGTGATACAGATGAGACACATTATAGACGAAAGAAATTGTAATCGACAAGAGCTCAGTTATTAGGCTTCCCGCTGCTTGTCAGCAGGGAACCTATTGTATTCCTGTGTTTTATTATTATTTTTTTTTCAAATTGGTCCTACAAACTTGAAATTCACCTCAAATGTGCAGAAGTTCTCAGCTAGCAATAAAATGCAAATTTTATGCATGACTGACCACGCTTTCACGCTCCAGTGAGCAAAACGCGTTTTCAGTTTTTTTGCGATTTCTCAAAATTGATACATGTTATTGGGTTGCAATTCATAACAATGATTAATGGACATGTTCCGGATACGAGTCTACGACATATCAAGGATACGCATGAGTGACCTCGGCGATACGCTCCAGTGAGCAATATAGGATTTTACATTTTCATCTTCTTCTCGAGAACGACACTACTTAGAGACTTGAAATTTACATCACATGCAGATAATAAGTCCCCCATCGTAAACTGCAAATTTTATGCATGACTGACCACGCTTTCACGCTCCAGTGAGCAAAACGCGTCTTCAGCTTTTTTACGCGGGAAGCCTGTTAAAGCTGCACACAGCTCTAGTTTTAAATTTATATTTCGTACTTACTGCAACCATAAACTTCTTCGTCACAACTCTAATTGCATAGCTTGTTGGTTCATAGTAATTCAATCCAACCATAGCAATTGTAGCAAGAAGAACGTAGAGTCCAATTCTAGTTGCTTTCTTAACTCTTCCCCTAAATAGAAAATAAGATTTATTATTATATGACACTCAACCGCATTTTCCACTTTAAATCGGGCCCTATAGAACAGTGAACCCCAGAGCCCGTTTTAGAATTTTATTTTTGATGAAATCTCGAGACCCCATTTTAAGTACCCTGCTATAGAAGAAGACACTGATATCTAATGATATGTAAGGAAATGCCTTCATTTTGATAAGTGGATTTTGGTAGATACAGTTATTATGAGGTTGTTACCTTAATCTATCAATTATTCATTTTATTTCGGTTCTCTGATATAAACAACACAAAGTAAACAGACAAACAACTACAAAGCAGCAAATACATCTAAGTCATTAAATAAAGTAATTTCAGCACACTCAAGAACATTATTCTGTAAGTAACTATTTTTATTTATTTTTATTTTATAAATTATGTGGGGCTCCATAAATATTAGTCAACTTGTTTATGACTCGATAACACCAAAAGTTGGAGAACCCCTGACCTATTTAATATGGATATATATACCGGATCTATGACTCCCTCTCAATAACAAGATCATCCTTACCAAAAAAAAATGAAACCATCAACAATACCCCCCCCCCCCCCCCCCCCCTAAAAAAAAGCATAATGCATCACCTTTTCTCAGCTTTAAGCATTGGTTTTGCTACTTCTTTGATCTTTTCTGGTTTATACCCGGCATCAGTGCAGGCTTTATGAAGCCTTCGAATCTCCTGGTCCAGAAGTTTAAGTTTTTCCTTCATTGGCAAAGTCTTCGCTCCCGTCAGAGCGTCCATGGTTGACTTTGTTTCGGTCATGACTAGTTTTTATAGTAATATTCTAATGCTGATCAAATTTAAAAAAAAAAATAGTAGGATATCCTTATAAGATTTTTCATATTTATCATGGAGAGAGAAAGGGTGATGAGACGATTAAAACTTGAAGGAATGAAAATGTCAGATGGGAGTTACTTAACTGCTGTAAAATTACTATAATTGGGCTCGGGTATAGGCTTTGCAACACAAAGGGATTGGAATTACTCACACATTCAAGATTAATTCGTGGGCTGCACATTATTCAAAATTGACACTTCATGAGTCGCACAATTTTTCCTTGTGCGCCGCATTTGGCCCACGCACCATCGGAGGCACACCCCTGGTTTAAGTTTTTGCTTGTCTAGAGCCTTGTTCACGGTTGAATTGTTCCAATGAAAACATCATCTCATATTAAGATTGTAGTACATTGGGTAAGCAATGCCAAACCAAAAAACCAAAAATTTAAACTATTTGTTTTAGTGCCTGCCTGCCCGAAGCCATGTTCAGAGTGACAATATTAAGACCTCTCTCATAAACAATTCCAATTTTTCCCAGAACAGCATCACCTTGCATCTTGCCCAAAGCCTTGTTTGGAGGGCGCCACAGGTAACTATTGACTGATAGGGTTTCCCAAACGATTAAAATGGCCGACTATTTCCTTGTCTGGCTGGACTGGTAATCAGACAATAAGCCTTATGATTGTATTGAGCTGTCCCAAGTCCATGCATAGCTGGTTAATTAATCCCATACCCGACATGGACTGGTAACCAGATAAAAGGCCGTGGTTCACCATATGATTAAGCCGTCTTAATGGCTTCTATCTCCCTCGGACTAAATATGTAAATTCTATCCCATTGGCACCCCTTTATTCTTCCCGTCAATATACTATACTGTACTAAAATATCTTTTCACGTTTTGTAAATCCTTTTCGCTCTTCCCTATCAACAGCCAATAGAAACGCGTTTCAATATTCATAACGCAACATTCGAAACGTGCTTCGCAATGACTCATTTTGATATCTTAATAAACGCGGACAGAGATGAATCGTAGTTAGGCGCAAGTTTTAGGTATGGTTCAACTATGGCCGTGCGTTTAAAAAAACATAATCGTCTTAAGAGGGAAGTCTTAAATTGCCATATGGCTGATAAAACGTGCAACATGAGCATGCTTCATTACATATGGGAACTCGGCACGTACGCAAAATAACCGTTCGGGGCTTTTTTATAGAATCATTCTTAAATATATGGACAATATGATTTTTTATGGCCAGCATTGTTTTGGAAAAAAGTTAAATGAATTATATCGATGTCATACAAAATCGTAAAATTTAGGTGAAATAAAAAACGTCACGGCGTAGAAATTGCTACTTGTTCTTCCCTGAAAGTAAGACCGGGTCTTATTTCAATTTTCTTTCAAAAAATACCACTAGGACATATTTTTGTCGGATGTCTTTTTTTTCATTTATCAAAACAAAATTACAAAGTAGAGAATTACGGGATTTCAAATATACAAAATATGAAAATTCATATCCATTTACTTATGAATAACATGTTTTTTTTGAAAAAAATTGCGCTATCGACTACGGTAGGTCTTATTTTTCGGAAACACAGTTCAACTTGATATTCCTTGGTGACTATTTACATATAAAAGTACGAACAATTTGAAATTGATTGGTCCATTAGTCGCGAAGAGGAGCATTTAAATAAAACGATATCAGCGACAAGTTTAGTCTCCAATTATCCACATGGCGTGCATTAATTTATTACCTTCGGGTGAGCGCACATGTACCATTTTTTAACAACACCTTTAAATTTAACTAACAGTTGAGGTTCCGTGAAACTAACACGCAACCTCAACTGTTAGTCACGTTTGCTTCTTCGTGAGACTTCTGTATCCACAATGGATCCTATCAACTTCGAACTCAACAACTACTACAAGAAACCTTTAAATTTACTTAGGGTTTTGTTCGCTTTTCCGATTCTGTAATCAGTTTTATTTATTTCATTTTTATCATTTATTTTATCGCCTTTTATGCTGATTACGCGGTCAAAATAAACTTAATATTATTGTACTGCGATACCTTCCGCAATGCCTCCTCGCCTGCCCCCAGCATTAACTCTAGCCTTTGGTTACAACAGCCCGACCCAATAAGCAACGCATCGCTTTCACGCTACGCAAGCCTACCTTCCGCTACCCGCATGTCGACCCTGATAAATAATTTAAGCGCTCAGCCAGCCGTGTAATAATACTATGAAGCGCACGCGGTAAAGTAAACTAAAATTGTTCGGAGTGGACGCATTGTATAAAAGGCCTACAATGCTTTTGACTAATTTCCTGGTATTTTTCTACAATCCAGTTTATTTCATTATTTTAGGTTGGGATAAGTACCGCTATGCTGGATTTACTATTGCCACTGTTATAACAAAAATCGGCACTATCCAATTGTCACCCACCACTAAATTTCTCCTGTGCTGTCTTTAACTCTTTAAGTTGGAAATCGCCGCGCTAATACATTTCCATTTCCTTTTATATTCTGTTTATCTTAGATATAAGACGGCTGCTATCTAGCCCAACTTATTCTAACCCAATATAGCGACAACAGGCTTTGGTCAAAATTTTCACTACCCATTCGATCACCTAGCAGTATCTTTGTGATTATTAATACTAGTTGGATCTCGTCAAGCGGTCTGAACGATGAAAATACAGTGATGTTGATGTTGGGAGTTTAATATATATATTTGGGATAATAAAAAATTATTTATATAAATCGCGGGCGAAGAAAGCCGACATGACGTTATGGATTTACGTTTACGGAAGCTGGCACGATAGCTAACTTTTAAATCGTTCATTCGATCAACTGGGTGGAAAATGTCTGCTCCGAAAAAGGCTAAAGACAAGTAGAATCACTTCAAGCGACCTAAATTTCCAGTGATTCTATTATTAGGATTTTAATATGATAGATAATATTTTATAATTACGCCGGGGAAACTAAAGTGAATAAGACGTTCTAATCATGTGTCGAACCAAGACTTCTCGTTCAATTGTCAGTCCAGTTCGGATATTTCCGTGGTTATTTACATATTTACTTATTTGAATTAAAATATCTTTCTAGACTTCGATTTTGCTTCTAATTTATGATATAAGAAAATTATTAAAATTTAATAAACATAAGCGAATAATAGGCAATTTTTATGAAATTCAAAGTGGTCTAAAATTTCTTAGATCGCAGTTATATGGAATATAAAAGTATTTTAGCGATCCCGTTTTGCAAATACGTGTTCCCAGCGACAGAATGACTGTGTGAAAAGCTTTGTTCGTAACAAAAGTGCGAAACATTACCGAATTTTGTTTGTAATCTCAGATCTCGCCTGGCTGCCTGGGATCGTATATATATAAAGAATTCGATGAATCTTCTTTTCCAAGTAACTCGTAGCGGTAGTGTGGCCTGTGAAAGCGGTGTTCTGATTTCAAATTACGAATTAAATGCTGACTGCTCAACGGTATCTATCTAGATTCTTGGTCTTAGCGAGTATAAACACCATATAAAATATCATCGATAAATACCATCTCAATTTCTCGTCCAATATTTTGGTAAACTTTATATAACGAAATATAGATAAAGAATTATATATAGAAACGAAAACTTCATAAAAAGTCAGCGCGTAATCTATTTTAACCGATAAAAATTTAAATTAAAACGGCAATAAACGCAAATGAAAAGCGTTATTCTGAGCGAATCCCATTACCTCGTTAAAGATTTCTACCTTTAAGCTAAGCACGCGTCCTTACAACATAATACACTCTATCGGGTCTATCCCACTCATCTTCGTAACACGATGGCTGGTAAACCGATACACAGACTTGTTTCCTTCCGCATTTCCGCAAGTCAATGCAGGCTTTATACTTAAACGAGAATTTATGGTCCTCTACCGCCACTTGGAGACTGAACATTATTAAACAAGAGAGCTAAGCTATGCTGGAATATATGGACACATAACGCCACCCAGTGGCAATAATTTTGATGACGTCATACCGAGAAAATAAAGTAATACCCTTCTGGAGAAAAATTATTTTTAATTTTTTTTTTTTTTAACCACTGAAAATATCAAAGCAATTGGTCCAGTATTCGAAGAGAAAAGCGATTTTTTAAAAATGGAGACGGAGACAAATAACAATAACAATAACAACAAAATTTTGAAACGATCGTTATGGCCACTAAACGTGTCCAATAAATTCCTGAAATGTGATGCTGGCTTAGTTAGGTCTAACGCTTTAACCGCTAGGCCAGAGTAGTATTTTTGAACCTGTAGCGGCAAAAAAATCGAGTTCAAAATTTCGACAAAAATTCAAAACTTCGCCTCCCCTTCTCGAAATTTAAAAAATAGCATACATTTCCTTTTTTCGTAACTCGAAACGCTTTTCAGACCGTCAACCCGGACCAAATGGCGTATCTATGGTGTGGCAGCCATGGCTCGTGCCATGGGCGCCGTTTGGACAGGGGCGCAAAAATGGCGAAATATTTCAATTGTACAATGTTTCAATCAAATAATTCCAAATCGGAAATAATTGAAACTCGTATTTTTACGTAAATAGTAACGTACAAGTATCTCAATTCAATAACAGTCGTCAAAAATTGTTAGTCAATGATCAAAGGAGCGCATTTTCAAACTTTGCCATGGGCGCCATTTTACCTAGATACGCCACTGGCCGGACCCGCTACCTGTCACGGTCTAACCCTTGGGTGGGCAACCTTTTTCGGCTCGCGTACCAAAATCGGTTTAAGTTAACGACAAAATTCTTCCGTGTTCCGACAAAAATTAAAAACAATTCTTTGCTACTTTAACGCGAAAATACACAATAATAAACCTTTTAGACATGTACAGACAGATTCACTATTCGGAAAAATATCAGTCTTACAAATAGATTTGGTTACTTTTTTTATTCTATATCAGTGAGACTTCTGCTGCTGCATTACCGATGATTGAGATTTTACATTGGGTTTATATTTTGTAACTTTCAAAGAAATACACGAACTACTGGTTTCATCCTTCAGGCTAATAGTATTACGAGACTTAATAAAGTTCATAACTGAGAACAGAGATTCACTAGCATATGTAGATGAAAACATGGAGAGTAATGCAGTTGTCCAGTTTTTAAGACACAGAAAATTTTGGGAGGTCGCATCCAAATCACGCGTTAAATTGTTTTCTGCACTTCTCTCTTGTATTCCCTTTTCCAATCGCTTATATTTCTTTTGAAATCAATTCATAACAGTGAGTTATCAAGTAACTCTAACCAACATAACTCTACAACTTTATAAACCAAGCAGAAATGAACAAAAAGGTGGCACAGACGAACTACGAGCTTAAGCTACGTAAGAATGTGACCAAATGAATGCTGCGGTCATCTCGACAAAATTTCTCGATGTTCACTCATTTGTTTCGTCATAATATATTTCTTTGTAGCCATATGTCATGAGAGGACAAAAAGTGTTTAAATAAATAACGGAATATTAATAACGGATTGGTCTAACCAAGGGGTGGGCAACTTCTCTAGTCGGCGGGCCGGATGCGGGAAAATGAAGTCCTCGGCGGGCTGGATTATTACAAAAAATACTTCGGTATCCAATCTTTGTTAAATGCTCGACACTCTCTGTCAACTTTACGTTACTTGGGATATTCCATGGTTGATAAAACTTAATAAAAAATCTAATTTCTAAAATCTATTTATATTTAGAATTTAGAAATAACTGATAACAGTAGTGGGGAATGTTTACAACGCTCTCTGCTTTGACCTTATATTGTTTGTTTAACAAGCGTGCTAACGCAATTGTTTGTTCACTAAAGAAATTGCTTATTTCACCAGCTCGCGCTGACAGTGCGGTGAGAGTAGAGCGATCGGCAACTTTCAGAAATGACGCGTCAGACCACATAACAGAGTGTGGTTGGATACAGTCAGCGGGCCGGTCAAAATCTCGTCGCGGGCCGCATCCGGCCCACGGGCCGTATGTTGCCCACCCCTGGTCTGACCCAATGGTTTTCAAAAGATAAGGCGCAGTGAGACAACGTTTTGAAGTAGGTGTGAAGCTAATTACAAATAAAATTCTTGTTAGATTTGATCTTGCCTTCCTTATTTTGGATATTTACCTTTTAAAACTTCATTTAATTCATTATTTACGTTGCATCCACTTATTTTCAAAGTGTTTTTTGAATAAAGCCTACTCTCGCCTTACTATCTATTATTTGTAGCTTATTGTTAGCTAGTTATTTTTGATGTGGGGTGCGAGACTCTAAAAAGGGTGCGCGGCTTAAAAGTTTGAGAACCACTGGTCCAACTTGAGAATTTCGGATCCCCCTCCTCTGAAAATTCCCCTACCCCCCTGTTCTCAAATGTTAAAAGTGCTTAGTCAACTAAACTTTTTTGACTTTCTGTGGAAGGTTTTGACTTCTTTTATCGCTATGGAAAGAAAGATTGAAAAGGCTTGGCGGTGTGGCGCATCGTGCTAAGCGCTCGCCACCGCATCTCTTATTACCCTGCGTAGGTTCGAATCTTGTGCGGGAATAATTACGTGCGAACAGATTGCTGGACTCCTCGCCGCCATAGCGGGGTTCTAGTAACCGCTGGTCGATTATGTCACCTCAACCATTAAGTTCATGCTTCTGAAACAAATAACTAACTAATCCCATACCCGACATGGACTGGTATACGGAAGAGAGGCCGTGGTTCGCCATATAATTAAGCCCCATGCTATCCTAAAATCATACTCCGGCCAATTAAAAATTTCGGATTCGACTCTGGCAAGTTTAAAAACCTATTTCTTATATTTGACATTAAATAACTTTAAACCAACTACACGTATTGATACACTTTCTACCCTGAGTAGTCTATTGATTCGAGTACTAATCGTCGTCTTCAATGCCCTCGGGACATATAAAATATCGCGACGGATTATACTAAATTATAAGGGTTTTGTCTAGCTGGCAAAAATCAATTTGCAATGAGTGCAAAATTTTTATTAAGAGATGAAAAACATTTTTAACATTCGAATACAGCTTTATTGGATTTTTTGTTTAAACATTGTTTTTGGAATTTAAGGAAGCGATGCTCAAATATATGGACACGAACGCAAAAACTAGGCAGTAGTTTAACTTACAGTAGCATTGCCGTCAAAAAATTCTGACGTGTAGCGACGAAAAAGGTTGAAGAATCGCTACAAATAGTTGTATCAATTTTCAAGAGGCTATTACCTGAAATTTCGAAGTGAAAACGAATGTTGTTTTTTCTGTTGGTATTTTTCTTCTTGTTGTTATAAAAAAAAATCGCTTTCCTTTATAAAGTTTATATCTACTGATTCAAATGCTTTGAAGATTGCTGTAGTCGCTGGATAGTTATTTGCCTTTATTTATTTCAAAAATTTCTGTGGGCTCTGAGGGATTTTCACAATTATGACTATACGCGCCCAAGTCATTGCAATCGTTAACTATAGTTGGCAAAGCGTTGAGTGGGTATGATGCTGGACATGCCCCGATATCTTAATCCGACGTAGCTACGGTTTACGCACCATCAAATGCACCGGAATAAATATATAAATCCTATCCTGCATGCGCACTCACGACTTCGCAGTTCGTTTACATGATAGAATTGTTTCTTTTCATACATGTCCATTTTTAAATAGTTCACATTTATTTCGAATCAGAGATAAAAAAACTAAAAATTGCATCGTTTTCCGTGACGTAATTGCATGTAAATAAAACATATTATGACGTTTGATAATTTGTATATAACGTAACAAATACTCATTATGATCGTATAATAATATAATATCACACAAAAATGAACTAAAACACATATGTGTATTTGGCTGAAAATGTTACAGCTACTGCATAATAAATAAACATTACAAAATATGAACACATATTCTGAGACACAAAAAAAGGAGTACTCATGTAGTATGTCAACCAAGATGACGGACATCAGAACGTAGTATGTGTACCAAGTTGGGCCATAATTTCAGTAACAAATACTACAAAAGTTACTTGGCTAGTCCCCAAACTCGTAATAAAACTAAAATAAGGAAATTTGGAATAAAGGTATGGCCTAACCCTAACCTGGTACACATACTACGTTCCGGTGTCCGCCATCTGGATGGACTACGGAAGCGCCTTTTTGAGAGCATATGGGAACACTTTATATGACGTTCGTCCGTCGTGTTCGTATATTCCAGAATTTCAAATTGGATCAAGGATGCTTAACTTGCATAAATAACCTCGAATCTCGAAACAAATTATCGAATTTTTGATGTTTTTTAAGAAATGCATCGAGCGATTACATTTCAATGGTTCCCAAAGTTGATTGACCGGGGGCAAAATTAGAGGCGGAAGGATATTCGCGGGTCAGAAGAAGGGAGTTCCGGCAAGAGGCCAATAACGATACCGGTACGTATAATAAGATACCTGTATCGTTGAATTATTAGGAATACGCACGTGCTTTAACTATGATAATGACGTAACAATTGGCGGTATCTAAAACGCAAACAGAAAAAAATGTTGGCTTATTTCACTCTCGAGTTCGGCGGGCCATGTTAAATCGTTACGCGGGCCGTAATTGGCCCGCGGGCCACTGTTTCAAAGCAACTATTCATTGCTATTTTCATCGAAAAACAATCGAGTATTCTGTTTTATTCTAATCCACGGAGACATTTACCATCGCCAATGATGACATTTTGTATCAACATTTTATATTTTCTTCTTCATTTTGTCTGGGATGCAGCAAAGTTCTGTTTTGTTGTTTTATTTTATTCGTGGGGATATATTTAAATGACATTCGACTTTCGTGTTCATATATTTGAGCACGGGTGTACAACCTTTGATACAGAAGGGGCCAGATACAAACAACTGGGTAAAACCACGCCCCATTATTTAACAAAGTCTTTCCATTAAGTGCTCACACAAAAATTTGGCGCTCCCGTAGTATGTGCACCAAGATGGCGGACACCGGAACGTAGTATGTGTACCAGGTTAGAGTTAGGACATAATTTTATTCTAACTTTTCTTATTTTAGTTCTATTACGAGTTCGGGGACTAGCCAAGTGACTCCCGTAGTATTTGTACCTGAAATGATAGCCTAACCCTAACCTGGTACACATACTACGTTCCGGTGTTCGCCATCTTGATTCACATACCACATGAGTACCAGAAAATTCTTGTTAGTGATCTTATGGCATGCGTTGTTCGCTTCGCAACAGATAGCTGTTAGGGCATTGTAACGTCACAGGTATAGATGATGAATGAAGGCTTTGCAGCGCACGTACCAGATAGGCACTTCTCCGCGGGCCGCTCAATTTTTCCTAGTGGGCCGTATTTAGCCCGCGGGCCTCAATTTCCACACCCGTCCTCTGGGTCAGAGATAGAATTGCTCCAAATACTGCACAACAAACTTAATATTGCATAATGAAGCCCTCAAGTTTATCAGTTGTAGTGCTTGAAGTACCACGGCATTGAACGATGACATATTTCGTTCTCAGTAGCGTTATACATCATGAAGTCAACGTATTGTTTGATTGGTTGTCCGACGTCTATGGTTATATTCGTAAAAAGCGGTTCCCGTTTGGTTGACACGCGTTTGTATCTGTAAAGTAGGGTCATAAATGAGGTCGGAAGTGTTTCGTTTAATGGCTTTTAACAAATGGTTTAAAAAGGTAAAAACGGGCAAATAAGAACGTGCTTAGATTAGACCACTAAGAAAAAGAGGGGACCACATAAATTTCAATAGAGCGAAGCCACCCCAAATTATGTTGAGGGGGGGTAATGACGTAATACTATGCTTACTCGTATATTTGTGCATTTTGATCTGAATAGATATGGCTAGATAAAAGTAGGCCCTGATATCTAACAATATCTTAAAGCAGAGGTTTTAAACTCGCGCCCCGCGGGCCAATTGCGACCCGCAGGACGATAGTTTGTGGCCCCTACCTTTGTATTAAAGTTTAATGTTAGTGTGGCCAGCGGGTCACTTAGCTCAGTTCGCATGATTAATACATTTAATACAAGAGAGCTATGCTCAAATATATGGACACGTAGCGCCACCCAGTGGCAATAATTTTGATGACGTCATAGCGAAAAAAAAAGTAATAGCCTTCTGAAGAAAAATTTTATCTTTAACCACTGAAAATATCAAAGCAATTGGTCCAGTATTCGAAGAGAAAAGCGATTTTTTGAAAATGGAGACGGAGACAAAGGAGACAAATAACAATAACAACAAAATTTTGAAACGATCGTTATGGCCACTAAACGTGTCCAATAAGTGTTCGAATTTTGATGTCACAATCACTAACGCTTAGATTTATATTGATACATTGTGACCAAGTTTTCCAAGTAGTGTGACATCACTGTCCATCGGCTAAATGCTTGATTGAACAAAAATAAAGTAAGAAAAGATTTGAATTTTTTAAACAAAGCTTTTATTATGGAAAACCTGATGCGGCCCAAACCTACCCAGATTATGCCTCCTGGGTAAATTGAGTTTGAGACCCCTTTTTATAACCCCTTTATAAATGAACTTCACAGCTCTTTACGCCACAAGGAATATTCACGGGGCTTCTGTAGAATGCGAACCAAGATCGCGGACACCGGAATATAGTATGTGTACCAGGTTAGGACATCATTTTATTCCAATTTTACTTAGTTTAGTTCTATTACGAGTTCGGGGATTAGCCAAGTGACTCTCGTAGTATTTGTACCTGGAATTATGGCCTAACCCTAACCTGGTACACATACTACATTCCGGTGTCCGCCATCTTGGTTCACATACTACGGGGGTACCATATTCACAGTGCCTTTGCTTCGCATTTAGGATTTTGGAATATGCTTTGTGCACAATATGCGAATAAAAGACTTGGTAAATAAGGAATTAGTCTCACCTTAGGGTGTTTAATCCCTCGTACTTCATCCGCGAGATGGCGTGCGCCATCAATGCAAAATGCCCTTTATTTTCTGCATTCGATTTTTCGGTTTGATGAAGAATCATATGATAAGAACAATTCTTTCCATGAGGATTATGGAGGCGGTATCCTGAATTGTTGAATGTACTTTATTGAAAAATAATTTATAAAAGTTAATTTAAAGTGTTGATACAAATAAAAAAAAGTGCATGAAAAGCAGGGCTAAAAAAAGAGGAATCGGAGCAATGAACGAAAAAAGATAGGATTTACATATTTATTCAGAGAAAGAAGGAAAGCCATGCGGCTTATCATATGGCGAACCACGGCCTCTCGTCCGGTTACCATTCCATGTCGGGTATGGGATTAGTTAGCCAGTTATTTGTTTCCAGATACATGGACTTGATGGTAGAGTCAAGCCGTAATCGACCAACAGTTACGTGAACCACCCTACTCTAACGCGGAGTCCAGCAATACTCTCGCACATAATTATTTCCGCATGGGATTTACCACATCGCCGAGATAAGCGAGGGATGGATATGAAGAACGATAAATAGCACGAGCAAGTAAGAGGGAAAGAGGAACACAGTAAGAAAAACAAGAGCAATAAAAAAGAAGATAAATGCAATGAAATAAAAAATTAAAGAAAAAACCGACAATGGCAAAAGAGGAAACAACATACAGAAAGACGATGACACTTTTAACATGTTTGTTAACATCGATTCGTTTTCATAGTTTGGGTTTTTGTGGGGTAAATCGTTCGAGCAGCTATCGGCAACTTCAAACAAGGAAATGGGGTTACTCCCAAAGCATGTGAACTAAGATGGTGGACACCGGAACGTAGTATGTGTACCAGGTTGGGGTTAGGCCATAATTTTATTTCAATTTTCCTTATTTTAGTTCTATTACGAGTTCGGGGACTAGCCAAGTGACTCCCGCAGTATTTGTACCTGAAATTATGGCCTGACTCTAACCTGGTGCACATACTACGTTCCGGTGTTTGCCATCTTGGTTCACATACTTCGGGAGTACCGAAATAGGTGCATCCTTTGAGCTGTATTATCTGGTTTCAACTCCTACGGGATAAACATAAAACCAGTCCTAAGTAAAGCAGACCTCACCCTTATTCCATAAGCGTATGAACAAGTCATCATCTTCACCGCCCCAACCCCAGTAAATGTTCGAGAAACCGTTAGTGGACCGGAATTGTGATGTTGTAACCATGGCAACTCCTCCAAAGTAGTGAACATTTTCGCTCCTTGGGACTGAAACAGATATTGAAAAAACAAGAGATGAATGATTGGGTCTAGTGTTGGCATCAATTTTTTTACATATGTCATTACTAATCCTCATTTGACTTACGCCACAGTGGCGTAACAAGGACCCTCAATCCATACGGATAGCCGTCCAAAACGCGCAGAAGATCATCCGAAATCAGGCAGGTTATTTCTCTCGTTTTCTCGTCGTAACAATCCCGATATGAAAGAGAAGCTCTCTTCGGGAAGCTCTATGACGTAATTGTGATGCCGTAGTGACGCGATTTTGGACGACGTATTCAGGTGGCAGTTAGGAATAACATACGCAAAATTGGTAATGACACGCCAACTAAAGATGCTTGTGGTACTAAACTAAACTGGACCCTGATAATTATGTTTTCGACGCGCAAAGGTAACTGCGGATGATAAAACGCCTCATGTAAAAATAATTTGTAGAAATTAATTTGATTTACAGACAAATATTAGGTGACCCCGGGTTGCAATAAATCATGACTGCAGTTTCGAATTCCAAGGAAATAAAATTTTGATGAAAACAAGCATTTCTTCAAAAAGTTAAGCGTTGACCAGTAAAAACGCTCAAATCAATCTAATGCTTTAGAGTAGGGAATGAGCAACCGTCAATACCGGAGGGCCATTTACAAATAACTGGACAAAACGAAAAGGCATTCAAAACATGACGAAATCCCACCCGGCTCCACATCTCTGAATGAAACTCCCTATTAAATTTTTTGCATGATTGTCTAAGAGAGCGAAAGAGGCGCCGCGACGCACGCATTGCCTTAATTCCTTAGCCCTAAATATTTTCAAATTTTAAAAGGCATTTTTTTCCTGTGAATATTGTCGCGAGTTTTTTCTTTGATAATTTGGCGCCGCACGAAAAAAAAGTTTAGGAAACGCTGGCGTAAATTAACGAGGACTCGCTAAAAACGACTACGGTTTTTGACTCTGGGGCCCATAAAACTTCAAAACTCAAACCTCTTGAGCAGTGGTTCCCAAACCTTTTAAGCCACGCCGCCCCCCCCCCCCCCCCCCCCCCTGTTTAGAATTTGTCAAGTATCTCGCCCATTTCGAAAATAACTAGCTAACAATAAGCAACAAATGATAGATAGTAAGGAAAGTATGTTTTATTCAAAAAACATGTTGAAAATAAGTGGATGGAACTTAAATATCCAAATAAGGCGGGCAAGATCAAATCTCACAAATATTTTTTATTTTTAATCAGCTTCACGCCTCCCCAAAAAATTGTTTACGCCCAATTTGTGGGCGCGCCCCACCGTTTGAAAACCACTGCTCTGGAGATTTTGACAAAGTTTGGGAAACCCTGATTTAAAAGAAAGTAAATTTTCTACTCACAAGTACTTGGTATACACTTCGGTTGGTAGGTTTTATAACGATGGAAAAATTTGTCAACGTAAATGGACAAACTGCGAGGATTGTCAACACTTGGGCACCAGTACAGACATTCATCGTTCTCCAGAAGCATATCGACATCATGAAAAACATAGCAATCATATTTTCGATCTGTAAAAATAAATGGACCAATTAGAAGCACGGATTTATTAAATTGGCCAATCGTATGTAATCTGCAAAATGAACGAGCCAATTAGAAGCACGGATTAAACAAATTGGCCATCACAGTCGCTGTATTTGATGGGTAATAATGAACACTTATATTCACGTCCGTACATGTTCTTCACGTCGTCTGTAGTTTGGCGATGAAACGTTTCCTACATTTTTACCACGATCTACCGAGACAAGGCATAAAGATTGTGACTCACTTACCCTTGTTCGCCTCCAGAAATCCAGCATTCAGTAGTTTAGCCTTATTGAACAGATGCTCCCCGCTCTGCCACATAATGTATACAGTATAATCCAATTGCTGCCGCTGCCATATTGGGTGCATATGCGCTAAGAGTACTCGGAGCTGATGTATGCGCCCGCGTAAGGGAATGATAATAGCAAGTTTGAATCGTGGACGACAGTGCTTTGGAGCGTATCTCCCACCGATAGACAATTCTGGGTTGTCTATAGAAATTTTTTCTAATGTCGGTGGTGAAAAATCCAAATAATACGGCCTTTTAAGATTGCCTTTTAGTCCGGGAGGTTTTTCTGGACAAAGCGGCAAGTCATACTTTTCCAATTCGTTGGATATATCATCGAAGTAGGAAGTAAAATTGTCCAGTGAGAAAACTTTCGTGTCATCGTTTTCAGTTCGATTGAAGAAATCGAAAATAAAATCTTCTTTCGATTTAAAACTGTTTATGAGCGAATAAATATGATCTTGATTCCTTTTAACTGTTTTAAACGTCACAATGAAAAATGACGTTATAATGAAACCTAATAATATTTTCTTCCTTCTGTTTACGAGGTATGAAGCAAGCTTTGTGGACAAAAGCATTTTTAAATACCATTTAGATTATTAATTTATTTGTAAACTATCTTGAAATTAAAAAAAAAGATAAAATAATAGGCGAGCTTCCACCAAAAGCGCATTGAAATAAGAGAGTGATACTCAAATATATGGACACGAAAGCCAAAATGAAGTAGTACGGGTAGGCATTCTGTCACAGTAGATACCGGTACCGCATTCTTTACGACTTCGCTTGCTATAATACTATAAATGCGAATTTGTATTTTCATCCCACTTTTTGCCTATGCTTTGTATCTATCCTAAATCAGAGCATATCATCTACCGTGTTTCCCCGAAAATAAGACCTATCCTGAATTTTAAATGTGATTTTAATATAAGCCCTCCTCTTGAAATAAGACCTAGTCGATAGCGCGAAATCTCTTCTACACGTTTTAAATGATTAATCGGTATTCCTGAAGTATGCGCACCAAGAAGTCGCATAACCTGAACCCTAACCTGGTACACAACCTGTGTTCAGGTTGTGCGCCATCTTGGTGCGCATACTTCAGGAGGTCCGATTTATCTAATACGTGTGAGTGAGAAAAAGCTAATTTTGTCATTTTTCAAATAAAAATTGAAATACCCTGTCATATTTTCGGGGAACACACGGTATCATCGAATCCTAGTTGTATTATGATCTGCAGACTTGTTTATGTTGTCTTCCATAAAGTGATTATGACACAACAATAACGAGGCTGTCACGTGCAGCGTGAATATGCTTGTGATGTTTTCTTCGTATGAGACTGCTGTATTGTTACCGGTAGCTGTGTATTTACATCGCGCTGCATCTTACTGTATAGTCTACTGACTGTAATGAATGTCATTCGTCCGGCTGATAAATATTTGGATCAAGGTTATTATGAATGTATAACACAAGCCTAATACTGGCAACAGTAAAACTTAACATCGTGTCAGAAATTGGATGTTGATGAAGGCAATCCTGGATACTCCTAGGACAAGGATTTTACAGCGTCGCGGTAGTTTAGGAATTATCACGCGACTGGAGAAAACAACGAGCTGTACTCAATTACGGTAAGATATTATTTACAGTGCTTTGGAAAGACGAATTATGATACAGAGGCCCAGAGAGTAACGGAGGGAGCTGACTTCGATGCACACATGAGAAAAGTGGAATCGAAAATTACGAATTTACATAAAAACTCATGGTTTATCGGAGAAACACGCATAATCCTCACAACAATAAATCTTAACAGTTACCTTCGAGCAGTGGTGGGATTAAGCCGGTTCGCACCGGTTCTATAGAACCGTCTCACGGAATTTTATGCGATCAGCAAACCGGTCAGCATTACTGAAAAAAACATGACTTTTTGTAACAGAACCGGCTGAAAAATATGACACTTGTGTGATGGAACCGGCTGACAAAAAATTCAAATCCTGCCACTGCCTGCGAGCACTTACCGTATTTTACGGACCACAAAGTATTATAAAGCGAAACGGTTTTTAAAGCAATACCGGTATTGGTTTTAAGTGTAGGCGATACCTGAAGTAGCCGGTATTGGTTTTGAGTGTAGGCAATACCTGATCCAAACATTGATCGATTTAAAAAAATGCTTATGGCCAAATACCGGTAATTCAGTTGATCTAGCTAGTACTAACTAAAACACATACAGATTAAACAGAAGCACTCATTCTGCGCAACAAACTTCACCTGTGTGCTAAAGTACAACCTAAGTTCTAATGCAGTGTAGACTAGCTAGTTTTGCGTAAGAACCCTCGGGCAACAACACTAACATATGCGTCAGTCTGTTACGTGTACAGCATTTGACGTAGATTTAGAAGGCATATAAAGCTCAGAATAGAGGATGCTGGTGTATTGTGTACTGAACTTGTTTACTTTCTACGGATTCGTATGTGTCAGGTCAGTTGGCACAAGAATGCTTGAACGGCAACATTACTTTCAACAACATTATTACTTTAAACATTATATTTAAATAAACTTGTTGCGGCATTCGCAGTAAGGACATCAATTCTTACGCATTTTCCAACACCATTTCATTCTATTCTCATGCGATTTACTAAAAAATGACTTTTCCTGACTTGCTATCAATAATCCTTTCACCAAGTGAACCAACCGAGCTATGAAAATGCGCGCTTGTATACCTTGGATAGTCTGTTGATTTGTTAAGATATTGTTAGACATCATTGGCCCAATATTTCTTCCGAATATTGAGTTTTAATTTAATTCACCAGAGAATTGATTTGGCACGCTTGTCTTCATATCTGAGCATTGCTCTCTGATTGGACACGGAGTGGACCTATGGATTGTTTTGCTATTATGTTGTTGGTATTTTTCTTCTTGTTGTTATGAAGAAAAAAAATTGTTTATCTCCTAACTAATGGACCAATTGCTTTGAAATTTATAGTGAATAATGATTGTATTTTTCGCAGAAGGTTATTACTTTTATTTATTCTCGAATTTTCTATGAACCCTATGAGATCTTGTATTTCATAAACTTTCGGTATATTTTTTGTTACGAAGCCTCGTATGCATGACACCCCGTGTTTCCCTCACAGCTTTTATCTGCTTGAATACATAAATGGTCTAATATTCATTTCAAAATAATTCACAGTAATTTCATGGCTAGTACAAGATACATTGAAAAATTGCTCAATATCGTCATAAAATGTATAATTCTTTTATAACCAATATGATATAACATCAGTAATCAGTAATTTATTTTATCACCAAGAAATACACACTGTACATACAGAACGAGATAAGAAAAGAGATGAAAATAATGCATTTCAGGGTGAAAGGGGACGCGATAAACCAGCATTGGTTATCGAGCAACGACACCTATGAATAGTCTAACATTGGGTTATACAAGAACAAAAATCGAACTAAATACAGTACTAAAGTGAGGAGTCGGACGCCAAAATACTAACATTGGCAGAAATATGTTTAAAAAGACCGGATATTTCCGGACTCACTAAGCAAACGACTCCGAACGCCGACTGGCAGATAACCATGACAACTACGGCACAAATACGGTGACGTCTAAGTGACTGGAGCACCATATTGCAAGCTGAGTTGGACGGTACCGGCACTGTGCTGATGCATGGTTCATAAAGGCTGGGGACGAATTTGTACACGAGGATAATATGAAGAGAGAAAAAAGAATAAAATGTATCTACAGGTTTGGGCAACGGATTAAGAGATCACTAAACCAGGTAATTGCATTGAGTTACATTACTTACAAATAGTCATTTTGTGTGGCATAAATATAACTAATTTCAGAATTTTAAATCACAACGGTTCTGAAGTGCGATCGAATAGGTCATGTAGAATATAGAAATCATTGAATTAAAAAAATGTATATACACAACAGTTCAATAGGACGGTTCATGCAGAATTTATGTCAATAAATTACATAAATTTAAAGTCACAGTAGTACAATAGCCTACTACAGGGGTCACCAAACTTTTTTGACCGCGGGCCGGGTGTGACTCAAACTGTGTTGAAACGGGCCGGACAAATATTTTTGTCAATGCAATACAATAAATTCACAAAAATTGGGAAATCCATTCAATTTATTCAACAATATATATTCTACATTTCTGAAGACTTGAATATTAAATTCTATAAATATCGCAGAATATAGATCGAGAACATCCTAGGAAAACAAATTTACAAGATTTCTATGTATAGACGACAATCCTGAGTTCAGCTGTTATCAAAACGTTGCACGACTACGGACTGCCTGCTGTAGCATGGATTTCCATGAAATTTCGACATAATTTAGATAAAATAAACAACTATTATCTGGTATTTGATTTTTATTCATTAGCACATAAATTTCCCAACATTCGGGGCTTTTAAAATTACGTGGTGCAAAATAATGATATTGTCTATGGACACCAATAAAATTTATGTGGACGAGTGTATTTCTTTCCTAACTTGATACATGATACTTACCAATTTTTATGGAGTTTGTACAATCAGAACATCGTTAAATTTTACCCATAATGAACCACTGTCAAACATCATGCACTCCAGCGTTTATTTGCGACGAACTTTCGGCGGTGTCAAGACCGTTGCCATAATAAAATCCTGAAATAGTCTCAATATTCCATAGATGTGACGCAGATTGTAAGATTAGTGATTGATATGTGTTTTTTTTTTCATATTTATTACAGTTCTTATTAAAAAAGCTTTTTATAAACTGGATATTGTTTTCTTATTTTCACTCAGATCTATCCACTGGCGCAGTTTTCATTCAAATCGGATGAACTTTATTTTTTTTGTAACTCACCTACATGAATATCCGCATGCAGTACAAAAATTAGTGTGACTTGTGAAATTGGAGCAGTACGCGAGGGATTACAGTACTGTTAGCGCAAAATGCACATTCGACGTTCATTTTAGCACGAAGACGTAAACAGTTTCGGCGAGTGCATCTTTCGCAGAAAACGTTGCCTCCCGGTAGAAAATTTTAGCCTATTTTGTCACAGCTATTTCTTAGACTAATTTTTAATTTCTACTATTAAAACTACAACTCCGAAAGAGGCAAATGATGATTGACTTATTTGATTCATACTTAAATTTCCCAAACACAACCAAAAACTAACGAATAGCATTCAGAATCGCAAAAACGAAGTATTTTTTACAACCACGACTGAAAATCTGTCAGGGTGACGAAAGTGTCTGAGCGGATGCGAAAAGGCCCATTATTACATCATTTTTTTTGCATCTTGCTGATTGGCCAATGTTACAAAATAAACAAGGAAGACGATGCTCGAGAAAAGTTTTCTTGGAAAAATATTTGGCCACTTTTGTGTGTTTTTGCGGGCCGGATAAAATGACGACGCGGGCCGGATCCGGCCCGCGGGCCGTAGTTTGGTGACCCCTGGCCTACTATGATAAGGCAATTCATGCAGAATATATAAGTCACTCAATTATAAAAATGGAAAATTCACAGAATTACAAACATATAAAATAAATATACTGATAGTACTAATAGTATGGGTCAGTCAGACAGCTGTAGTAGCTGATCAACATAATCCCATTTTGGCCTAGACTGTGCTGTCAAATCTACTGGAACCAGAATCCTGGCATATGCTGCCTCTAATTTTTGAGACATTTTGTTTTTTGAAAAAGCGTAAATGGGCGAAATGAGTCGAAAAGAGTGCATATGGAAATGTTATTGCATATGCTCAAAAATACGCATATCAGAAAACAAGAGAGCTACGCCCAAATGTATGAACACGTCTGTTCGCAGTACAGTACGGTATACCGTACCGTCAGATCACAGTCTACAAATATATTCACACCAAGCGAAGCAGTACAGTTGGACACAAAATGGCGTCCGATGTCCGCAGAACGTTCAGTGACGTCATAGCAAACAAAAATAATCTCACAGAGCTAACAGAAATATTTGAAATGTCCACTAAACGTGTCCAAAAATACATATATGTTTGGAAAACTTACATTTTGTATGCGTTGCTACAAAATACCTTTCATCCATCTGAAATGAAAAGCAGGTTAACATACCTGACATAGACTGGTAACCGGACGAGAGCCCGTGGTTCGCATATGATTAGGCTTACTATACGTCCCGCTTTTCAGCGTCCTGTCCCGCCGAGTCGGCCAAAAGTCCCGCTTTAGCGTTCAGCCATCCAGCATAGTACACGAACATGTTCTTGTTACTGTTGTTTTGTGTAGCGCAGCGCTAGCCTATACTTACTTAAGGTGAATGCGTTTGTTTCGTTGTTTCCCGCTAACATTGTTAGAAAACGTATCCCATGTAAAACCAATACTAATTAGTCTAAATTCGAATTATTTGTATCGGTATCGTTAACGTCAATTTCTTTCTATTTTCTCGAACTGAACCCGATATTTGGACAGAGAATATGCGCTTGAATTCTCGATGACAATAAGGTCAATGAAGACATCCGGGATAGCTTTAAATGTAGGCCAATGTATAGTAAAAACGGAAAATGTGAAGTTACAAAATCACAGCTGAGGTGTCGTTGTCTTTAGATGCGTCCCACTTTGAAGTCACAAAAATATGGCAACCCTACATATGATTAAGCGGTCTTATTACCTTTCCTTTCTCCCGGAATGAATATAGAAATTATATCTTAGAATTTAATGGTACTGATAACATATGAACACAACTCTTTGATGTTTTTAGGTCATAAAGCTCGAAATACCACGGCATCTGGCGATAGCATGTTGAATGGTCAGAAACATTTTCATTTTGACCGGAAAAGGGGGGATCTGCTTGTTTGAAACACAACAAAGTACTGTTTTGCTGATTCAACTTATAGGAACACTTTTATATGACATTCGATCTTCGTGCTCATATATCTGAGCATCGTTTGTTTCATCCTTCACAGAGCTTTATTTTTATCATGCATTAAGGCTCTTCAATCGCGAAACAAAGGATCACTTATAGTGCTTGAAGTACCACGGCATCGAACGATGACATTTCGTTGTCAGTAACGTTGTGCATCATGAAGTTTATTTTATTTCGTTGGGTCATTTTAAAATACTATTTGACTTTCGTGTCCGTGTATTTGAAAACGCTTTCTTATTGTCCTCTGGCTTAGAGATAAAGCTGAACCTTATACTGCATGAAGACCTTTATATGGTATAATAAGGAACACCAGTTTTTCAGTTGTAGTGCTGGAAGTCCCATGGCATCGAACGATGACATAGTTCGTCGTCAGTAACATTGTACATCATGAAATCAACGTATTGTTTGATTGGTTGTCCGACGTCTATGGTTATATTCGTAAAAAGCGGTTCCCGTTTGGTTGACAAGCGTTTGTATCTGTAAAGTAGGATTATAAAAAGGTCGAATGTTTATATTTAAATAAAAGTTTAATCTGAAAAATTACAAATAATAATCTGTTTTTGAAGCAATATTCACCAAAGTATTTCAATAAAAGAGATCTTTAAAAGCCAAGAATGTATATTCTCCTCATTTTTTTCGTCAAAACCCTCGAAATAACGTAGCCTCGGAAGCGTTCAACTGTGTTGCGTGTAACTGTTAACTCATAACTTTAAAACAAGCCGGTAGGCGCCCAGGATCTCCGCTGAAACATGAGGCGACCCGCGCTTCAGTAAACCGTTACCATCCACGCAAATCTGCGCCTACGACGACAGCGTATTGCAGTGACCGGGATACCGAAACTGCCAGTTCATTTTGAACGCTGCGCGTCTCGTCGGTATCTTTTTTTATGGGCGGTATACTGCAGCTAATAATTAATCATGTTCACTAAATGTCATAAGTTCTCAGTTGATGGATTACCGAGAAGAAAAATTGCTTGTTCAGAAGAGTACTTACTTCTGCGTATGGGAGGGTAGCAATGTCGGTATTTTGATTTTTGAGGTAGTTCACGAGATAATGGCGACAAAATGTGAAAAATCTAGAAATTTCTCAACGATCAGCGCGTTTTTCGCTGATACCATGGAAACGAAACAGCAATCCAAACTTTCGGTGAAACGCACATTACTAGAGTAACAGGATAACCCACGTGAGAAATTTCAACCAGATGGGCCCAGCAGTTAAGACGCTACAGCTAAACAGACAGAACAACTGAGAATAAGAGTCTAGACTTAGATCGTTGAATAATTATGTACGAGAGGATTGCTGGACACCTCGTTGCGGTAGAGTGGTTCAGGCTTCCTCCACCATCAAGTCCATATTTCTGAAAACAAACAACTGGCTAACTAATCCCATACCCGATATCGACTGGCAACCGGACGAGAGGCCGTGGTCGCCATATGATCCGCGGAATAAATATGTAAATCCTATCCCATTTTGTCAACGGGGTTAGAGTTGATATCGTTGGTTGGGTCTCAGCTTTCAAGCACAACGTATTTATCAATGTATTCATAGCACTTTACGTCCTTGGGAATGCGCACAGTAAACTTGGTTTACAGCAAAAATAAGCATTGCACAAATTAGTTAAAAACAACGTCTTTCGGTTAGTTTGAGTATTAGTCTCACCTTAAGGTGTTTAATCCCTCGTATTTCATCCGCGTGATGGCGTGAGTCATCAATGCAAAATGCCCTTTATTTTCTGCATTTGATTTTTCTTTTTTGTGTCGAATCATATGATATGAACAACTTTTACCGTAAGGATTATGAAGCTGATATCCTTAATGGTAAATGCTATATAAACAATGGAGAAATATAAAGAAACGAAGACCAAAACGAGGTAGTATCAAATATTTTACAGTACCGGCTTGGCGGTGTGGGACGTCGTGCTAAGCGTTAAGAATACGCTCACCAACGCACCTCCAATTACCCTGCGTGGGTCCGCAAATTTGAATTCCTTGCGGGGTTAATATTGTGTAAAAGGATTGCTGGACTCCTCGCCACCGTAGGTCGGTTACAGCATCCTCCACCATCAAGTCCATGCATCTAAAATCAAGTAACTGGCTAAGTGATCCAATACCCGACATGGTGAACTGGGCGAGAGGTCGTGGTTCAACATATGATAAAGCTGTTATATCGGCTTTCTTTTACTCCGAGATAAAAATGTAAATCCTATCAACCGGTAGTCTGACCATCAGATCACTGAGATGTGATCACGGCAGGACAAAAACAATCTTAAGACAATAAAACGTTCAAATCAATTAATCATGTTGTCGAAGATATGATAAGATTTACATATTTATCCTGGGGAAAAGAAAATCCGATAAGACAGCATAAACATCTGACAAATCACGGCCTCTCGTCCGGTTACCAGAGGAGAAAAGATAATAAAGAAACGAGCCATAGGTCCACTTCGCGTTCAATAGCACTTTAGAAATAGATAGTTAAACGTGAAAATTACACTGAACAAAATATATTTATTTGTTCTTCCGAAGTATGCGTACCAAGATGGCGGACACCGGAACGTAGTTTGTGTACCAGGTAAGGGTTAAGCCATAATTTTAGGTACAAATACTCAGGAGTCACTTGACTAGTCATGACTGAAGCCTATGGACAGGTGGTGTATTCACTTGACTAACACAGACAGTCCCGAACTCGTAATCGAACTAAAATAAAGAAAATAGGAATAAAATTATGGCTTAACCCTTACCTGCTACACATACTACGTTCCGGCGTCCGCCATTTTGGTACGCATACTCCATGAGTACCATTTATTCATATATATATATTTTGTGGTGCATGGAATATGGTGCCGTATAGCGTAGTTAGAAAGCATAAAAGGGAAAATTCGTACAGCTTAACGTAAAAAATAAGTTGAGGAAAAGTCACGGGCAAGTGGGAAGAGGCGATATCTTAAATGATTTCAATGCGGCCTAAAAAACAATTAGGAAATTCAAACCGAATTACCAAGTGAATGCGCGTGGATAATGGATAGAGCGAGATACGAGTATTAAAAATATAAATAAATAAAAAATACAAAGCTGGGATCAGGAAAGAAACGGTTACGATCTACGAAGTAATGAAAAAATTGAAACTTATCAAAATAAAAATATAAAAGTTCGAGAAATTATCCACTAAAGTAAGAGTGTGCAACCTGCGGACCGCAGAGAAGTGCCAATTTTGAGTGGTGTTCTGTCCGCGAAACGAGTTTTTGATCTAGTACGTTCTAGTAATTCATTTGCGTTACAAACCGTTTACCTGAGCTCGTGCGACCGAACAATGCATGTCATAAAATCAAGAACCAAAATTTTCGTGCCTGCAACTACTAGAGAGCTTATGTTAAAAAAGTGCGGCCCGCGGTTTCACACAGTTATTTCTATCTGGCCCGATTGTATCAAAGATTGCATATCCTTGCACTAAACGAAAGGAATATGGAGTTAATGAGACTAGAAAGCATCAATTAGAGAAAGAACTTTTTATTCAAACTGGAGACTGGAGGTAGTAGGTCGCTATATTCTATGCAACCAGAAGGAAAGTTCGCCGAATGGTTATGCTGTCTTATCAACTTTCCTCTCCCACGAGATAAGCATGAAAAGAATTTCTAAATAAAGTAAACTCACCCTGATTCCATAAGCGTAAGTACAAGTCGTTATCTTCACCGCCCCAACCCCAGTAAATGTTCGAGAAACCGTTGGCGGACATAAATTGTGATTTTGTAACCATGACCACACCTCCGAAGTATGGTACAGTTTGAGTCCTCCGGACTGAAACGGTGACCGTACGTTTGAACCCATGTACATTTGAACCCATGCGTATATCCACGGGTTCAATCTATATGCGGGTGCTAAAACCCATGGGTTAGGGTTAGTATGGGTTTAACTATGCGTGAAACAAAAAAAATTCCATAGGTGCAATAGCATACAGGTGCAATTGTCATGGGTTCCAATGTACGTGGGTTCAAATGTAATGGAACCGACTGAAACATATATTGAAATTAATATAAGAATAAATATGTAGAGAGGATTGTAGGCCTATACTGGATTTCTCAAATTTGGACTAGGTCAGCGGGCATTTTCGATATCGCATATTATTATTAAAAATTGAATGCCGAATACTTGGAAGATATCCAATTATATTTAACTTTTTATTGCGATGGGTTTTCCAGGCACGTATATTACTGAAACATATAAACCATTACTCGTACATTTTGTTCGTTTAAAAAGTCTGAACCACCTATTTTACACCCCTTCATAAAAGCAACTAAAAATATTTGCAAGTTGTTTGAGAAAGTAGAAACTGTACTCACTATTACTTGGTCTACATTTCAGGGTGTAGGATTTATAACGATAAAAAAATTTGTCAACGTAAACCGACAAACTGCGAGGGTTGTCTTCGGTTGGGCACCAGTACAGACATTCATCGTTCTCAAGAAGCATATCGACATCATGGAAAACATAGCAATCGTATTTTCGATCTGTGAAACAATGGACCGATTAAAAGCACGGATTCAACAAACTGACCAATCGTTGTAATCGTATTTGATCATCAGAAATAGATAAAGCAATCAGAAACGTGGATTTAACATTTCAGCCAATCATCATTTCCAATATTACCAAAACGCAGCACTCATATTTTCCATCGGTTGAAAACGAATGAACCGATTAAAAGCGTGCATTTAACATTGTAGCCGATCATAAAATAGGAAGTTTAATCAGTTCTGTTTTCAATTTATTCCCCTTCCAATATGTATTTACTAAGAGTTCTGCTATGAATCCACGAGGAGGGGAGAGGATTTAACCTACAAAAATGTGACTATGGATTCGCGTGTTCATCGTGGCATGATTAGAATTTTAGTGCTACATACTTTGGTCCGAACACAGCTATGTCGAAGGCCATTTCGACTCCAAAGGATTTCAAAATGTATAACGACCCATCTGTGCAATGACGTTAATGCCGTTGGTATTCAAAATACCTAGGGCTAAAGTCCTGAAAGGAAACAATGGCCATCGGATGTATACATGAATTTTAGATTTTGTATTATGATGCCAAGATTTTGCATTCTGACGTCAGATTATTGTACGAATTCTGGGATTTGGTTAAGAGTGCGTTTTCTTTGTTCTATTCGTCGAAAGGCTATATATTGGTCCTTAATAATAAATCCTATAAAATCAAAGCCGAATGAACCTTAAATGGTCACGATTATGACGTATCGATTATGCAGTCAGTTTTTGTATTATGACACCACGTTTTCTATATTTCTAGCGCCTCGTTGAAATGTTTGGCTCCAAAATGTCAGTTTACCTTTATTCGCCTCCAGAAATCCAGCATTCATTATTTTAGCCTTGTTGAACAGATGTTCCCCGCTCTGCCACATAACATATACAGTATAGTCCAATTGCTGTCGCTGCCATATTGGGTGCATATGCGCTAAGAGTACTCGAAGCTGATGTATGCGCCCGCGTAAGGGAATGATAATAGCAAGTTTGAATCGTGGACGACAGTGCTTTGGAGCGTATCTCCCACCGATAGACAATTCTGGGTTGTCTATAGAAATTTTTTCTAATGTCGGTGGGGTTAAATCCAAGTAATCCTGCCTTCTCAGATTGCCTTTTAGTCCGGGAGGTTTTTGTGGGCACAGAGGCAAATCATACTCTTCCAATTTGTCGGAATTATCATCCAAAAATAAAGTGAAATTATCCAGTGAGAAAACTTTTGTGTCCGCGTTTTCAGTTTGATTGAAGAAATCAAAAATAAAATCTTCTTTTGATTTAAAACTGTTTATGAGCGAATGAATATGATCCCGATTTCCTTTAATTGTTTTATACGTCACAATAAAAAATGACGCAATAATGAAACCCCATAGTATCTTTTTCATTCTTTTTATGTATGAAGCAAGGTGTAGAGGCATTTTTTTTTATATTAAAATTAGGATTATCGATTATTTTAAAAATATCTTGATTTAAAAAAGATAAAAATATCGGTTGGTTTTACAACAACGCGAACTTTATCGCGTTTTGGACGACATTCGTATACGTTGACGGGCCTTGTTTTGTCACTGTGACGTTGTATATAGTGATGTAATACTTGGATGACGTAATCAGATGTGGGTTGGAAATGACATAGGCGAAAATGGGTATTCCACGCCGACTAGAAGTACTTGGCGGCGATTAGTGCAATAGCCCCCAATAAAATTATAAGTTTATTTCGGATTTCGAAGGCCGTTGCTAAAATATCAGCGAAATTGCAATGTACCGGTCTTTATCTGAAGACAAATATCGTCCGAGGAAGTCTGACCTTGGTCAGATGAAACGTCACGAAAATAATAAAGGGTCCATAAAGTCTCACAAAAAAAATTGAAATTGCAAAGGGAATTTATCGATACCATATATTATTTTGGCCCTCACGGATGTATTAAATGAAGTTAAAATACTTGAACAATTACTGATTAAAAAACAACAAACCTGGTTAAGATGTATTGAGAACTGACCTCATAACCAAATTGAAATTCTAAAAGGACTTTATAGACACCCTGTATATTGTCAGCCGGTTCCTTCACAAAAGTCATATTTTTCAGCCGGTTCTGTTACAAACAGAACATTCACAGTAACCAGTAATGCTAACCGGTTCGCTGATCTCATAAAATTCCGTGAGACGGTTCGAAAGAACTGGTGCGAACCGGCTGAATCCCACAACTGACTGCAACCAAAAACTTGATCCTGTTAATCTGCGGTTCATATCATTCGGGCGTACAATAGCATCAGGGGCGTAGGCGGGTGGTTATGGGGGTCAGACACCCCTCCACCTTTTAAAATGTCAAACAATAAAAGCATCTTTCTGTATCATACATAGCAATTTTTCATAGCTTGAAACGCTTTTTAAACAAAAACTCATGAAAACACACGTTATCCGGCGTTCGCCCCCTCCCCCCCCTTTGAAAATTTCTGGCTACGCCCCTAAATAGCATACTACATCCATAACCCCCACACAAAAAAGAAAGGGCAATCTTGTCGTCCGGCGCACTTCACCCGAAAGCCAAACTCCTACTTTAGCAGCCTAGCGTATTCATCGCATCCGCCCTTAGGCAACAGCGCGAACGGATGGCTTAGTTAGTCTGTTACGTTTTCATTATTTAGCGTGGATTAAGAAAGCCAATCAAACTGTCAAAAGTTGCAGAAAATTTCATTGCATTCTATAGTCGTTCAAATAATCTACATGGATTTCTTACTATTATAGCGAGACCTAGGTCCGGGTCGCGTCATTCGTTGACTGGTCGAGTGACGCCTTGACGCGGATCTGAACTGCAACAAAAAGCTTCTGCCTCAAACTAAGTTCAGTTATATTCTTTTTATCGCTATTTTTATATTGTTTTAATTGAGGAATACATTATACAACCAAGATTTAAACATTTTAAATAAAAACTTGGAAGCGCAGTCTGGGCACGCGTTAAGTCATAATACTGCAACGCACTCTACACTAGAGGTGTGCAAACTACGGCCCTCAAGAAAAAATTGTGCTACCCGCGGAGAAGAACCAATTTTGAAAGATGTCGACCCGAAAAACGAGTTTTTAATTCAATTCAAATTTGGTACATGCGAGTAATTCCAATCCCTTTGCGTTGCGAAGCCTATACCTGAGTCCAATTTATCATCTATGTCAGTGGTAGGCAACCTACAGCCCGCGGAGCAATATAGTCCGGCCCGCGACGCTTCACTGAATTATAGTAACAAATTATAGCTGTTTTGTCGATTATTCTTTACGCAAAAGAATTTACGTTAACACTAAAATATGTTATAACGTAACAAGTATGTAATTCACAATTACTCGTTTAATGCCCCTATAATTTAATTATAATTTAGACAAATGGCAACAAAACGCAGAAAAGTTGATGCTAAGTGCAAATGGTTTAATGGCGCAAAAAATATTCAAATGGTCAGTCTTCGCGCGCTGCTTAAAATTTAACTTCTGATCTGCGTGATAAAATTTGATTCATCGGTCATCCCTTCGATTTTTAACTTTCTAAAAATGTGTGCGGCCCGCCAATAACTTGCAACCTTTAATTTTGGCCCGCGAGCGACAAAAGGTTGCCGACCACTGATCTATGTCTATGACGTTACAATGCCTTCATAACTAGCTTGTGCAAACAGGTCACTAGGGCTGGGCATTTTCGAATACCTGATGATTTCCGAATCGAATCGAATATTTTTTTCGAATCGAATCTCCGATACTTGGGAGATATATAATTGTATGTAACTTTCTTCTTGTATTGGGTTCTCCAGACACATAAATTACTGGAAACGTAAAATACATCACTCAGATCACTGATTGCTGAGCGTTCACGCACAATAAAAAACTTGTTTTCGTCAATAACTCACTACAGAAAAGAGTCATTTGTCAGAATTGCGTTGAAAAATTATGGCTTCAATAAGAAGAATTGAGAAATTTAGCTCGACAATTGGCAGAAAAGACAAAAAACAAGATGGCGGCGATTCGAAATTTCGCTCTGAACCGTTCCGAATAATTTACTATACGATTCGAAATGCCCATCCCTACATATCACATGCGCATGTCACAAGATCAATGACCAACATTTTTGTGCCTTCAACCACCAGAAAGCCTATCTTAAATATAGGTACCGCCCACGGTTTCACCTAGTTATTTCTATCTGACCCTTCTGTATTAAAGCTTGCGCACCCCCGCCCTACACTATATAGGGGCGAATGATGGAACGGAAATTATCAGCCTCTGTTTTCCAACATCTTTATATTTTTATATATTGTCTCTAATCCACATTTGAATGATGCTATAACCAAACGAGTCAACAGCACCGATGGCCTGCTGCGGCCTTGCATACTAACCTACATAAAAGAATGACTAAATTGGTCATTCTGTTGATATACAATACACATGGTATTGCTTGCGACTTTTTTTATGTTATCACGAAGCAATAAAATTATCCTATTCTCTCTCCGTTTAATTGTTGTACGTGCCGTTCACACAACCACAAGTTTTTTTTTTCAGTAATTAGATGGCCTGGAGTGAATAGTCGTTAGCTTTCTCAAAAACAAGTCTATAATCAGATTAAAGACGCTGTTCGTTTGTTGGTTGGAAACGATGCAAAACTTGCCGTTCAATTAAAGTGTCAATTGCAACCTACTCAAGTAAACAAACATGAATTGAGCCATTAAATAGCTCTCTTTTATATGGGTAATTCTGCCTATATAGAAAACAAATATTTTATCGTAATAGCATTCACACAAATACAGACCCACTGCCTTATCGGAGTGTGCCAGTAAAAGGTTAGGCAATGCCAAATGGAAGAAAATAGCATTTTATATATAGAATGCTTGTTCAGTTCCTTGTATGGGACAAATTTGTGAATGCGTACCATAAAAATCAGTACTCAGTGTGAAAACGCACTGTAGTAGAGAAATCACCTAATAATTGAATTATTATTTAAAAAGCAGTTTTTAATTGTCGTTAAAAATTTTGAAAGAACTTTAATGCTTTTGCAGTAGCTACATATATTGCCCGAGTGTAAGTCAAGTCAACTTTATTTTTTCCAACCAGAAAGAAAGTCAGTTTTGCACAAAATACGGAGAAAAAAGATAGCTAGAATAAAGATGATGATGAAATGGAAAATATCAGCTTCTCCGTTCAAACTCCTTTATATTTTTCTATATTGTCTCTTGTCCACATTTGAATGGTACTATAACGAACTTTCTCTCAGTGGCGCAAACGAACGAGTCAAGATCACCAATGGCCTTTTGCGGCTTTAAAGAATGATTAAATTGGCCATTCTGTTGCTATACAATCTATCAGTATGTTCAGAGTGTTTTGTGAAAAAATATTTTTATTCGGCTCGGAGGGTGTAGTCAACCCAAAATTGTTTTTTTTATGTATAATGACGTAATACGACGATTACACGTGCCTTTTGCTCCGAACAAGGCTACATAAACAGACCATATATCTAACAATATCTTAAAGAATCATTCTACAGACCCTACTTCACTTTCGAAGTTAACCGAGCGCGCATTTTCATCACGATTGGTTCATTTGGTGAAAGGGGTATTGTTAGCACGTCAGGAAAAGTCAGTTTTCGGTAAATCTTTCAAGAACAGAGCAAAAAATGGTGTTGAAAAATGCGTGAGAATGGATGTCTTACTGCAAGTCTCGCAGAATTTTTGTTGAAAATGGTGGCAGGTATTTCGATATGATGTTCTTATTTATTATCATAATACGATCTCGTTTAAGCATCGTTGTGGCAACTGACACATAAGGTTAAAAGGAGGAATAAACAAGGCCTGGAGTTCAGTACACAATACACAGTACCGTCTATTCTGAGTTTTATATTCCTTTTAAATCTACGTCAAATGCTGTAGACGTAAGAAGCATGCGTTAGTGTTGTTGCCCGAGGGTGCTTACACGTAACTAGCTAGTATATACATTAGAACTTAATTAAAATGTAAGTTGGTGACATTTTTCGCGCAGAATGAGTGCTTCTGTTTAATCCGTATGTATGTTAGTTAGTACTAGCGCGATCAACTAAATTACAGTATTTTGCAGCCAAACAGTCAGTAAATACACAGCTACCGGTAACAATACAGTCTCATACAAAGAAAACATCACAAGGATATTCACGCTGCACGTGACAGCTCTTCATCATTGTTGTGTCATAATCACTTTATGGAAGACAACGTAAATAAGTCTGTGGATCATAATACAACTAGGATTCAATGATACTGTGTTTTCCTACTTATTTTTGGGATGTCTTTTATTTTCATTAATCAAAAACAAAATTACCTTTTCCTCTTCCAAACGTTTTAGATCAAACATTTGAAACGTTTAAGAGAATTTCTTGCTATCAACTAGATCACAAATATTTCGCGCTTTCGACTAGGTCTTGTTTCAAGGGGTAGGGCTTATATTAAAATCACTTTTGAAATTCTGGATAGGTCTTATTTTGGGGGTAACACGGTGGTTGATATGCTCTTAGGATAGATGCAAGGCAAAGACAAAAAGTGGAATGAAAATACGGATACGGATTTGCTTTTATAGTATTATAGCAGACGAAGTCGTAAAGACGGAGGTACCGGTAGTCTACTGTGACAGAATGCATACCCCGTACTACTTCGTTTTGGCCCCCTTGTCTATATATTTGAGTATCACTCTCTTTTTGGGTCTAGTATAGTTTAGTACCACAAGTACTTCCGGTGGGCGTAGCCTAACGAATTTTGCATATGTTATTCTTAACCCCCACTTGACTATGTCATTCAAAAATTACGTCACTACGTCGTCACAATAAGGTCATAGATCTTGCCAAAGTATAACCAGGATCCCCCGAAACAGCATCTGCACCGTCGATAACAAACCCACTAACGCCAGCGGTCTCTCTCATATCAGGATCGTCGCGACGAGAAAACGAGAGAAATAGTTTGCTCGATTTCGGGTGATTGTCTGTGCGCTTTGGCCGACCATTCATACTATTTGGAGGTCTTTATTACGCCACAGTGACGTGGATTTTTGGTGACGTAGTAGGTGGGGGTTAGGAATGACATATGTAAAACTAGAAGTCCATGTGGTACTAAACTATAACAGACCTCTCTTTTTTTCGCTTTTGGTGGAAGATCGCTTATATTTTCATCTTCTTTCTAATTCAAGATAGTTTTCAAATAAAATAATAATCCAAATTTCAATTGAAAATGCCTCTGCCCACAAGGCTGAATTTTGCTTCATACGTCATAATGAGAAAGAAGAAGATAACATTAGGTTTCATTATAACATCATTTTTCATTGTGACGTATAAAACAACTAAAGGGAATCAAGATCATATTTATTCGCTCATAAACAGTTTCAAATCAAAAGAAGATTTTATTTTTGATTTCTTCAATCGAACTGAAAACGATGACCCAAACGTTTTCTCACTGGACAATTTTACTTCATACTTCGATGATATGTCCAACGAATTGGAAAAGTACAACTTGCCGCTTTGTCCAAAAAAACCTCCCGGACTAAAAGGCGATCTCAAAAGGCCGGCTTACTTGGATTCTGTACTATCGACATACGAAAAAATTTCTATAGATAATCCGAGGTTGTCAATCGGTGGGAAATACGCTCCAAAACACTGTCGTCCACGATTCAAACTTGCTATTATCATTCCTTTACGCGGGCGCATACGCCAGCTCCGAGTACTCTTAGCGCATATGCACCCAATATGGCAACGACAGCAATTGGATTATACTGTGTACGTTATGTGGCAGAGCGGGAAACATCTGTTCAACAAGGCTAAAATAATGAATGCTGGATTTCTGGAGGCGAGTAAAGGTGAACTGACAATTTTGCGGCAAACATTCCAACGAGGCGGTAAAAATGTAGAAAATGTGATGTCATAATATAAAAACTAACTTCATAATCGATACGTCATAATTACAAAATTCATTCGGCTTTGATTTTATAGGATATACTATTAAGGACCAATACCCTTTTGACGAATAGAACAAAGGAAACGCACTCTTAAATAAATCCCAGATATTGTACAATAATCTGACGTCAGAATGCCAAATCTTGGCATTATAATACAAAATCTAAACGTCATATATATATATATTCGATAGCCATTGTTTCCTTTGAGGTCTTTAGTCTAGCCCCGACACATAAAATCCAGTTATTTTAAATAACAACAGCCGAAGGCAATAACGTCATTAGACGAAACTGATGCGTCGTTGTACATTTCAAAAGCCCTTGAAATACAAATGGCCCTCCTAGAGCTGTGTTCGGAACAAAGTATGTAGAATAAATACCACAGTGAACACGCGAATCTATGGTCACATTTTTGTAGGTTAACCCCCCTCCCTTTCTTGTGGATTCATAGCGGAACTCTTAGAAAAATATATATTTGAAGGGGAATACATTAAAAACAAAACTGATTTCAAACTTCCTGTTTTATGATTGGCTACAATGTCAAATGCACGCTTTCAATGGGTTAATTCATTTTCAACAGATCGAAAATATGAGTGCTGCGTTTAGGTAATATGGGAAACGGTGATTGGTCGAAATGTTAAATCCACGTTTCTGATTGGTTTATTCATTTCTAATGATCGAATACGATTGGTCAGTTTGTTAAATCCGTGCTTTTAATTGGTATCACAGATCGAAAATATGATTGCTATGTTTTCCATGATGTCGATATGCTTCTGGAAAACGACGAATGTCTGTACTGGTGCCCAACTGAAGACAATCCTCGCAGTTTGTCGGTTTACGTTGACAAATTTTCCTATCGTTTTATATCCTACAGAATGAAATGCAGACCGAGTACTTGTGAGTAGAAAATCTTACTTTCTCAAACAGTTTGAAAATAATTTTTGGTTGCTTTTAGTAAGGGATGTAAAACAGGTGGTTCAGACTTTTTGAACGAACAAAATGTACGAGTGATGGACTATATGTTTCAGTAATATACGTGCCTGGAATAACCATCACAATGAAAAGTCAATCAGTAGTTTATTTTATCACCACATTGAAAATACACATTTTACGTACAAAATCAGAAGAGAAAATAAATGAAAAGTTGCATTCCGTAGTGGAAGGAGTCGCGATAAACCAGTATCCAAGATTCGATTCGAAGAAAATATTCGATTCTAAAATCAATAGGTATTCGAAAATGCCCGCTAACCTAGTGGGAATTTTCACTGGTGGCCCTCAAGGGATGTTGGGGTAGCGTGGTCCTTCTTTGAGAAATCCAGTACAATCGTAACGTTGCATGGTCACAGTTTTCTACATATTCGGTCTCTCATTATTTTCAATATCTGTTTCAGTCCCGCGGACTCAAGATGTTCAATTGTTTGGAGGAGTAGTCATGGTTACAAAATTACAATTCATGTCCGCTAACGGTTTTTCGAACATTTACTGGGGTTGGGGCGGCGAAGATGACGACTTGTACTTTCGCTTATGGAATCATAGTGAGTTTGCTTTATTTAGAAATAGTTTTCATGCTTATCTCGTGGAAGAGGGAAGTTGATAAAACTGCTTAATCATATGGCGAACTACGCCCTCACGTCCGCTTCACCATGTCGGGTATAGGACCAGATAGCCAGTTATTTGATTTTAGATGCATGGGCTTGATGATAGAGGAGCCGTAACCGATCAGCAGTTTACCCTACGGTGGCGAAGAGTTCAGCAATCCCATCGCACAATATTAACCCCGCATGGAATTCAAATGTGCGGACCCACGCTGGGTAATTAGAGGTGCGTTGACAAGCGTATTCCTAACGCTTAGCACGATGCGCCACACCGCCAACATGGTACTGTAAAATATTTGATACTACTTTGTTTTGGTTCTCGTGTCCATATATTATACCATTGCTCCGTGTTTGTATAGCATTTACCATTCAGGATATCAAGTTCATAATCCTTATGGGGAAAGTTGTTCATATCATATGCTTCAACACGAAACAGAAAATTCAAATGCAGAAAATAAAGGGCATTTTGCATTGATGACTCACGCCATCTCGCGGATGAAATACGAAGGATTAAACACCTTAAGGTGAGCCTAGTGCCTAGTCAAAACCAACGAAAGACGTAGTTTTTAGCTAATTCGTGCTAATTTTAAACGTCCGCTGTAAGGCAAGTTTACTGTGCACATTCCCAAGTGCTATAAAACACATTGATATGTACGTTGTGCTTGAAAGCTGGGACCCAACATCGAGTTGAAACTAACGACATCAACTCCAACCCCGTTGACAAATATTTCAACTTTTATTCAAAATCCGAAGTCCGATTGCGAGACTTATTGTGTTATGAGTTAGTCTAGCATTTTCACTACAAACACTTCTACAAGAATGCAAAAAAATAAGGCTCTAGAATTCAGTGGTTCTCAACCCTTTTCAGTTCGCGGACCGGTAAAATTTCAAACCCACAAAGTTAACCAGAAATGTCATGAATACCAACATAATCAAAAGAAATACTGCAAAATTAGGCGGTGCAAAAAAAAGACAGTCCAATTCATTGAGAAATTTGCTGCTGAGGAAGTCAGATTTTGGTCAGACAAAACGTTACAGAAATATATTTGTGTCGGTGTGCAGCAGGAATTGCCGGTATTCCCATTATATATGCCGCAACTTTACTTCTAAAGAGGCTCTGACAAACATCTTGACAGTCATTGGCGAGCCGCACATATTTTTAGGAAGGATGATACTTTTTATAATAAAAATCAAACAGTGATACATCTCTCAAATAAAATATTGATTCATTTCTTCATTGCATTGCATCCATTTAAATATATTCGGCGCCATTGAACTATTTGCAATCAGCATCAACTTTTCTGCGTTTTGGGGCCATCTAATTATAATTAAATTATAGGCTCATTAAACGAGTAAATGTGAATCATATACATGTTAGGTTATAATGTCTACACGTGTCTCATAATAAATTTTGTTACGTAAAGAATATAATCAGCAAAACAGCTGTTTTGTTACTATAATTTAGTGAAGCGTCGCGGGCCGGATTATGTTATTCTGCGGGCCGTACTTTGGCGACCCCTGATCTAGGTGAATAATACTTCAAATTTTAAATTAAAAAAACTGATCAAAAAGCAGATTAATATTCGTACTTTTTCCGATTAAACTTTTTTAAAATATCAACCTTCGACTCTTTTATAATCCTACTTTACAGATACAAACACGTGTCAACCAAGCGGGAACTGCTTTTTACTAACATAACTATAGACGTTGGACAACCAATGAAACAATACGTTGACTTCATGATGTACAACGCTACTGACGACGAACTATGTCATCGCTGGATGCCGTGGTACTTCAAGCACTACAACTGACAAACCGGTGTGCTTTATTATGCAATATAAAGTTCTTCATGCAGCATAAGGAGCAAATCTATCTCTAATAAAAAAAAAATTTAAGCTTTGAAACCTAACAACATCGAGTGTTTATGTTATCAGTAACAATAAATTTTATAATAAAATTTGTATATTCATTCAGGGGGAGAGGAAAGCCGATAAGACCGCTTGATCATATGCGAACCACGGGCTTTCGTCCGGTTACCAGTCCATGTCAGGTATATTGACCGATTTATCATTTCAGATGGATGGACCTGCATTCTGTAGAATCGCATACATAATGGAAATTTTCCACTCATATAGGTATTATTTTCTGATAAAATTTGCAGTAACAATTTTACACGTGCATTTCGACTGTATTTAGGTTACATCACATTGATTGTGAATGGAATTATACATTTTATGACAACATATAAATGTTATAATACGTCATAATGTTTGTTTGTAACGTTCTATTATGTCATAAGAAAACAGCAATTTTCAATGTATCTTGTAATATCCTTGAAATTACTGTGCAATATTTAAAAATGAATATATATTTTAAATACATGCAACAATTAGAACATTTACGTATTCAAGAAGATAAAATCTGTGAGGGAAACACGGGGTGTCATGCGTACGAGGCTTCATAACAAAAAATATACCGAAATTTTATGAAATACAAGATCTCATAGGATTCATAGAAAATTTAGGAACAAATAAAGGTAATAGCCTTCTGCAAAAAATACAATCTTCAACCACCGAAAATTCCAAAGCAATTGGTCCATTAGTAATTAGCAATAAGAAAAACGATTTTTTCATAACAACAAGAGGAAAAATACCAATAACATAATAGCAAACGACACGAGTGATGAATCAGTTCTCTGGTGAATCAAATTAAAATTCAATATTCGGAATGGAAGAAATATCGGGACAATGATATTTAACAATATCTTAAAGAATCTCTCTACAGACTTACTTTGCTATCGAAGGTATACACGTGCGCATTTTTATCTTTCTCGGTTGGTTCACTTGGTGTAAGGATTAGTGATAGCAAGTTAGGTTTCAGTAAATCGTTCAAGAATAAAGTAAAATGGTATTGAAAGATGCGTAAGAATTTATGTCTCACTGCAAATGCCGCAAAACTTTATTTAAAATTCATGTTGAAAATGGGGGGTATTCTGGTCCATTATGACATTCTTATAATATGATCTCGTTCAAGCATCTTTAAAAAATAAGTAAACAAGCCCGGCAGTTCAGTACACAATAGACCAGTACCCTCTATTGTAGACGTAACAGACTGACGCATATGTTAGCGTTGTTGCCCGAGGGTTCTTACGCAAAACTAGCTAGGCTATAGTGAATCAAAACTTAGGTTGCAAGTTAGCCTGCAGGTGAAGTTTGTTGCGCAGAATGAGTGCTCCTGTTTAATCTGTATGTGTTTTAGTTAGTACTAGCGAGATCAACGGAATTACCGTATTTTGCAGGCCACAAGTCGCACTTTAAAAAACAAAAATTACTCTAAAATCGATCAATGTATGTATCAGCTAGTGCTTCATGGCCTACACTCAAATTCGATACCGGTATTGCTTTAAAACCGTTTCGCTTCATAATACTTGTGCTCCGTAAAATACGGTAAGTGCTCGGCAAGATTTATTGTTGTCAGAATTGAAGATGTAACGATACCACTTTTGTCACCGATACCGATACCAACACAAAACGACAATAACGATACACAAAAAGTCGATACTATGTAATTATTACTCTAGGTGTGCAGGATAAACGGGTTAAAACAATAGTCAGGGAATATTATTCACAGTGCACTTTATTTCAGCTTGACAAAGAGATATTCGAGAACATACGAAATTGATATTCGTGACCGAGTTGCATTAATTGATTCAGATGCATTGTGCACTGGCGCTTGGAAACTAGGTGTCCAATTAGAAAACTTATATGGTTTGGCTGCAATAGATGGTAAAGTAAATAAATGTTTACTTATCTTATCAAACTGAAACATTGAGTTGTCTGCGAAGGATTCTGTGCAAATATAACGTCGTATTTTGTATATTACACATTAAAAATTATTCAATTGATATATTTCTTTATAATTACCATGTCATATAAAAATGTCAATATAAAATATAATAAAATTTGGCAGCAAAAACAGCCAAATTAGTTGAGCTAGGACTGCTAGATCATAAGTTCTCAAAGTGCTTTGTACGGAGCCCCAGGGCTCCGCGAGAGGAACCTAGGGGCTCCGCAAGCTATTCGATTACTTGTCAAAATACTGACTTGGCTAGAGAAAGAGAGATTTATTATTTGTCAACCAGAAAAACAAGCATTGCAACAGTAATAAAAATATACAACAATAAAGTTATTCGGTATAGACCGGGAGGAGCGATACGACCATACGGTCATCAGAGTCAGCTTTCCCCATAATTTTGTAACTGTCCAAGAAAGCAGTAACAGCTTTATTAAAATTTGACAACCGTATAGCCTCGAAATAAGGCAAGAAGTTGAAATTCAAAAATGACATTATTTATAAGCAAGGGGTTCAAAATTGTAATCGGAACTTTCCGGGTAACATTCTTCGCGATTAAAAAAAGCTTTTTTGGCGGATAACGAGATTTTTGTTGCGTAAAATATTCAATCCAGGACCGATGCGAGCATTTAAAATGTCTTGTCATAATAATTTAATTGTGCTCATCGTTACTCACGTTTGATTCGAGATTACAATTAGGATTACTAAAATAAAAGATTACTATTCTAAAATAACATAAAATATGTGATAAACTGCCAACTATAAATAAATTGGAATCGTATTTTTGGCATCTTGGGATTTGTCAAACGTGATTTTGTTCTTTCGCACTCGAGATTATTTTTAAGCAAGATATCGCCGTTACAAAAATCCCTAGGTCGACGTTAAAACTCAATGAGTACAATTTACAATTGTGCAATTCATGACGGGTGGGGGAATATTTAAAATGATTTGTTTATTGGGTTAATTGTGTTCAATGTAACCTGTTGTGCAACAATAAAAATCACTACTTTTCAAATTACCACGACAATCCGCGGACATGAAATGAGAAACAATGAAACAACGAGAATATCGGTCAGAGATCGAAGACTTATCGATCGAAAGTTAGGGGATCCCCCAAAACAGAAACTGCGGTTTCGATTCGAAAAATTCTGCAAACCCGAACTGGATTGTTTTGATTAGTTTTCAGCCAATATAAAAAATGTAGGAAACAATAGCCAACTACTAGAGCTCGACCGATATATCGGCCAACCGATATATCGGGCCGATATTGCGGATTTGCCGATATATCATATCGGCCCAACCGGCCGATATATCTGGCCGATATATATCAGCGTTAGTCGCTTTTCCACGTTCTAAAAAATGAGTATTTTTCCCCGGGAAATATCTGCGGCCGAGCGTTTTCTTTTTTCGCTTCTCTCATTTTGCCTCTTCTATATTTCTCTCTCTTTTTTATCTCTTCGTGCGGCGCAAAATCCTCGCCTTCGAAAATCTTGCGTCCCCACTAGGCTTGCACGTAATCGACAAAAATCAATTCCGTAATTACGGAAAAATTGATGACGTAATGACCCCGTAATTGCAATATTTTTTCACACGTTTAAACCTATCATAAAAACCATTTGAATCCACTTCTTTTTCGAATGGGACATCGAAGTTTGGTTTTCATATTACCGACAGTACTACACGCCGGCGACAGATTATTAAAGACAAAATACCAAGGAGTGAATTCAAATTAAATTTATTCTGATTCTCATCTTGTTTTATTGTGTTGGCTTTGATTTTCCTTTATCACCTTCGCAAATTAACCGTCCCAATTTTATGCGATCAATTTTATCATTACCGACACAGGTATACGGATATTTATGAAACGATAGTTGCCTTTTTTTAAATCGACTTTCGTATTGAATAAAAATTTCGGGTTTCTAAGTTATTAATCAACGACAAGCGTATTCTCTCGTTTGATTATACCTGCGCTTGCCTCGCGACGAAGACTTGTTATTGCTCCGTCTTTTACATTATCCGACTTTGCTACCTATTAGCATTTTATAATAATTATTGATGCTGAATTATTGACGATATTCCGATTACCAAGCTTCATTTTATATCAAATCATTTCGCGGCCTAAATGTTATAACATTATTTGCGATAAATTTAGATCAAATATTAATTATTTAGCCGGCGATAAATTCTTACCCGTAACTCGTTGTAAATTAATGCTAATAAATTCTATTTTGTTTTTTAATGCGCTGTGATTTGTATTAATAAAAGTGATTGAGTCGGGAAAAGAAAGTAGCCTATATAGCCTTCTCTCCTTTTGAGCGATTATAGCGGCGGTAAAATTCGTTTCATGTCTGTTTCACGGAGAAAAAGAAATATATGCCTTCCGGAATTACAATCAACTATCACACATTCTTATTTATCATTATCAGCGCCGAATAAAAAAGATACCAAATCGTGGAGACAAAAAAGTCTGTCGGTGTTAATTGCGTTACGGTGATAACGCTTATAATAATATCGTTTTGACCGTGAAACCAAACGCTCAAACGGGGTGGCAACGCGTCATGCCGGCTCAAAACGGCTGCGAATACCGGAACTCTAACCTCTTCTACTTGTTAAACTTTCATTTTTTACAATCGACGGAATTGACTGCTTGGAAGGAGCACGTTTCAAACGCGAAAGCGTTCGACCAATAATTACGAGTTTACGTAATTTGTAACTTCCCTTCCGTAACTCGAAATAATTCCGTAAATTACGTGCAAGCCTACTTCCACCTACTACTGTATGGATCAAAATGGACTTCTATAAGCTTTTTACTGTCTGCCTTTTTTCTTTTGTGCATCAATGTGTGTTCTTATCATTTGCTGCGAAACTTTTATTAATGATGCAAGCACTGTGTAGGACTGCTTTATTTTTCAACATAAACTTTTGATTGACTCAAACTGAATATTTCTTTCTATTTGTATTTACTGCGGGTTCAGGTTGTAGATATCGGTATGTTGATATCGGTTATCGGTCACTAGTTGGCCGATATATCGGTATCGGTATCGGTGCCAAAAAGTGATATCGGTCGAGCTCTACCAACTACCCATGTCGTCGTCGAAATACTACTCGAGGAAATACTTTTATGAAGAATTCTGCAAATCCGAACTGGATTGTTTTGATTAGTTTCCAGCCAATAGCCTATTTACCAATCCTATATTTTGTGTCAAATACAACGGCGCTAACCCGGGTTGCGACGGCTATTCAAACACAGCCTAGCGATATTTTGGTGAGGAATTCTGCAACCCCGAACCTGATAGAGGGATATGGACATTGCTTAAACTTTAAAGATAATTATAAGTAACGAGATACGATCTCGCGGCGTGTATCCTTCGCTCTGACTCAATAGCGTGGAAAATTTCACGAAGGTAACTTGCGCATCGCGACCACGTCCAAGTTACAAGAGAGATATGGACAATGCTTAAAGATTAATCACGAGATACGATCTAGCGGTGTGTATCCTTCGCTCTGACTCACTAACGTGAAAACTTGCGCATCGGACACGCACACACACATTCAGCGCGTCTCAAAAATCTCTCGCTTTGTAAAAATCCAGATCTCTTCATCACTAATTAATTAATAACTCGCTAATTATACGACATAATTCATTCAAAATCAATAGGCTCCTGGTCCGAGATATGATGAATGCACATGCAAAATTTGGAGCAGATTCAACCATGCCTTCGTGAGATATCGCGTGCATCTAACAGACATACAGACAAATACCTATCAACATACTTACCGATTAAAATCGATAAGTAATTAAGTGAACGAAGTTCTTGTGGACAATCGTAAATCCTGAACAACGCTGTTATCATAAGATATTAGAAACAAAGTCATATTGCTCACAAAAGAACATACCTACTATCGGTGCCGAAGTTTGATAACATATTTTGCCGCCCCGATTAAATCATAATCGTAATCATGGCAGTGTGGTAAATTAAAGCGATTTAGCGAATTCGACAAATTTGAGCCGTTCTTGCAACATTAACTCCTACCCCATATCGCAGGTCTGCTACTCAGATTCTTTGCAAGATATCGCCTTAAAAAATCACATGGTCTGTGCAAATGTCTAAAAAAGCGTTTTTAATCTGACGTAAGTCTGCTGAAACAAAACTCAAAGTGTTATCTTCCGCTTTAATTAAGTTTAAATTTTAATATTTCATAATGCCGCTTTTCAGAAAATTTGAGTTTCAGATTTGCCTCTTCATTAATTATTTTTAGCATCTTGTCGCCGGTGACTATAATATGGTAACATGTTTTTCACATTGAACTCGTAATTACCCACGAGAACCAAAAAGCAATTATCGTCGTCATTGTAGAACAATCCACGTATATGCCGAAGGAAATTTTTGATTTGGGCAAATAAACACCGACGTAAAGATGTTTAGGGTTTAAAAAAACACGTCACGCTGACGAAAACAGTCGGCGATTTTAACAAAATGCAATCGCGAACTTTATTAGCGACCTTTTAAGTCTTCCAAAAATATCAAAAGAGAAAAGATTCGAGCCCTAATTTAATAATATGTTTTTCAAGTGACAGCTTTAGTATATATATAATTTATCTTTGAAATTTTGATTTATTTAAAACTTGTATTAACCCTAATGAAAAAGGTTTAGCATTTATATTGGGTAAAGTAACTTTAACTTACTCAGGAATATTAATCGGGAAGTAACAAGTTTAAAATTCATTTAAGGGCTCCTTTATTAATAATCAACCACTTCGCGGGCTCCGCAACAACGAAAGTTTGAAAACCGTTGAGCTAGATCAAAAAAAAAATCGCGCTATCGACTACATCATGTTTTAAGAGAAGGGGTTATATTAAAATCATTTTAAAAATTCAGGGTCTTATTATCATACTAGGTCGTATTCTCGGGGAAACGCGGTAGATGCTGTGCTCTAAGTTAGGAAGAATACAAAGCATACAGATTCGCATTTATAGTATTATAGCAGGCGAAGTCGTAAAGACGGCGGTACCGGTAGTCTGCTGTGACAGAATGCCTACCCGTACTACTTCATTTTGGCTTTCGTGTCGATATATTTGAGTATCACTCTCTTATTTCAATGCACTTTCGGTGGAAGCTCGCCTATTATTTTATCTTTTTTTTTAATTTCAAGATAGTTTACAAATAAATTAATAATCTAAATTTTAATTAAAAATGCTTCTATCCACAAAGCTAAATCTTGTTTCATACGTCATAACAAGAAAGAAGAAGATAATATTAGGTTTCATTATAACGTCATTTTTCATTGTGACGTATAAAACAGTTAAGAGGAATCAAGATCATATTTATTCGCTCATAAACAGTTTTAAATCGAAAGAAGATTTTATTTTCGATATCTTCAATCGAACTGAAAACGATGACACGAAAGTTTTCTCACTGGACAATTTTACTTCATACTTCGATGATATATCCAACGAATTGGAAGAGTATAACTTGCCGCTTTGTCCAGAAAAACCTCCCGGACTAAAAGGCGATCTCAAAAGGCCGTTTTACTTGGATTTTGTACCACCGACCTTAGAAAAAATTTCCATAGATAATCCGAGGTTGTCAATCGGTGGAAGATACACTCCAAAGCACTGTCGTCCACGATACAAACTCGCTATTATCATTCCTTTACGCGGACGCATACGCCAGCTTCAAGTACTCTTAGCGCATATGCACCCAATATGGCAGGGACAGCAATTGGATTATACTGTATACGTTATGTGGCAGAGCGGGGAACATCTGTTCAACAAGGCTAAACTAATGAATGCTGGATTTCTGGAGGCGAGTAAAGGTAAACTGACATTTTTGCGCCAAACATTTCAACGAGGCGGTAAAAATGTAGAAAATGTGATGTCATAATACAAAAACTGACTTCATAATTATTTTTATAATTTTGACAGCCATAAGTGCATTCGGGTTTGAATATTAGGGAGCAATAACTTTTCAACGAATAGAACAAAATCTATACATACAAAATCTAAACATCATATATATTCGATAGCCTTTGTTTCCTTTGAGGTCTTTGGCCTAGCCTTAACACATAAATTCTAGTTATTTTAAATAACAATGGCCGAAGGCAATAACGCTATTACACGAAACTGGTGAATAGAATAGATGCCATGCGAATCTATGGTCACATTTGTGTAGGTTAAATCCCCTCTCTTCCTCGTGGAACTCTTAGTCAATTTATTGGACACGTCAGTGTACATAACGATCGTTTCAATATTATGTTGTTGTTGGACACGTAGTGGACATAACGATCGTTTCAATATTATGTTGTTCTTGTTCTTGTTCTTTGACACGTTTTTAAAAAGTCGCTTTTCTCTTTGATTACTGGACTAATTGCTTTGAAATTTTCAGTGGTTGAAGATGAAATTTTTCTCCAGAAGGCTATTACTTTTATTTATTTCAAATATTTCTGTTAGCTCTGTAAGATTTGTTTTTGTTTGCTATGACGTCACTAAACGTTCTGCGGATATCGGACGCCATTTTGTGTCCAACGGACCATCTTGCAATTTCAATTCACGCTGTCACAAGACAGGACCTTCTAAAGATAGAGAAGTTCTGGTACCGTAACACAGCGCGGTGACACTGAACTAACTCGTAGCTGTCAAAAGCTTGAAAATTCATACAAATATGAGAAATAAAAAGATGAAACTTGGCAGGTGGGTAGAGTTGTGTTTCTTTTAACCATATTTGAAAGTTTCGCGTTTCTACATTCGAAGGAGGGGGAATAGGGGGTGTGCATTTCCGATACGTCGATAATATCTTTGTCAACCAATTTGCGGCCACCGTGTTTTCGTCTGTTTGATTGCTGTGATGGGGTGCTTTGTTTATAATTTAACGAGTTTTGTTCGAAATAACCGTGTTCTTGAAATATATGACGGTCAGAAATGCAATTAGAAGCCCAATGTTTTCACGCTGTCACAAGACCAACAATTGTCAACCAATTTGCGACCACCGTGTTTTGTCTGTTTGATTGCTGTATGGCTGCGTATGCGATAGTCTCGACGCAGCAGAAGCGATGATCAAGGCTTGAAATCCACACTGGTCGTTCGGTCGCAAATACGTCTTTCGAGTGCCGTACTTTGGGGATTTGTATAGCTTTAACCCTTTGTCGTAGAAAGTTAATACGAGGTTTAGCGTGTAGAATAAATGCCGCCAATGCACCCACGGTGAAAAAATTAACGGGTTAGATATATTGGTTTTTGTTTTATAGCGGTTTGAATGAAATTGTCCGCAGACTGGCTACACCACCCTAGGCCTGGTGAGTTGTCCGTGTAGTCGAATTGTCCATCAGCCCTAAACGGCTATGACAGTCACTGTACCAAAAATTGTACCCCGATTTGGCTGGTGTTAAGTTGACGCATGTTATTTAGTAACGTTTTTATGTGAAATGTTTGACTGTGGTTCGGTACCTGATCCGATAATACGTTACATAATTGACTCATATCACGAGATATTTCAACTGATGTTTCAATTGTCACAGGACCTAAAATATCTATGACAGTCCCTGTACCGTCACGGTACCCCGATACAGGTACTGGTAAGTCACCGCCGGTATGTTAGTCGTTGGTCACCGCATATGATTTTTGGGGAATTGTTCTGCGTGTCCATATATTTGAGCATTGCTCTCTTGTTCTTGTTATTATTCTTCTCTTTCGTCATGATGAAATCGCTTTTCTCTTCGAATACTGGACCAATTGCTTTGAAATTTTCAGTGGTTAAAAATTAATTTTTGTTCCAGAAAGCTATTACTTTTACTTATTTCGAAAATTTTTGTGGACTTCAAGAGATTCGTTTTTGATGTGTCAGAATAAAAAATAGCGAAACCTTGTGACGTGTCCATACATTTGAGCACAGCTCTCTTGTATTCGAACGGGAATAAATTGAAAACAGACCTGATTTCAAACTTTCTATTTTATGATTGGCTGAAATGTTAAAACCACGTTTCTGATTGGTTTATACATTTTTAATGATCAAATACGATTACAAAGATTGGTCAGTTTGTTGAATCCGTGCTTTTAATTGGTCCATGTTTCACAGATCGAAAATACAATTGCTATGTTTTTCATGATGTCGATATGCTTCTGGAGAATGATGAATGTCTGTACTGGTGCCCAAGTGAAGACAATCCTCGCAGTTTGTCGGTTTACGTTGACAAATTCTACCATCGTTATAAATCCTACAATATGAAATGTAAACCAAGTACTTGTGAGTACAAAATCTGACTTTCTCAAACAATTTGCAAATACTTTTTGGTTGCTTTTAATAAGGGATGTAAAATAGGTGGTTTAGACTTTTTGAACAACCAAAATGTACGTGTAATTGAATATATGTTTTCAGTAATATACGTGCCTGGAGAACCCATCACAATAAAAAGTCAATCCAAGTATTCGAGATTCGATTCGAGAAAAATATTCGATTCTGAAATCAACAGGTTTTACTTTGAGAAACCCAGTACAATCCCAGCGTTGCATGGTCACATTTTTCACATATTTGCTCTAATTAATTTCAATATCTGTTTCAGTTCCGCGGAATCAAAAGGTTCAATTGTTCGGAGGAGTAGTCATGGTTACAAAATCACAATTCATGTCCGCTAACGGTTTTTCGAACATTTACTGGGGTTGGGGCGGTGAAGATGACGACTTGTACTTTCGCCTATGGAATCAGGGTGGGTTTGCTTTATGTGGAAATGGTTTACATCTCGTGGGAGAAGAAAGTTGATAAGACAGCATAACCATTTGGCGAACTTTTCTTCTGGTTGCATAGAATATAACAACCTACTACCTCCAGTTTCTTTGAATAAAGGTCTTTCTCCAATTGATGCTGGCTTGAAAACTCGTTTCGCGAGCCGCACACCATTCAAAATCGACACTTCTCTGCGGACTGCAGGTTGCACACCTCTATTTAGTGGATAATTTCTAAAATTTTATTCTTTTTATGTCCATTTTGATAAGTTTCCAATTTTCCATTACTAGGTAGTTCGTAACCCCTTCTATTCTGATGCCAGCTTTGTTGAAATATTTGATACTTCTTTGTTTTTGTCTTTGTGTCCATATATTTGATCAATGCTTTCTGTTTATATAGCAATTACTATTCAGAATATCACCTTCCTAATCCTTATGGGGAAAGTTGTTCATATCATATGCTTCAACACCGAACAGAAAAATCAAATGCAGAAAATAAAGGGCATTTTGCATTGTTGACTCACGCCATCTCGCGGATGAAATACGAGGGATTAAACACCTTGAGGTGAGACTAATACTCAAACTAACCGAAAGACGTTGTCTTTAAGTAAATTGTGCAAAGCTTATTTCAAACCTCTGCTGTGAAGCAAGTTTACTGTGCACATTCCCAGGGGTGTAAAGTGCAACCCCGTTGCACCCCAACCCCGTTGACAAATATTGCAACTTCAATTTAAAATCCGAACTCCGATTGCGAGACTTAGGATAGGATAGGATTTACATATTTATCCCGGGGGAGAGGAAAGCCGATAAGACGGCTTATCCATATGGCGAACCACGGCCTCTCGTCCGGTTACCATTCCAAGTCGGGTATGGGATTAGTTTTTACTGTATTGTTTGTTTTCGGAAGCATGGACTTGGTGGTGGAGGAAGCCGTAACCGACCAGCGGTTACGTGAACCACCCAACGACGGCGAGGAGTCCAGCAATCCTCTCGCACATAACCATCCCTGCATGGGATTCGAACCTGCGAACCCACGCAGAGTGATTAGAGGTGCGGTGGCGAGCGTATTCCTAACGCTTAGCCCGTTGAGCCTTTGTGTTATGAGTTATTTTGGCACTTTCACTACAAACAATTCTATAAGTATGCGCAAAAATAAGGCTCCAGATGTTACCTATAGTGGGATCGGGGGTGTGGCGCATCGTGCTAAGCGTTCGGAACACGCTCTACACCGCATCTCCGATTACCCTGCGCGGGTTTGCAGATTTGATTCAGTGGGGAATAATTATGTGTTTATATCGGAAACCTATAACTGGCTGACTAATCCCATACCTGACAAGTACTGGTAACCAGACTAGAGGCCGCGGTTCGCCATATGATAAAGCCGTCTTATCGGTTTTACTCTCCCCCGGGATGAATATGTAAATCCCATCCCACTCTAAAACTCAGAACTCGACGCACAGTCCTGCTGTATAATTGCATGTTACTGGTGGTTCGGCAATATAGCATCCAAAAATTAGTATCAGCAAGTATTTGCGTTATTCACAAGCCAGCATTCTCATTATATATGCCGCAACTCTATTTATAACAAGGCTCTGACAAACATCTCCATGAATTACTCGGGAAAGTTGTACTGATAATATACCGATCCATTATGAAGACATAATGCATTTGTGTTGGATCTCTGCTCAAGGAGTCCCTTATTCTAAGTTGTTCTGTCTGTCTGTTTAGCTGTAGCGTCTGAACTACTGAGCCGATCTGGTTGACATTCCTCAAGTGGGTTATCCTGTCATCCTCGTGATGTGCATTTCAAAATAAATCCTAGTGTTATTTTTTGAATGAAAATTGAAATAAGACTGTCTTCTTTCCGGGGAAACACGGTATGAGTTAACAATTACAAGCAGAACAGTTAAACGCTTCCGAAGCTACGTCAATTAAAGGATTACTTTTATTGAAATACCTTAATATTATTAATATTACTTCGAATTTCAAATAAAAAACCTGTTCCAAAATCAGACTATTATTTGTACCTTTTTCGATTAAACTTTTAAAAATATCAACCTTCGACATTTTTATAACCCTACTTTACAGATACAAACGCGTGTCAACCAAACGGGAACCGCTTTTTACGAATATAACCATAGACGTCGGACAACCAATGAAACAATACGTTGACTTCATGATGTACAACGCTACTGACGACGAACTATGTCATCGCTGGATGCCGTGGTACTCCAAGCACTACAACTGACAAAGTAGTATGCCCTATTATACGATATAAAGGTCTTCATGCAGTACTGTATAATGTCCAGCTCTATCTCTAAGCCAGAGGACAATGAGAAAGCGTTTTCAAATACACGGACACAAAAGTCAAATGGCATTTTAAAATGTCCCAACGAATTAAACGAGAATATCGGTCGGAGACCGAAGACTCACCGATCGAACTGCTGTTTCGATTCATGACTCTATAGTGACACCGCGTGTCTCATCACTAATTAATCAATAACTCGCTAATTATACGACATAATTCATCCAAAATCAATAGGCTTCTGGTCCGAGATATGATGAATGCACATGCAAAATTATGAGCACGTGAGATATCGCGTGCATCTAACAGACAGACAGACAAATACCTATCAACATACTTACCGATCTAAAGATCGATAAGTAATAAAAACGTTAGGATGCACTGTTCCCCATTTTATAATTCCTATTGAAAACAAACCCAACAATTGCTATTCATTATTTATGTGCATCGCCTTTCTTATTGAAAAATGCTTGTCTGAAAAAGTCTGACTCCGATCAGAAGTAAGGTTACAGAAATACATCTGTGTTTGTGCGCAGCAAGACTCTTGAATCAAATAGTATAGTCATCTTTGTTCCACTTCCACAAAAGCATAGAGCAAAGAAAGGTAGTTATTTTTAAGTAACCGCAACTGATAGCCAGATGGATGGACTGGCATTCTGTAGCATCGCATACAAAATGGAAGTTTTCCGCCCATATATGTATTTCTGATATAATTTAGCAGTAACATTTTTTATTCGCGCATTTCGACTGTATTTATGTTACATCATATTAATTGTAAAAGGAATTATACATTTTATGACAACATATATATATGTTATATTACACCATAATGTTTGTTTGTAACGTTTTTTTATGTCATAAAAACAGCAATTTTTAACGTATCTTATACTAGCTTTGAAATTACTGTGCAATATTTAAAAATGAATATATTTTAAATACATGCAACAATTATAACATTTATGTATTCAATCAGATAAAAATTTTGAGGGAAACACGGGGTGTCATGCCTACGAGGCTTCGTAACAAAAAATATAGCAAAATTTTATGAAATATCAGATCTCTTAGCCTTCTAGCAAAAAAGCTTTAACAACCGAAAATTTCAAAGCAATTGGTCCATTAGTCAATGAGAAAGGCCATTTTTTATAACAACAAGAATCGCAGCTAAGCAACAAATTTTAACCCACGCAAAAGCATAACCACCACAAGGAGCGCAATTTTTAATGTAAAGAGGTCATCGCACACAAAACAAAACGAATCCCATAAAGGCCACAGAAAATTTCGAAACAAATAAAAAGTAATGGCCTAATATCGAAAAATACACTGATGTAGTAAATTAGAAAAGCGATTTTTCACAACAAGGAGAATGGAAATGCTAACGTAATGATCAACAACAATAAACGATTCATAGGCCCATACTTCGTGTCAAATAATAATAAATTTTGAACTCTGGTACGCTGGTTTTGAACTGGTACTCCCGAAGTATGTGAACCAAGATGGCGGACACCAGAACGTAGTATGTGTACCAGGTTTAGGCAATGATTATATTCCAATTTTCCCTATTTTAGTTCTTATTACGAGTTCGGGGATATTAGCTAAGTGACTACCGTGGTATTTGTGCCTAAAATTACGGTCTAACCCTAACCTGGTACACATACTTCGGGAGTACCCAAAAACTTACAACACAAAAGACAAACACACAGGACACAAAAATCACTCTAATAAATTCTCGAAAAAAGTCCGGCGCGCAATTAATTTTACATGCACGTACAAGGGCATGATCAGGCCAACACGCTTATCGTCAAACCATCACACTCGAGCAGTGTGTTTCGTCATCTTCCGAAATATCTTGTCAAATTTTTTCAGTGTAGGGTTCGATCCCCAAACAAATTGATTAAAAGAGATTAATTTGACGGATTCAACCACGGGCGTAGCCATAAATTTTTCAAAGGGGGGGAGGTCTTAAATTTTTGTTTTCCAAGTTAGATCGAAACAGCTAGCGGGTCCGATCGAACGCTGGAATGCGCGTGTTTTTATAAGTCTTTGGAGGTCTAAAAAGCATTCGAAGCTACGGAAAATTGCTACCTATGATACAGATAATGATTTAATTTTTTTTTTAATTTCAAGGGGGGGGGGGTCGACCCTCAAAACCACCCCCCTGGATCTAACCCAGACCAACGTACAAGTGCTCGCAGATCACAAGATAAGACTTTCTTTCCTCGATCAATCAAAAACACGCAGGGACGCACAGAATGAACAGACACTACTTTCAGATTCTTACAAAACAGGATCTGTTGTTTCAGACGGCTAGACTTTGTAATTTTGTTTATCTGAGGTAGATTATATCGTTGTTTTGTAGAATTGTATGTAAATTCACAAAATTAACTCTCTACAGCTACGGAAGCTACAGTTAAATGCAATTAATAACAGCTTTTTAATAAACAATAATTTAATTATTAAGTGATATCTCCATTACAGTGCGTTTTAGACTGAGTACTGATTTTTATGGTACGCATTCACAGATTCGCCCTGAACAATGAACTAAACGAGAATATGGTCAGAGACCGAAGACTTATCGATCGAAAGTTAGGGGATCCCCCAAAACAGCGCTCTTACTCCATAGTGACACCTTGTGTCCCATCACTAATTAATTAATAACTCGCTAATTATACGACATAATTCGCCCAAAATCAATATGCTTCTGGTACGACATATGATGAATGCACATGCAAAATCTGGAGCAGATTCAATCTCGCTTTCGTGAGATATCGCGTACATCTAACAGACAAACAGACAAATACCTATCAACATACTTACCGATTAAAATCGATAAGTAACCAGCAGTCTATATGTAAAAAGCTATTTTCTTTCGTTTGGCATTGCCTAACCTTTTTTAGTAATTGATACACTCCGATAAGGCTTATTAATAACTTATAACGATAATAACTTATTACGATAAAATATTCGTTTTCTATACAGGCAGAACGCTTTTATATTTTTCTTTATTCTCACATATAAATAAGAGTTTATGATGACGCACATTATGTTGTTTACTGGAGTATGTTGCAATTGACACATCGTTACAAACCAGCAAACAGCGTCATTAGTCTAATTTCAGACTTGTTTTCGAAAAAGCTCGTGCCAACAATTTTTTACTCCAGGCCATCTAATTCTTGGAAAAAACTTGGTTGTGTGAACCACAGGTGTTGTAGCACAACAATTAAACGGAGTGAGAGAATAGGAAAATTATATTACTTTGGGATAACCGAAAAGGTCGCAAACAATCATCGAGAAACCTGTTATAAAAGTCAGGTTTGCTATCTAATTCGAAGAAAATTTAATCAAACATTGTTTTATATCCCTGAGCGTTTGATATCGAACATTATCCAGTGATACCACATGAATAATGCCTTAGTAATATCATGCTACTGCCCCGCTACCTAAAGTTAGGTGGATATAAGCCAGGTAATTGTCTCGTGTTTTCTGTTTAACTCTGTCTGGGTCAGTGAAATTAGCGTAGGGACATGTGCGGCATTGCAATAACCTAACCAAAAGTTTTCCAAACTTTTGGGCCGCGGAACCCTATTTGAAAAGTTTAGTTTTGACGAACCCCCATCCAATGCCGTATCAATTTTTGTGCCCAACCAACGGGAAAGGATAATGTTTCTTATACAACACATACGATATTAATGGGTGGATGAGGGTGCTTTTCACTGCACAATTTATCGATTCTCCGAGCAATTTATGACAAGCATAATCGTAGATCCGACTCTACAGCAAGTCTCAACCTGCAATTGTCATTGGCCTACCTCACACATGAAATGAGTATTCCTTCAATACACTCAACCAAGATGATACAGCGGTTTTTTGATTGAAATAAATCCTTAAAGATCGATCAGACTATTTTCATATCGTTGCAGACCCCCTGTACAGTCATCACGGACCTCCAGGAGTCCGCAGACCCCACTTTGGGAAACCCTGACCTAACCTATGTTATCCTAACCTAAATAAAATGAAAGAAACCCGACTGGTGGGGTAATAGCAGAAGTGAATAGATGTGTTTTTTCATCAAATTTTCTCAAATGTAGGTCTAGAACAATGGTTCCCAAACTACGTTAACTGTCTTAAAAGTGTCATATGTAATTCCATTTTTTATTGCTGGTCTGCGGAAAGGCTGGGTGTGAAGTGTTTGCATTCTGTAAAAGAGCATTGTTACGTCCAAATGTAGTCGGTCACGTGGTTAGCAGAGGCATAATACCAAAACTTCATTTTTGATTCAGAATCATTCAACTTATTACCGTGATTATAATTTTATTTTTAAGAAAGGTGTAATTGAACTTTTGCTAATTCGATTTAGGGGTAACGATATTAAAAAGTTTGTCTTTTGTTTAAAAGAGTATTCATAGAAAACCACATTCAAGCTGTATATAACTCCATCACGGCGATATTGGCGTATTCTGTTGTAGATGCTCCCGAAAACCATTAATATTGTGGCGATGGCGAGGAATGATTTGCAGAGTTTTCGCATCCACACGTTTATTTATATTAATTATTTTTGGATATTTATTTTTGATTAATTTACTATTTGTGAGCGCACATTTATTGTTGTAAAATGGTGGAATACTGATGAACTAGGACATTTAGAATCGTTAGGAAACGGACCATATTGAGTCATCCAAACATTCGTAAGTCGTAGAATTCCATTTTCGTTTACACTAGCGTCAAACGGGGCTCGTCCAGGCACGGGGCGTAGAAAAAACGATTTCCAGCTTCATAAGCTTCTTAAAGCCATTCGGACTAGCTCGACAACACGGAATTTTGCCTTTGGGCATCCATACAGACTTTGTTTAAATTAGAACGAACGATTAGAACGAGTCTTCTAAACAGAAATATGTTGGTATTTCTGCGGTTAGCGTTAGATTAACTTTAATAAGAAGTTTAGTTGTGTAGGCTGTGGCTAAGTCAGCGATTTCCAACTAGAGAGGAATTTAGTTGTTTTCGGAAAGGATATACAAAAATATGACCTATAGTTTTACTAATATTGTCCAATTATTTTGGACTATTGCTACATACAGGTGTACATAGAGTCGCTTTTACAATTTCTCAATATATCTTAACCAGGTTTGATGTTTTTAATCAGCCATTGTTCAAGTGTGTTTACTTCATTTAATACACCTGTGAGGGTCAAAACAATATGTGGCATCGATAAACTCCTTTTGCATATTTAAAATTTTTAAAACTTTATGGACGCCCTATATATCGTATTAATGTACCGATGTATAGGGAAACAGGAAAGAAAGATTGAAAAAATAAAGGAAAGCGTTTTTACGAATAGTAATGAAGGAATAAATAATTCCAAAATAGACGAAGGGAGGAATTTATAGGAAGAGGTTCGCAACCGATGGGTAAAATGAGCAGAAAGAAACGTCATCTGCTTAGTAATTTTACTCCGAAGACGACTGATTAGTCAGTCTAATTACTTAGACAATTACGAAGGCACATCAATTTAGAGATACCGGCGCGTGATTGCTTGCTATTTCGAACCCCAATTGGATAACATTGGATACATTTTCCTATTGTTAGCGTTGGAGGGTGTGTTTTTTTGGTGGGGGCATTGTCACAAAATCCCCGAAAGTAGTTTTTTGTGTAGAATTTATAATTTTTATGCAGAGATAATTAACATTTATGTTAAGTTTTAAAATTATTCATACATCTAGTTTTGTTCAACATGGCGAAAAAAGTCATAAGCGCTAATTAGCGGTGTGAATAAATTAAGTTTTCAAAGCACAACTAGCAACAACACAGCAAAGCAAAACTAACAATTACCTATAAACTATACAGCTAATGTGATTAGTTGCCCGCAGAAGGTAAATGAAAATGAGATGGAGAGCATAACCGCTGTGTGAGTACTTGTCTGTATTTATTACTGCCAAAACAATTAAATTGTACAAACCATAAACCGAAAAACTCGGCGGAGTAATTGATATTTAAGCGTTAGCGGTTTTTTTCGGCGGTGGCTTTGTCAAAAAGATCTTCGAAATTAGTGTTTTGTGTAGAATTTGCAATTTTTTGCAGAGATAATTAACATTTATGTTGATTTTAAAAATTATTCATACATCTGATCTTGTTCATCACATTGTGGCTTGAATGGCGGAGGAAGCCGTAACCGGTTAACTAGCGGTGTGGATAAATTAAGTTTTCAAAACACAACACAGCGAGCTGAACTTTAGACGAAAAACTAACAATTAACCGTAAACTATTCAGCTAATGTTGGGGGTAAATTGAGGTCAGATAGAGAGCAATTAGTATGGCCGTTGAGTGCTTGTTGTATTTATTACTGCCAACAGAACTAAATTGGATACTCCCGTAGAATGTGTTTCAGTTTAGGGTTTAGCCATAATTTTATTCCGATTTTCCTTATTTTATTTCTATTACGATTTAGGGGACTGTCTGTTTTAGCCAAGTTAACCCCATGTCCATAGGTTTCAGTACACAACTTGATGTAAAGTAGGCGAACAAAAATAGTTACCTCCATATTGGAACACATAATTCTGGAGCGCCGTAAATTGTACAAGGCTATGGGCCGAAAAACTCAGCGAAGAAATCAAATGAAATTTTGACAGGATATTAAAACCTATAATTATGAGATTGGTGGTCGCTAGCAAAGCCGCAATGAAGGATATTTAAATCAGTGTTTCCCAAACTTTTTCAGTTCGCGATCCACTTTCAATGCCATTTTCTTGAGATGGGAAACCATATATCTACACGCAATTTACTATTGTTGCGAAACATGAGCTTGCGTATTGGATATTATCAGATCAAATCGAGGCGACAAGCTCACGCGCATACAGACTTGATCGACAGTTGAACGACCTTCCTTTGAGTTTAAAAAGATATTAGGTGACACAGAGGCCTATCAGCAACGTTCATGTTGCATCTATTTCGGGGCATATATACTCACATACCGTATATATGAGTAAAAAAGCGTGAATAATCGTTGCATAAAAAAAGCACGCGCACCGATTCATATACCGTCTATAACTGACATGGTCAAACTGCGGTCTAACTAAAATCAGATTTTGCGGTTTTAAATAAAATAGCTCAAGCCACTTGTTGAGATTGCAATTAAATTTTGTTTTGGTACGAGACTTATTGTTTTCCGCTTTTTCTTTTGTAACACTGTAAATATTGTTCATAAAATGTAACTTTTTACGTCACACTTACATTGCCCGCCAGTCCAGGTGGGAAAATTTCTGGCCACTGGTCTAAAAACCTTGCACTCCTGGTCTATATAGTCTCTTGAGGATGGCCAAACTATCAGTAAATGGGGTGCAATAGCTTATGTGCATAATTGTCATTATTTTCAAGTCATTATCGTTTTGCCCAATTGCTGTTGCTGGATGTGGTGAAACAACTTGTTTTTGACCTATCGGATCTAATGTTGCAACTAAAATCTTCGCTATATTATTTTAATCCACGGGAACCCTTTAATATGACATACGGGAACACTTTTCTATGACCTTCGTGTCGAAATTTAGGTCAGCTAGTGCTATATCATACCTATGCTATGACACACTATAACGTTTTTTATAATATTTTAATACATTTAAGAAGCAGTAGCCGATGTTATATAATGCTGATCGGTAGTATAGGCTTAAATAAGAAAGTTAAATTATGTATGACGGCGTTCGTGGCGGCGTCTTTATTTGTGTATATAATTCTGGCTCTCAGTGCTGGCCAGGTATCACTTGAAAGCTTGAAAACGAAAAAAACGGGTTGGGTGAGTCCGTGGAAACTACATTATGGCATATACAAACCAAAGCCCGGACAAAAAATAGCCAGAGTAGCTGATAGAAAACGGATTATAACTAGATTTGGCTTGGTGGATATAATGTCGTTAAACGACAACACTCGTCTTAGTCACGACGACCTATTAAGGGCTTCAGCATTTTTCATGTATGACGAATTTGAAAAGAACTCGCAGAAACAATTTTTAACTTTCAAAAACCAGAAGGAAAAATACCCGAATTGGACGGATAATGATCCACTCCAACCAATGGGCAAACCATTATGTCCCATTATTCCTCCAGAGTTGAAAGGAAAATTTAAAGATAAACCTGACGACTCTAATCAGCCTTCGTTGCAAAATATATCAATAGCAAACCCTGATTTGACTTTAGGGGGTAAATATACCCCACCTTGTCACCCAAGAAGCAAAATAGCGATTATTATACCATTACGAGGCCGAGAGACCCAATTACGAACTTTGCTGGCGCATATGCACCCAATTTGGCAACGACAGCAGATTGACTACACTGTTTATGTGGTTTCTCAAGAAGCGAACAACCGAACGTTCAATAAAGCAAAGCTGATGAACGCAGGGTTCCTCGAAGCAAGTAAATGTAAGTCACAGTTTCATTTTTTTTAATTTGCGCACGACGACCCAGTGGATATGCGGTCCAATTCCGAGATCCAATTCCGCTTAAAAACTACATTGAACATATCATGACGTTTTTACGCGAATTCCATCTCGAAATGGCTCTGCAAAGGGGTCACTGCAAGAAATGAAAAAGATTCCCTCTATGTTCGGTCACTAACGAAACTGAGGATAAAAACAGTTAATTACAGGCTACAGCACAATTTGCTTTTAGATTTTTTGCCGAGGCCGCACAAACTATCTCGACTAAATTAAAATATACGATAATATTTGTAAAATATTTTCAACCAAAAACATCCTCGACCTGTTTATTATAAGCACTTCAAGTCGGCGCTAATTGGAATCCTTTCATCCCGGATGTAATTTATTGCCGTGTCGCACACGGCTGTCTTGCGATGAAAATGAAATAATTGTAATATGTATTAAATCCAAACGTGGACAGCGGCGCTAGAATATGTGCGTCATAATCTGTATTCTTATAAATTTGAAAAACGATATTCGAATATTAAATTAAAATTGGACATCCCTGCTTCAAGCACAGCATTTAATTGATTAACCTAAAATAAACAGATATCACTACACGCGTTTTTGGTTTTCGGCCTTACGTATGTAGAAAACCTTACGTTAGTCGAAGCAATATTTTTACGAAAATAATTTTCGGAAGTTGGGTTTTCGTTTCCAAAGCCTTTCGCAGGTAGAGTTTCTACTGTACTTTGCAGAAAATAAATCTTTTTCAGTTTACAATATATATATTTTTTTAATATTTAATTGTTAATATTCTTTACATTCCAATCCAAGTTAAATTTGTAAAATTAAAACTTCAATTTTAAAATATTCAAGGTAAAAAAAATTGGTACCCCCGTAGTATGTGTACCAGGTTAGGGTAAGACCATAATTTTATTCCGATTTTTCCTTATTTATGTTTTATTACTAGTTCGGGAATTGTCTGTGTTAGCCAAATAAACAGACCCCTTGCCTATAGGTTTCTGTCCCTTTATACAACTTGATGTAAAGTAGGCGAACAAAATTAGTTACCTTCATATACTTCTAAAGCGCCAAAAAATTAGGGGCCGGTGCTGGAGTCACAATTAGAAAATACTGTAGGGTGTGGCTGGAGTCGTAGACATTCTGACTTCAAACCAGCTCACCGACCATGTTCGCATCTGTCTCTGACTTTTTAGGGAGGAAAGTAAATATTGACTTGTTGTCTGTATGGTGGACGACAGCTTATCGCCTGTCGTTATGCAGCGAATACAACGGTAGCGCCTGCACCAGTTCCCCACGTCTTTGTTAGACACATCAAGATAGGATTTACATATTTATCCCGGGGAGAGGGCAGCCGACAAGACGGCTTAATCATATGGTGAACCACGGCCTCTTTTCCGGTTACCAGTCAATGTCGGGTATGGGATTAGTCAAGCATGTACTTGATGGTCGAGGAAGCCGTAACCGACCAGCGGTTACGTGAACTCTTTTCAATATCAGCTTCCAACTTACGAACACAGTACATTACGATCGCCGTACGATACGATCACGATATGACCCAATAGGATAATAATCAGTGAATATTGAGTAGCACATATACTGATTACCAATAGGTAAAAAACGTCATATTCAAGTGTGGAACTGTGATAAGTTATATTATATTGAAACTAATAATTCATGTAGAAATGGCTTGAGGCTATATTTAACTCAATTATGTCCAGTGAAAAAAACAAGTTACGACGGTTTATAATTCTAAGAAAGTCTGAATTAACTGATTTTAATTTTTATTATTCGTTTGAAAAACACAAGTAAAATCTAACTAAAACAACAAGATTATCTCTCAAACTTTATATTTTGCTTGAAGACGATACCTATGATTGCTTCGTGTTCCACGACGTGGATTTACTGCTTGAAGACGATCGCTGTTTATACAGATGCGTGGATTCCGATAATGCAAGAATTTTAGCGGCACGAATGGATAAGTTCAATTACACAGAACAAGCATATATGATGCCTTGCAAGCCAAAGGAATGTGAGTATGCTTTGAGTTTTTCATGCAAACATTAATGACAGTTGGGGTGAAACTGACTACCTTTCCTTGCTCTATGTCTTCCTTGCGCAGGTGGATCCGTATGCGTATAACGCAGGGATACTGTAACAGGAGTGAAAATGACTATTCTATTTAATCCAAGAGTCTTTCTGCACACTAACGCAAATGTACTTCTGTAACGTTTCGTCTGACGTTACAGAGATACATTTGTGTTAGTGTGTAGCAAGACTCCTGAATTAGAGTAGATAAACATCAATAACGCGCTCAACCAGTAGTTCTCAAACATTTTGTTTTCGAAGCGTTTGAAAAGAGATTTGAAGACACTGATCATAAGTAGAACGGGGCAACTTTTTTTACAAACTACACCAAAATCTTGTAGCCTTGGTTGTCATATGTGCAATATTTTCAATGGAGAAACATAATATTACACAAAAATTTGTTATATTTATATAGAGATAATTTAAGCATTACCAAAAACACAAATATTATTCTGGAGGGATTACAGACGCCCCGGACACGCTCAATTAATGAAAATGGATGCGAACTTTACCTTACAACGCAAACGTGTACATTCGGTATAAAATCTATATGCCGGATCATTTTACTGAGAAACACGTCACTTTTACAACCAAAGATTATGATTTAATTATGATCAACCTCTGTTAGTTATCGTCCAACACCAGTTGCTGTGGTGGATCGTGTTGTTTTGTCTGCATTGGAACTTTAATATTGCATTTATTATATACATACAGTATATTTTATTTCCAAATACCTAAAGTGCATAATATGATATCCTTTCCCAATTTTTGCAGATCCTGACGAATCGCCAGCGATATATTTCGGAGGAGTTGCAATGATGACCTCGAGGCAATTTTATAGAACCAACGGATACTCCAATCTTTTCTGGGGTTGGGGATCCGAGGACATGGACATGTATTTTAGATTGTGGCACCGAGGTTTGTAACCTTTGACACTGCCCGAAGGTGTGTTAAGGCAGGGCCGAAAGTTGCCGACCCTTGGTTTAAGGGTTTTCGAACTAGACGTAGACTAGTACATAGAATTTTCCTATTTATTCCGAGGGGGAATATGGCGATAAGACTGCTTAATCATGTGGAAAACCACGGACTCTCGACCAGTTATCAGTCCGCGTCGGGTTTGGAAATAGTTACCCAGTCATGCACGGACTTCCAGCGGTTAGATAAACCACCATACAGCGGGGAATATCCCCTCGCATTAAATATACCGCACGGAATTTCGACCTGCGGATACGCGTAGGGTAACCATTAGGCATGGGCATTTTCGAATACCTGTGAATTCAGAATCGAATCGAATTTTTTTTCTCGTATCGAATCTCGAATATTTGGGAAATATACAAATGTATATGATTGATATTCACCAATAGAGTCATATGTCAAAATTGCACTGTAATAATATGGCTTCAATAAAAAAAACTGAGGAATTACCTACGACCTTAGTGCGGCCAAATAAAAAACAATAATGGCGAGGATTCGAAATTTTAGTCTGGAACGATTCGAATAATATACTTTTCGATTCGAAATGCCCAGCCATAGTAACCAGTGGTGTTATGACAAGCATGTTCCTAACGCTGAGCACAAGCAAACAACCGCAAAACCGATGGTGAAATAAAAAAGTTCGCCTATTTAATTCTCTGTATTCGCACCAGCATGCAAGTGCTCGCGCCGAACTACGCATACCGATACCAGCCAATGCTTTTTGTTTATATATTAAGTACTATTCTGTTTTTATTCAGGACATGAGGTCGTACAACCTTATGGCGAAATGTGCTCGTATCATATGATAAAGCATGAGCACGAAAAGTTAAATAAAGAGAACGATGGCAGATTTGGATTGCTAAAAAACTCGATTGACAGAATGAAATATGATGGACTAACATCGATCAGGTACACATACTTCGAAGTACTATATATTCGACTCTAATATAGGTTGGGATTTACATATTTATCCCGGGAAAAGGAAAGTCGACTTAATCATATGGCGAACCACGGCCTCTCGCCCGGATATCAATCCAGGTCGTATATTAGATCAGTTATTTTGTTTTCAGTTGTATATACTTGATGGCGGAGGAAGACGTAACCGACCAGCGGTTACGTGAACCACCCTACGGCGTCGAGGAGTCCAGCAATTCTCTCGCACATAACTATCCCCGCATGGAATTCGAACCCACGCAGGGTAATAAGAGGTGCTCTGGCAAGCGTATAACGTTATTTATCTATAACTTTCTTTGAGCCATCTTGTTAATTTTTAGGACCCCCAGAAGTATGCGCACCAAATTGGCGCACAACCTAAACATAGTATGTGTGTACCGGTTAGGATTCAGGTTGTGCGACATCTTGGTGCGCATACGTCTGGAGCACCAATTTTCATCTCCCCGGCGTGAATATAACAACGCTGCTAAAAACACGCACAAATACCCACAACTCAAATGAACACAGGAATATATAAAAATATAAACTTACTGTTACTGGACCAGATGAACACACCGGTACTTCGAATTCGTGAATCCTTTTACAGGTCCCATATTTAATCCAAGTAATTCGTTTTGCAGATACAAAATTCTTTCCGTGGAACGAAATCGCCTGTTTACAAACATCACTCTTAGTATTGGATACCCCAATAAACCGTTGCTCGAATTCATGAACCAAGAATATGATTCTTTCGAGGACAAATGCGAAGCAAAAGCTCCTTGGCAACTCACATGATCTTCCCCTATGACGTCATAGACACGGTAGCGTCAATGAGGGATATGGTTGCTACAAATAGTTCATCTTATACTGTAATTTGTTTAGTAATGCTGCGCTTCGCGATTAAAAAGGATAATTTAACGCCAAATGCGGAGGCTTGCTTACTGAAGTATTAACCTCTAATGTCGATATTTCGCATTTGTTAATCCAAACAAAAAGCCACCGATACGCCGGAGCTGGTACGGATAGCGTCTTTTATCCATCCCTAATTTATGGCACCCCGGGTCAGGTGACGGGCATTTGGCTTGAAGAACCATACGCAACTCTAATTCTATGGCGTCATCAATAAAGAGAAATTTGAAATCGTCAACCAGTCTAATTTTCAATATACATTGATAACGCCCTCTATCGAATGACGCTATTTTGACGAAGTTAGCATCAGTATAAGTCACGATTTGAGCCGCCCGAAAACGGAGTGTCAATTTTATGCTGAAACGTGATTTTTGAATCAGAAAATAAATTGAACTGCGCGATTGAATATGATAACAGATTTGATTATATAAGTCCTCACTATAGAAACTGCCATGACCACAATATGACGCAATTTAGTCGAGATATAAACGAATAAAAATTTCATCCGAAGTTACCTGCTTTTACGGTACTGAACCACCCTACGGATGTGAGGAGTGCAGCAGTCCTCTCGCAGATAATCATCCCCAATGGGATTCAAACCCACGCAGGCTACAGAGCTGGAGTTTTCGGAAAGACTGTTATCTTCACAGATATTATGTCTCGGATACGGTACTCAATTAATTAGGTCTATATTAGACGAACTGTAGAACTTTTTTTTTATATCAGTTAGTCCCTACTACTAAGTGGCCTGATTGTCAACTATCATCCCAAATGGGATACACCTCCGCCACCTCACTAATTATTTAAGATATCATTATCAGCTTTCTATAAATTTGGAGAAAGTCTTATTTTATACCTACAACTTTAGGGTCTCATGTAGTTTCTTACCTAACATACTTCTAGTGGGCGTAACATGACAATTTTTTTACATATCAATCCTAACCCCCACCTGACCACACCATCCAAAAATTACGTCACTACGACGTCACAGTGACGTAATAGAGCGCTTCAAACTATGCGAACTGTCATCCAAGACGCGCAGACGAGAACCCGAAATCGAACAGCCATTTCTCTCGTTTTCTCGTCGCAACGATCCCGATAGGAGAGAGGTCGCTGACGTCAGCCAGTTCTTTATCGTCGGCGCCGATGCTATTTCGGGCGATCGTACGAGTATTTGACAAGCTCTATGACGTGATTGTGACGTCGTAGTGACGTAATTTTTGGATGGCGTAGTCAGGTGAGGGTTAGGATTGGCATGTCAAAAAATTGTTATGCTACGCCTACTAGAAGTACGTTAGGTACAAAACTACACGAGACCCCAACTTTACATGTCTGGTTCTTGTACATTACATTAAATTCTATGAATTGCCGAATTAATTCGTTTTCGAGGTTCTATTTCCAGGATAGCTTCAAGGAGAGCAATAGAAAGAGCATGTCGGGTATGGGGGTAGCAGTTAGCAGGTTATTTCTTTCAGATGCGAAGGCTTGATGGTAGAGAATGCCTTACTAACTGACCAGCAGTTATGTGAATCACCCCCTGGCAGGGTGGGGGCCAACTATCGTGTCACACATAATTATCCCTACAGGATTTGAATACACACAGGATGATCAGGTGCGGTGGCAAAAGTATTTCTAATGCGAGACATCGCACAACTGAGTATAAAGAAAATAAGTGATTTGTCTAATTCTTCGACAAAAATGCATTTGTATTGTTTGGCCTGCGTTTTTTGTATTTTTTATCGTTAAACATGGCGCATTCGTGTTGGGCCAAAAGTGTTGAGTATTAAAAAAGGGGCGTGGATCAAGACAATTTGATAACCATCATCGAACAGTTGTTGTCGCATAGTCCCATGATATTACTTAGGAATATAACTCTGCAAGGGAGTTTTGAATGACATTGAATCTCCAGTATGGACTGCACGCCGCGTCATGTAGTTATGAACACTATGTTCAATTTAATTCAATGCGAACTTGTGAAAAACCCTCTCTCTCTCGGAATAGATTGTAACATCTGCGGGGTCCGGTGCGAAATTGATTGCGTAGGTTACAGTATTGTCCGATGGAAACATAATTGAAGTTTGCAATAGAAAATGAATACATCTTAACTTCTTATTACCTTTAGTACTATATCATGATTGAAGTCTCGCGGTTGCATCAATGGCTGAATTCAAGTGCATGTATCTGAAACAAGTAACTGGGTAACTAATCACGACAATCCACGAGGGTTGGCAACCAGATGAGGGGTTTGCCATATGATTAGGTCGTCTTATCACCTTCCCTCTCCCCTGGTATGAATATACAAATCCTACCCTATAATAATTTACACCTAGAATTAACACAGAGCCCTCTCGCTCGCATAGTTTGGAGTGACCAAAGGCAGACCCCGCTTATTCCACAGTAGTCTGCGCCATCTAGTACGAGCTGCAAGTTTGACACCCTTGCCTTGACCAAAATAAGACAAGTCAGAGTCCCAGCTGATTTTCAGGTTTGGTTTCGAGTTACAAGTAAATGTCGAGTCTTGCCTAATACTGTGACAAACCACGGTCTCATGTGCGGCCACCGAACTGATACATCGTTCTGAAAAGTATTTCGCCAAGGAGCGGGAAGATACTTAAACAGCTTTAATCACATGTTGAGCCTGTTGTCTGGCTACCAGTCTTGTCAGGTATAGTTAAAGGTCAGAATGTTAAGATGGCTTAATCACGTGGTTAACCGCGGCCTATCGTCTTGTTACCTGTTCATGTTGGGTATGGGCGTAGCCCATAAATGTTAGGTCAGCTTAATCACATGGTAAACCAGGGCTTCTCATCCCATTACTAGTCCATGTCAATCAAGTAAAGGGAAAGCTATCCAAATTTTTTTGGATGCATGGAATCATTTCAAGGACTCAGGATTGAATGTATTTTCTGTGTCTGTCCAACAGGACGGCTGAATCGTAACGCGGCCATGGCCTCTGGTATGAGCATAGTTAGCCAGATACTTCTGCATGTCATAGAATAGCACACTATCAATCCACTGAGTCCAAGTACTCGGGATCAAACGTACTCTCTGCTTCTGTTCGTTCATCTTTAGTTCGATATTTTCCCTCAGGATGTTCGTTAGGTCGAGCGGAAATATGCATTCTTCGCATTACACGTTCTGCTAACTGCTCTGCTCGTTGTTCCTGGTAAAGTGGTCATAGGTTAAAGATCAAAGTTCAATACGGATCAACTCGACCATGGTGTAATAATGTAAGGAGTAAGGTCATAAGAGGTCAAGACTTGAATCTCATGCCCATCACATAGGGTGGAATATCTAATCAGGTAGATTCAGAGGTAGGGGTCATGGTGGCATGGGTGAAAGGTCACGATTTAAATACCGTACCCTCACCCAGAGTGAAATGAACCGCTGTTTCTATTGTTGTTGTTAGTGGGTTGGATGCAACTATGAGTCATACGATGAAGGCTCGGCAGTTATCACATTTTCTGAGTGTAAGTAACATGCTTCCATTGCACCTCTGGTTACCCTGAGCAGGTTTGTAGGTTTAAATCTTGCGGGAGATAATTATGGCGAGCGGATTGCTGGACCCCTCGCCATTGCAGGGTGGTTCAAATAATCGCTGGTCGATTAGGTCCTCTTCCACCATTAAGTTCATGCATCTGAAACAAATAACTGGCTAACTAATTCTATACACGACATGGACTGGTAACACGTCCTAACTAGATTGTAGGAGTCCCAATATCTAACCTGGACTAATAAGCACAACCAAGGTCTTTGAATGCTAACAATTTTTCTCAAGACATTAGATCTCTTTATGACTTTTTATAAATAATATCCCAATAAATTAACAGTAAGGTAACCTGCACTATTCTCTGCTGTTCTGAATAAAGATCCCTGCATTCCTTCACAGATATCAGTGTGGCCTCTCCATGTTCCGGGTCATGTACGCTAGCAGACGTTAAATCTTTTGAATGAAAGACTGGCTTATCTGAAAAAAAAACGAGAAAATAAGGATTCAGATACCTTTTTTATATTTATTTTGAGGGAGCGAAATTCAATTAAATGTGCACCACGGCTTCAAGTTTGCCAAAAAATTTGTTTTTCTCAATAGTATTTCCCCCAAAACCTCTGAGTGGATATTTTACTCCATGGAATCCGCATATTCTGGTGGTAATAATAATAATAAAAATTTATGATTCAGTTATTTCTTTTCATCGTGGAAAACTAATATATGATATGAAATAAATAAAAGCATGTAACAAATTACAAAAACGAATATCGGCATTTGCAGGGAGACATAAATTCTTACGAATTTTTCAACACCATTTTGCTCTATTCTTAAACGATTCCCTGAAAACCGGACTTGCTATCAATAATCCTTTCGCCAAATGGACCAACCAAGATAGATTAAAGATATGGACTTATATACATTGGATTACTTCCATAGTGAAGTAAGTCTGTAGAGACATTCTTTTAGATATTGATAGATATCAATGGCTGCTTTATCTAGCTTGTTGGGATCAAAAGGCACGAGTAAGCATTATATTACATGCAATGAAGAAAAAAATAAATTTAGATTTTTATTCAAACTAAATTTTTGGATGTATTTGCAATACCCACCTATTCTTATATTTGTGCTGGCACTCTTCTTCTTGTTTGGCCTGAAATTTTAACGAAAAAAAAACTTAGAAGAATCCTTTCGTGCCATGCAAAAACACCGTTCTCATAAAAGAAAATCACTGCACTCCTCTTTAACAGAATGGGAAATTCGTATGCCTTTCATTCTTAACAATGCTCTAGAGCAGGTGTTCTCAACCCGCGGCCCACGGGCCACATGCGACCCGCCGATGCATGTTTTGCAGCCCGCGAAGATGTTTGATGAACCGAGACATATATCACGATACCTGCGGCGTAACGAATATAAACGATTTTTCAATACGGTATCATTCTTCTCAACCCTTACAGCGCATGATAAGACTATGGATTGTGTCATCACAGAGAAAAGATGAATTACGTATTGTTACGTAAAAATTGAGTTACTTAGCTCGCTCATTGCACCCTCTATCTATCTACGGAAATGCGCTTTACGATAAAATAAAAGAATTGTAAAACGTTGTTGTTGAGTATATATAATTATATTTTTACTATGTTGTGAGATTCTGTCATAGCTCTTGCTAGAGGAGAAGTTACAACTGCAAACTTACGAATGCTATCCATTATTAACTGTTTTAGAATGCTTAAAAATGAATACAAGAAGCATATTAAACATCGGTATCGAACTAATAAATAAATTAAACAGTATAAATACATGGCAATGATATTCTGTGGCCCATCGCATCTTTTGTTGATAATATGCGGCCCTTTTACTTGGGAAGTTGAGTACCTGTGCTCTAGCAACTAGAAAGACTTTTTTCAATTTCATAAAACAGTTGATAGGATAGGATAGGATTTACATATTTATCCCGGGGGAGAGGAAAGCCGATAAGACGGCTTAACCATATGACCACGACCTCTCGTCCGGTTACCAGTCCATGTCGGGTTTGTGATTAGTTTTAGTTATTTGTTTTCGGAAGCATGGACTTGATGGTGGAGGAAGCCGTAACCGACCAGCGGTTACGTGAACCACCCTACGACGGCGAGGAGTCCAGCAATCCTCTCGCACATAACTACCCCGCATGGGATTCGAACCTGCGAACCCACGCAAGGTAATCAGAGATGCGGTGGCGAGCGTATTCCCAAGGCTTAGCACAATGAGCCACACCGCCGCGATCTCTGATTACCCTGTGTAGGCTCACAAGTTAGGATCTCATGGGTGATAATTATGTGTGAAAGGACTCGCCTTTTTCACATAACCGCTGGTAACTTATGGCTACCTTTGGAAACCAAGAACAGACTGATCCCTTACATGGAATGGTAACCAGATGAGACGCTGCGGTTCACCATAACTTTATTCTCATTTTCTATATTTTAGTTATAATATGGGTTCAGGGACTGTTTGTGTCAGCCAAGTAAATATACTCCCTGCTCATAGGTTTCAGTCTCTTTACACAACTTAATGTAAAGTAAGCGAACAAAATTAGTTACCTCCATATTGGTAAACATACGTCTGGGAGTCCTAAATTCGATCCCAAAACTAAACCTGCCTTTTCCGTGAATAATACTTCTTTATATATTAGTATCATATATAACCATAGTTTCCAAAGTTGATTGGCTGGGGTTAAAATTATAAGCGGAATGATATTCGCGAGCCGGAGGGAGAGGGGTGCGTTTGCAATTGCCGATACCGGTACGTATAATCAAGATACCAGTATAATTGAATTGTTATGAATATACACATGCTTAGACTGTGATAATGGCGTAACAATTGGCGGTATCCAGAACACAAAAAGAAAAATACAAAGTGGCAAACTATTTCACCCAAGTTCCGCGGGCCATATTAAATCATTAATCGGGCCGTATTTGGCACGCGGGGGCAGTTTGGGAACCACTGATATATAAGAATATGTATTATCATCTAATTATAAAGCATATAGAACTTTTATTGAGAGTTCTCAATAAAACATGCCCCAATAGTTTTCTGAGATTACATTGAATTTTTAAAAGTATTATTTGACAGACCAACTTTTCTAATAGTCATCTTCAGTGTGAAACTTAATCACTTCAGAAAATAGAGTGAGAGTTGACCTCGATGACCTCATGGTCGTATCATCGTATTACTCCCTCCTGTCAATACCACATCAATTTAATTTGTGTTATGTATCTATTTTCGTATTGATGACTGTTTGTTTTTGGTTGACAAAATAATAAATCTCTCTCTCTATTACACTAGCAGGAAACAAACCTGTTCAATGCAAACTTTGATTTGTGGCTTTTTTCTTCTGCTTTCACAATGACCTGGTAGTGAGGCCCTTCATGCACAGATAGTTGGTCGAATCCCCTCTCAATAATTTTCAATTCTTTCTCCTAGGAAAAATTTTCAGACATTTTAATATCAAAAGCATAATCATCGTTGAAAATTTTTCACTCAAACAATGTCTCGAGCCCTCACTAAAAGTGGGAATATAACTGAGAAGTTGCAAGCGAACGCCAATGCTCTTATACAGGGGTGGGCAACTTCTCTAGTCGGCGGGCCAGATAGGGGAAAATGAAGTCCTTGGTGGGCCGGATTATAACACGAATAGTATTCAATATCTTAATCACATATTTATTCGCTTATGCAAGAAAGAAAATTAAACGACACTCGATGACACTCTCTGTCAACTTTACGTTTCTTGAGATATTCCATGGTTAATAAAACTTAATATAAAATCTAAATTTTATTTATATTCAGAATCTATGTTCTCTGCTTTGACCTTGTATTATTTGTTTAACAAGTGTGCTAACACAATTGTTTGTTCACTAAGGCAATTGTTTATTTCACCAGCTCGCACAGACAGTGCGGTGAGAGTAGAGCGGTCGGCAACTTTCATGAATGATACGTCAGGCCACATTACAGAGTGTGGTTGGATACAGTCAGCGGGCCGATCAAAATCTCGTCGCGGGCCGGACCCGGCCCACGGGCCGTATGTTGCCCACCCCTGCTTTAATACAAGGCTGTGCTTATCGTTTATTCGTGCCATTCGTTATAAACAAAGTACTCTGGCATCGTGCAAGACCTAACCATCCAACCGCCAAGCAATCAGGCCCCTTATTCAGATTAAATGTTTAGAAACCTTGGAGTAAAAAATGTCACAAAAATATATGCCAAAACAGTTATCTGTATCTTCATTGTAGCATGACCTGTGATGTCATCAGTCACAGATGATTGATCACAGTTGTGAAGATGAAGTAGTCATGTGCTCTCTGTACTTGGGGGCGCATTACTGTTGGGGTGCCTTGAGGGTTACTCTGGTTATGTTTATGGGCATTTACTAATTATATTTTTATACTGAGTATAAAGCAGCAGTGCCAAAAGAAGCAATACCAACTCACAACACCTACATGTGGCAATTGTGTATCTTCACCCAGTTCCATTCTGGAGCTTCTATCGTCCGTCGGAATTTCTTCTAAACCTGGCATGTTGGGGTCATCTTCAACATGATGGTTGAATGATTCTGTCACTTTGCCTTCTTCTCTTTCTTTCTCTCTTTTTTCTAATAATTCTTTTAAAGTTTTCACAAAATTTTGAATTTTCTCTCCTTTATCTGGAAGCCTTTCAACAAATTTTCTGAAAGAAAGATGTTCCAGGAATCAAAAGTCTTTCATAAATATAAGTCTAATACACTTTGATAGTAAAATGATTTGGGTCATTCGAAGAACACAGTAGCCCTTCGGGTATCAGTCGGATGTAAATGTTCACTAGCCCTGTTTTGTTTACTTTATATCAGAGGTTTCAAACCTTTTATTTTCAAACGAACCAAACTTTCTAAAAAAATGAGTTTCGTAAAATCTCACGACTCAAGGATATGCTCGAATACGAAATGACAAATACTTTTATGGCCGCAAAATTGGAAGACTGATATTTTTGCCCTCAGCGTACCATGGTCTTACTTAAATAAACCATAATAAAAGCTGCAAAAGTTTTTATCCTCTGATACTTCCCATGTATAATAAAATTACTATTGAGCAACACTTCAATACCAAATATACAACGAGAATATCGGTCAGAGACCGAAGACTTATTGATCGAAAGTTAAGGGATCCCCCCAAAAGAAATCTTACTCCATAGTGACACCTTGTGTCCCATACCTAATTAATTAATACCTCGCTAATTATACGGCATAATTCATCCAAAATCAATAGGCTTCTGATCCGAGATATGATGAATGCACATGCAAAATTTGGAGCAGATTCAACCAAGCCTTCGTGAGATATCGCGTGCATCTAACAGACAGATAGACAGACAAATACCTATCAACATACTTACCGATCTAAAGATCGATAAGTAACAATAAAATTTACCTGAAAATGAAGACTATTAAAGTTGGTTGAAAAAACAAGCGACCTAAGAAAATTTTTAGGCGACCCTAGGTTGAGAAACACTTCTCTACACAATGGCTCCTTTACTTTTGAGTGAGTTTGTGCGACCCTTCTTGTAGCAACACTTTTAAAATGATTCATACTCGACTCGAAAAGTATGAAACTTGAAAAGTATGATTGAAACATCTGGACACAAAATTTTTACCTAAAACCCACAAACAGAAATTTAAAATATACCACTTACTTATTTTTCAGCATTTTTTCCTGTCTTTCCAGTAATTCATTCAATTCTGGTTCAGATTTTTCCTCTAAATCTCCCAAATATCCTTGTTTATTAATTGGCGAAATCATAGACGTTACAGCATTACCGTGCAAATAGTTTGGGTTTATTGAACCGCGACCATTATCGCCTTTTTGCGTCTCCATTTATATTTTTGATTTTATTTACAAAATTTTCGCTGAATTTAAAAATGAAAAAAAGCAATAAAATTATTAAATAGGAAAGCTGATAGATCATAATAATATTCTTGAAATGAATAAATGTGGCAGGACTTAAGCTCTTTGATTAAGAAGCAAATATTCTGACCAGATTTGCCTCATTGACTAATAGTGAAAAATAAACAGTTGAACACCTCAATATTTGCAAAAACAATTAGACAGAATTATACCCTACTAAATTGAATAGAACTTATTCTGACCAGATATGCCTCAATGATTAAAAATTATCATTCGAATAATTATAAATGAGCGCCTCACCCAGGGCCAAACCAGAAATATACCAGTCGTTCCAAACTACATAACAGCAGTTCCCAACCAGGAAGTCATGGCTCCCCAGGAAGGCCACAGAACAGTTGGGCCACAATGCCAGGTGTCAAACTAATCTACCAAATAAAATTACACTCCAATACCACTGGAATGATAAACAGGGGGCAATGAGTGCTAAAAGTATCTGCATAATAAAAAAGAGTAAAACAGAGATTGGATACATGTTCAAGACCTTACTGGCCTAAGACACAGATGTGCGACATGTATGTTTAGGACTGCTGCGTTATACTAGGACAACAGACATGAAATTGACTATACAAATAAAATACACAAGACAAAGAGGTACGGCACAACTACGATATGTACAATAGTCAGTTTATGGCACTTCCATATCCCAGTTCCCAGCTTCCTGTGTGAAAAGATGGAGATAGGGTATGGGTCGCTGAATTGATATGTTTTTACACTAAGTTTCACGAAACACGTGAAGATCCAGACATGTAAATTTCAGAAGATGTCATGGACCATATAAGATTGGGAAAATAGCAGTAATGTAGCCTTGTTCAGAGTGAACAACATATAAAAGAATAGATTGGTATTCAAGGCAGGGCAATTACTCTTCTGAGTGGGTCAGTTACAGATAATAGACTTGGTTACTGGGCCGAAGGCTCAAAACTTAAAATGAAAAACTATGAATATTATATATAAATCATATTTGTTTGTAGCCTTGGACAACACTCCGTAAAAATTGGATTCGGAATGGTAACCAGATTAGAAATGTAAGTCAAGTCAAGTCAATTCCTGCATTAAGTCTCACTGGCCATTTGTTGAATTACTTCATTACGATCAGTACTTCCAAAAGATGATAACTGAATTGTTATGATGTACACATGCATTAAAAATTGCGATAATGACATAACAATTGACAGTATTTAGAATGCAAAAATATATATGTTATAAAGTGTTGGACTATTTCAATTAGGTTCGATGGGCCATATTAAATCGTTTCGCCCAAGGGGCCACGGTTTAGGAATCACCGATTTCGATGAGCGAGGAAGAGATTTATTTTTTTCGTCAACCAAAATAATATAACAGTCATCGCAATAAAAAATAATAATAATAAGTAATAAATTATTTTGGAGGGAGAGATACAACCAGACAGTCATCAAAGTCAACTCCCCAAGTCACTTCAAGTCTTTAAAAAATGGTAACTCGAGTCCAATTCAAATTGATTCAAGCTGCCTCAACACAGCATACTGTGTGATCAAGCCACGTTACCGTTTTTCATCTCCCATTAACATGGATGAGTAATAAAAATTATGGAGAATCCTAAAAATCATCACATGGATTGATAACCAGATAAGAAGCCGTGGTTCTCCATATGATTAAGCCATCTTATCAACTTTCCTTTCCCCTTAGGATAAGTTTCAAAAGCCATTGATAATCTCAAACACCATTGCATGGTCGAGAGGCCATAGTTCGCCATATCATTAAGCGGGGCTCCCGAAGTATGCGAACCAAGATGGCGGACATCGGAATGTAATGTGTGTACTAGGTTAGGGTTAGGCCATAATTTTAGGTATAAATACTACGGGAGGCTCTTGGCTAGTCTTCGAACTGATAATAGGATAAAAATAAGGAAAATTGGAAAAAAATTATCGCCTAACCATAACCTGTTACCCATGTTACGTTCCGATGTCCGCCCATCTTGGTTCGCATACTTCGGGAGCACCCATTAAGCCCTCTTATCGGCTCCACTCTCCCATTAGGTTATGAATTAAAATTCATAAAAAGATTAAACATCATCAATTTTCCAAATTTTAACTTCACAGTCATCGCTCGCTGAAGCGAGGATTCCCGGCTGAGCGGGATTCCAGGACACGCAGTTTACATCTTGCGCGTGAGAGTGATTATACGAACACAAGAGGTTGAAAGTCGGTTCATCAGAAGAGCTTTTCTCATCTTCTTTAAAGATTCGAATAGCATCATCGGCACACGCTGTAGCAATGAGTCCCGTTTGATGACACCAGTCAACGGAAAATATCGTTCTTTCGTGAAATCCTGAAAGAGTGCAAATACATTTCCATGAATACTTTGAACTCCCTGTCACAATATTTTGAGGGTTGCCAGATTTATAGCGTTTCCATATCTTTAAAGTTTTATCATCTGAGACTGTTGATAATCGATCGCCGGATTTATCCCAAGAAATTGACCACACGGTGGAGTCGTGACCTTCTAACACTGCACCAGTAACCCACTCCCCGTCATCCTCCTCAAAAATCCGCACTGTATCGTCATAGCTACCCGAAGCAAAAATATCTTCATTAGGATGCCATACTACTTCTTTTACATCCTGGGTATGAGAGGTCACGACTCCTGCACATTCAAAATCATCCTCATCATAGGTTTCCCAAACCCAGACTGATTTATCCCGAGAACATGTTGCCAGATATGACCCTGAAATGGACCAAGCTGCAGCTTTGACTTCATTTTCATGTCCTTCAAGTGTTGCAATACATTCAAATTCCCCTGATTTTTTATCCCAAATACAAACTGTTGCATCGAAACTTGCGGTCGCTAAACGGTTCCCACAAGGGGACCAAGCAACCCTCCGTATTGCACGCTGGTGGCCTTCTTCAAGAATCGTTTTGCAGACCCATTTTTCACCCTCCAGCCCCCAAATTCGCACGCTTTTGTCGCCACTGCAAGACGCCAAATGCTTTCCTGTGTGATTCCAGTGAACACCCCAAACTCTATCACCATGTCCCGATAACGTTGCAATTTGTCGAATAGACATCATAGGGCTAATTTATAATATATAGCCTATTTATTATAGTGGATTATTCAATTATTAAATGATAAAAAAAATAAAGACATAAACTATATACATTCAGACATTTAAATTATAAAGTGTGGCTTTCGAAAAACATATTCGTCTGGCAAACGATACTTGTTTTTCTACGCCTGCTAATTACTCGGTTTTGATGGGAAAAAATGGCAATGGGAGAGATATAAACTTTCCGCAATCCTAGAATGATATTATTTTGTGATATACTGAAAAGATTACTGAATTAGGAGGATAAGTATAACAGTTGTTGAATTCCAACAATGAACATGTCAATGCCACTCATTTTCGGTCAAGTGCACCAGAAGATTACTTAGAATATGTACATTTAAAGTAAACAAAACATAATGAGTATGATTTTATTTCGACTACATAATCCAGTAATCAGCATACCAGGCAATAAAATGATTGATAGAAACAAATAAATAAAAACTGATTATGAAATCAGGAGAGCAAATAAAACCTTAGATAAGGTTTAAAACATACAGAATATAAGATGGAAGGTTTTGCCAAGAAGAAGTGGTACCGTACGGTATGTCAGTATGTATAATAAGTATAAGTTTATTTCAACTCCATAATCGGTCTTACTACTTACTGAATACAGCGCGAAACACCGCAAAGAGCGCAAAACAGAGGGAAACAGCGCAAAACAGTGTGGAAACAACGCAAAACAGTGTGGAAACAGCGCAAAACAGTGTGGAAACAGCGCGAAAGAGCGCAAAACAGAGGGAAACAGAGTGAAGCAGAAAAAAATTTTGCAATGAGTTCGGGGCACCTTGTTTTGAGTACCACGGCAGCAAATTAAAAACACAAACCAACGTGGCAGGTCTGCCCCTGCTGGTGACACATTTTGGGTACCATAATTTAGAACATTTTCCATATGGATATGGTTGGCTTTAGGGTTAGGGTTAGGTAAAAAGGGACCTCCAGAAGTGTGTGCACCAAGATGGCGCACAACCTGAAAATAGTATGTGTGTGTGTGTGTAGCGGATTCAGGTTGTGCGACATATTGCTGCACATACTTCTGGAGCACCAAAAAAGTAGATAAAATTTCGCATGATGACCTATAATCCGGTACATAACCTTGTAAATATGCCGGAAATAGCGCCATAAAACCATGGCGAGAGGCGCCGTGGTTCTTTCGTGGCAGGAGGTGGTAATGACTGCGTCTCCTGTTTTGCGCTGTTTCCCTCTGTTTTGCGCTGGTTTCCTCTGTTTTGCGCTCTTTTGCGCTGTTTCGCGCTCTTTTGCGCTGTTTTGCGCTCTTTTGCGCTGTTTCGCGCTCTTTGCGGTGTTTCGCGCTGTATTCAGTAAGTAGTAAGACCCCTTCATAATCAGCAATAGACGATAAAACAAGAGATAAAATTAATTGATTATGGAATGGGGAGAGCGAACAAAACCTTGAGTAAGGTTTGAAACGTACAGATTTTAGATGGAAAGGTATTGATAAAGGAAGTAGTACGTGTTCGCTCACCCAAAAGTAAAAAAATTAATTAAGGCACGCACACACAATCATTGAAACATGATAATGTCGGAAGTGGAAAAAGCGAGACTTAAAATCAATTAAAATACTCAAATATCAATTAAAAGTAAAAAGAAAAATATACAAACAAAGGAAAAAAATGAGTAAACTCATTTGCCACACCAAATTAATAGTTTTATTAGGATTGCCGAATTGGATATCGAATTAGTCAACAAGACTAATCAACTGTGGATAGAAAAGTATTCCTTAAGAGATATAGTCAATCTGATTATAATTGGAGTCACCTAATGCCAAATTGCCCAATCAGAATTGCCAAGTTGGATGTATGAAGAGGTGGGCTAGACCTGCTTCACTCATTAAATAGAAGCACTAACTAGCAAAATAACGTCCAAATTATGTGGTCACTCACCTAAAATAATTGAATTATTTCACACACGCACCCACACACCAGACTGGATTCCATGACAGATGCACGCCCGAGGGCGCTAGCGCTCAGCAAAAATGCACGCGAGCGAATTCAATTTTGCGAAAAAGGTTTACCTTGATGGCTATTTCTCTGTTTCTTTAAGTGGTTGAATTTATCTGTCAGCGTACCGTACCGGTAGCCTACTATATATTTCAGTATTTAGATATACCTCCCTGTTTCGTTCATTAATGGAATGTTTCGTATAATTTTCTTGTAAAATTGAACTATACTGTTGATCATCTCACGTTACTATATATAACTTATCGTGTGAAGTAATAAAATAGTTGCTTCTTTTTAATCTGTATTTAACCTACCCAGTCATAAACTGCAGCTCGAGTTTGCTATTGACAACGAGTCGCATTCGTGAACGCACAGTAAACCCACGAGGGGAGCTGCTGCGTGATTTCTTACTCCAGTGAATTTTTTTTTTGTGATTTTCATTTCGTGATACTTTTGAATTATTAAATTTTGGTCATTTCCCTCTGAATTAATCAGCCAACAGGTGTCGCTGACTCGATGACTGTTACAGTCCTTCGCGACCCCTTATCGATTGCAATGAATCCTTGACGTTATTTCCACGTGTTTATTTCAATTTTTCATATAATTCCGTTATGCACTAATAAATTATCTGAATCTGAATCTGCACGCCGAAAATTTGCAATTGCTCACCAATGTAAATCGATTTAAATGGTTTTAAAATCAATAACCCAGTAATATTAAGATGCCAAAATATTATAACTCCACAATTGTCGACAAATACTAGCTTGCAAGATTTGGTCTGTTCGAAAAATTGCGAAGCAAAAAAGACCATATCGTGTTGAATGATAGGAATCCCGTGAGAATAGTTATGGGCGAAAAGATCGCCTCCGCACCAACGCTGGCCAGGTACGGCTCTGATTCAGCGTATTTTTCATACATTAATTTCACACGAATGTACTGAACAGTACTGGTATCTAAAGTCGCACAAACACTCTCAAAATTAGCGACAAACTGTAGAAATAATGTTTGGGGTCATCAAAGGTCAAACGTCCATTTTTTGCTCTGATTCAACGTATTTTTTATCACCGTAATTTTACGCGAATGTATTGAGAGGTATCTAATGTCAAAGTCGGTTGCATGCGGGTGCAGTTGTTTTGCACCCAGTGAGCTATAATTGCACGCCAGGAATTCCTATTTGCACGCGAGAATTTCTGATTGCACGCACGATTTCTCGTTCAAAAAGGCCATGAAATCCAGACTGGCCCACACAAACACAGAGAAAATATAAAGTAAGAAGAACTCGATAACTTACACATCGATAGTAAACAAACATAATGAAAAAAAATATGTATCATTCGTCTAAAAACTGAAGATTTCTACAGACAGAGTCTGAGAGACCTCTGTGAAGCTAGCAGCAAAACACGAAATTGTCTGAGAGTGGACAAAAGCAAAAGTCATGTTTACCAACTTTGTTCACGTGATCTATGGTGCCAGTGGCACTGGGATAATGCCATGACATTGTTAAAAGGTCGCCCAATTTCTGAGGTATTCCCAACAATTAATTTGGTGAAAAATAAAAAATAGAACTTGAATAAATTCATTTCAATTTTCTGAAATGTAATCAATCGGAAATTCACATGCGACTCAATGTCGTCATCTAGCGGTTTGTGTGGAAAAAAAATTTGATCCACAAGGAGTCACTTTAGAGTTTCCATGTGGAGTCACATTTGTTTACAATTACATCAGATCAACTCGTTCTGGTCAGTTTCTACGAGTTTCGTCATATTGGCGTCATTTCTGAATGTTTTGTGCTGGAAGTACATTCAAAATGAACCGAAGAAAACTTCCAAATGTTTTAATAACCGGTAAGATGATTATATTTTTTCCGCAATGCCCAATCTAGCAATCAGTGTAGTTTTTCATGACTTGGTTTTTCTTAAAGCTTTCATGGCTTCATGAGTATGACTATCGTCGCAAATTTATTACATTCCACTCCCCACATTATCTTTGCATGAGGTTGTAGGTATTGGTCATTATCAACGTAATTGTTGAAAGAGAGTACAACAGCCCGAAAGTTTATTACCATCGTGTATTTTGTTTTTTAAGTTTGGCCCAAGCCTCATTTAATTGGGCTTGTGTTTTTGTGTGCGTGCTGGTGGGCAGGCACATGAGATACTTCATGTTTTAAACTTTTTTGTAGGTTTTGCTTGCCTTCCAGAATTCTCCATTTTAAATTTAGGTTTGTTATGGAGTTTTCGAAATAAACTATCTATCTATCTATCTATATATATAACGTTTTCGATTTTAAGTATTTTCGTTTTTTACTATTATTTTTGTTTACTAGGTACAATTTATCTTAATTTAATTTGTTTTAATTCCAGTATTATCACCAAATTAAACAATCAATTGATCGAACAATAACAGAAAAATGAATATATTTTTAAAATAATACAGTAATAAGTATACAGTCATTTCGGCTCCATAATTTGCATAACAGGAATTAAAATGAATATTAAAAATATAAACCGATTATAGAATCAGGAGAGCAAACAAAACCTTAGATAAGGTTTAAAACGTACAGAATATAAGATGGAAGGTTTGCCCAAGAAGAACTGGTACGTGTTCACTCACCTAAAATTATTAAATTAATTCACACACACACACATAACAACAGAGATAATTGCGAAATAAGTAAACCCAATAAACTTAAGATAAATTATATAATATATTATATATAATTAAAACTGTAGGCAGGTCTGATATTAACGCTTTTGTTTTGTATTGATTGATGTATCACGTTGTAAAAATATTGTCTAATAATCAAGATTTAAATTTGACTCTAAATATCTTTGGATTATCGCAATACCACTGAGAGATGGGGCAAATTAGACATTACTTTAATTTACAACAGATATATGTATTACTGTATCAGTGTACAGAGTATTGAGAAGATAGAAAATTAAATTTTATATTTCCATCCGTTCAAGACATTCAAATTAAGGCAGTGGTTCCCCAACTTCTTAGAGTTGGGACGCACTATTTATTACTACAGCTTATGGCGACCCATCTCGTGATTTTCTACAATGTAATTTTATTTTTGATGAATGAACTGCTAGGATTTTGTGTAGCAAATTTTTGTTCCTTTGAGAAGATCGTGAAAAGGAAACTGTCACAGATTAGAATTTAATACAATTTATTATTTTTGTTTTTTTTTAAAGATTTACGTATTCGAGTCGCCACCGATCCTAATAACCAGTATAATTAATCAAAGCTTTTTACATCTTTTCACGACCCGCTAAGATTCCTTTTCACCCATAGTTTGGGAACCGCTGAATTAAGGTATATATTGTATCAGGTAGTATTAGCCATTACCCAGATTTGTCGATAGCACAACTACGTTGGGCCTGCGTTGTAATCCGCCGGCAACGTTGTAGGCGGTTTTACAACCATACACCATCGTAAGGCTATGATTGGTTTTCAGTGAAACATGACACAATGTAGAAAAAATTGGCTTGTAATTCGACTTTTACATAAGACCACCATTCTTTTTAGAAGGCAGTCTGTAATCGACGTGCTGTGCGAGGTTTTTCCGGTGGCTAGAATAGTGAAATTGAACTTTAATAAGCTTGAGTGTTTTAAAAGTACAGCCTGAATGTTTAATAAAGGGTGGTCCAAACCCAGTCCCGCGGGCCACATGTGGCCCGTCGCTTCATTATCTGTGGCCCACGTCACATTCGGAGAATAATCGATAAATCGCATTTGTGTTATTTCGTAATCAAATTTATCAGAAAAATCTTTTGACATATTGTTTCATCACTAATGTCACTGAAATGAGTGTTATGGCTGGCTGAGGCAAATAGCGAAGTTGAATGATGTGCTTGGCAGTCTAAGCTAAAAATTGAATGCGGATTCTATTAGCCTGGGATGGCTATGTCTGATAACTATGTGTTTTCACAATAAAAGTGTTTGTTTTGTATTGCACTGTTTACCTATTCTTGGCACTATTGTGACCCAGGGAGCCGACATCCTTGGACCACCCTGGTTTAATACATTCGCATATTTTTTTATTCATGTTTAGGTTTGTGTTTTACTGATTTTTTTTGTGTGTGTGCGGGTGAGCTGGCACATGATATTTCTCATGTCTTAAACTTTTCAATGGTTTTTCTCGCTTTCCAGAATTTCCAATTTTTATTTTGTGTGTATTATGAAGCCCATGCATTTTCAAGAAATGCTCTTTTACACAAAACAGTATGGCGCAGTTCTATTACCCCAAGAATAGCCCTTAAATGAAAGACATCAATTATAACAGTGAGTGCAAACCCCCCTCTATATGAGACTATCTGGATCTCCATATCAGTGCAAACTGACACTGATATTCTGCCGGGGGAGTATCCCGGGGGAGTAGAAAAGCCGATAAGACGGCTTATCCATATGGCAAACCACGGCCTCTCGTCCGGTCACCATTCCATGTCGGGTATGGGATTAGTTAGCCAGTTATTTGTTTTCGGAAGCATGGACTTGATGGCGGAGGAAGCCGTAACCGACCAGCGGTTACGTGAACCATCCTGCAGCGGCGAAGAGTCCAGCAATCCTCTCGCACATGATCATCCCTGCATAGGATTCGAACCCACGAAGGGTAATCAGAGATGCGTTGGCGAGCGTATTCCTAACCCTTAGCAGGATGCGCCACACCGCCGAGCCGCTTGTCATGATCGATTTAAATTTTTATTAAAAAAGCTTCATTATCATTAAAAATCGTAACATTACTACTTTCAGGCACGCCAGGTACAGGAAAGTCAACCCTTGCAGAAGAGCTCGCAAGTTGTGTAAACATGAAATATATAAACATTGGTGAAATCGCAAAAGAAAACGAACTCTACACTGGTTACGATGAAGAATTAGAATGTCAGATCTTGGATGAAGACGGGGTCATAGGTAAGGCAGAGATTTTCAGATTTGTTATGCCAAATTTGAGAATGATTTTGCGCAGTGAGTCCCAAGTTGGCTTATGATTAAAAAAAATTTGGACCTCCTGAAGTATGCGCACCAAGATGGCGCACAACCTAAACTCAGGTTGGGGTTCAGGTTATGCGACATCTTGGTGCGCATACTTCAGGAATACCAAAATTTTTTCAAAACTCTCATTTAAACCTTAAATAAAAATAGGCATAGGACCAGGGCTTAAGAGTTGAGGCCTGGGACATACTGGTGGATCTGGAGCAATGAATCAGACAAAACGTTACAGAAATACATTTGTGTTAGTGTGCAGCAAGACTCTTAAATTGAATAGAATAGTCATTACTTATCGATTTTAATCGGTTCTGCTCCAGATTTTGCATGTCCATTTATCACATCTTGGACCAGAAGCCTATTGATTTTAGGCGAATTATGTCGTATAATTAGCGAGTTATTAATTAATTAGTGATGGGACACAAGGTGTCACTATTGAGTAAGAGCGCTGTTTAGGGGGATCCCCTAACTTTCGATCGATAAGTCTTCGGTCTCTGACCGATATTCTCATTTTCACTCTTGCTACAGCATTCTTGCGTTATACACATACGGACCCACATAGAGTAAAGTAGGTAGTTAGTTTCACATAACTCCAACTGTCAGGTAAAAAAATTTTGGTTTGATTTTAGCATGAATCGCGGCGCCACTAAGTTAGAGCGCTGGACCCAACTATTTTGGCATCACAGGGGTGATGGGTCACGGAATAGCGGGGTAGCAACCCGTGGTGCTAACTTACCTTGGCCATAATGAATTGGGTAGGCAGTCCTGAACAAAAAATATTCTGGTGCCTATCACAATAGTATCTATTTAGATGTCAGAGGTCGCTTAGGAATCATAAAAATTAGCAAGAGAGCTGTGCTCAAATATATGTACACGTCACAAGGTGTCGCTATTTTTTATTCTGACACATAAAAAACGAATCTCTTGAAGTCCACAGAAATTTTTGAAATAAGTAAAAGTAATAGCCTTCTGACAAAAAATCAATCTTTAACCACTGAAAATTTCAAAGCAATTGGTCCAGTATTCGAAGAGAAAAGCGATTTCATCATGACGAAAGAGAAGAGAAATAACAACAACATAATATTGAAATGATCGTAATGCCCACTGATGTGTTCAAAAACACAAATTTGTTTTCAGACATTCTAGAAGACACGCTGAGTGAAGGAGGAAACATTGTCGATTACCACAGTTCAGATTTCTTCCCCGAACGATGGTTTGATATCGTATTCGTGCTGAGGACGGACAACACAATCTTATATAACAGACTTGAGAAAAGGTCAGTAATGTTAATTCTATTTCTGGCAACTAGTGTTTCTCTGGATAGCTCAGCCTAAGAGGTTGTTTGTGATATCTGATACGATATATCGTTGGTTTGACAATTGGAGAAATATGCTCGCCATTGCTTGTATTATTATTCTATGCAGATTTGCAGGTCCGAACGATGTGGCAACTAGCTACAAGTATATTCTTGCAAAATTTCGTTTCGTTTTAGCTATGACTATGGGGGCATTATGGCTTCGGAGCTGATATCTACCAGCTTAAGAAGTCTGACTTTCAAGTTCGAAAACACAACCCAACTCAATACCGTTGAAAACATTTCAAACTCACACTTCCGAATCCCAAGCCCTGATTCAAAAGACTGAAGTATTTCTCTTCAGCGCGCAGATACCCATTCTGGGTGAAGTTTCAGAGAATAACTGCCGAAATCTTGGAATAAATGACCGAAAACAAATAACTAACTAATACCATACCCGACATGGAATGATAACCGGACGAGAGGCCGTGTTTCACCATATGATTGAATCACCTTATTGACTTTCCTCTCTCCCCGTAAAAATTTGTAAATCTTATTTATGTTACAGGGGTTACAATGCAAAGAAAATTCAAAACAACGTTCAATGTGAAATCTTTCAATCAATCTTGGATGAAACGAAGGCTGCCTACAAAGATGGAATTGTTCATGAACTGCCAAGCAACACACCCGATGATATGCAGGTAATTTTTTTCGGGCTGGGGGGGGATTCTGTAAAGTCAAATTTTCACAAATTGGATAGGATTTACATATTCATCTTGGGAGAAGAAATCCGATCCGAAGGGCGGTTTAATCATATGGCGAACCACGGTCTCTTGCCCAGTTACCAGTCCAGGTCGGGTATGGGATTAGTTAGCCAGTTATTTGTTTTCGGAAGGAGTCCAGCAGTCTTCTAGCATATTACTATCCCAGCATGAGATACCAATCCACGCGAGGTAATCAAAGTTTCGGTGGTGAGCGCGTTCCTATCGCTTAGCATGATGCGTCACACCTCTGAGCCTGAAGTCTATTATTTCCATATTTTTGGGGCTCCCGAAGTATGCGAACCAAGATGGCGGACATCGGAATGTAATATGTGTACTAGGTTAGGGTTAGGCCATAATTTTAGGTATAAATACTACGGGAGGCTCTTGGCTAGTCTTCGAACTGATAATAGGACTAAAATAAGGAAAATTGAAAAAAAATTATGGCTTAACCCTAACCTAGTACACATGTTACGTTCCGATGTCCGCCATCTTGGTTCGCATACTTCGGGAGCACCATATTTTTTATATCTTCTCTCATCAACCCTTCATTATTCAATTGTTTTCAGAATAATCTGGACCAGATAACAGATTGGCTGCAGCAGTGGGCTGCAAATACTTGATGTGAAGTGACCTGTAAAATAATAAATGATACTTCAAGTTAATAAATGCTTTAGTTGGTGGAGGGAGTTATCAATGCAATCAGCCGTGACATCTGGGATTTCTGAATTTTACTTTTATTTTTCATTTCAAATTTTCTATTTTTGATGTTGCTTTTTTGAACTGAAATCGGGAGTGTGTGTTTTTTTCTCTTTTTTGCCCCAAAATATGATGGGGGTCGTTCAAGCTGCAAAATAAATTCAAAATTGTGTTTAGTGTTGAGTACTTTAATTTGGGTAAGAGTAAGGGTTTCAGTTGCCTCTCTTTGTTATTGTACTTTGCTTGTTTCTACAGAAATACTGCCGTGCCGTGGTTAAAAATGTACAGCTAAGTTTAAAGAAATTGGAAAGACAATGTTAAACCAGAGATATCTGAAAGATCGGTGATCTACAAAAACTACTTTCGCTTTAAAAATTTCTCCCAGACTACAATCTCATGAAAATCCATTTTCTCAAAATTACATTCTCGCCAACGTCTAAAATCAGTTCTCGCAAATCTTTATTCTCGAAAAAGTACATTCGCGCAAAGGTTTATTCTCGAAAACCTACATTCTCGCAGAAGCATTTTGCGCGAATGTCACAAACTCGCTAACAGAGCGTCTCGTCAAATTGCATTCGCACAAAAGTTCTGTATTGCAAATTTTATTCCCGCAAAATTCCATCCTTTCAAAAAGTTTTCGCACAAATGGCACCAGAAATGCTTATTCAGAATTTCACAGTTCTGCACCAGCGATTTCATGTGTAAACATTTAATTCTCACAACATTTATCTCAGATTTTGGAATTTTTTTTAGAATTTATACATTTTTGAGATGATTTTAGTTGGTTTAACTGGCGGAATAGCGTCTGGAAAATCCACCGTTTCTTCTATTTTAAAGAATGACTTTAACTGCCCCGTTATAGACGCAGATTTAATCGCGAGGCAAGTTGTTGAGCCGGGGGCCAAGGCGCACAGAAAAATAATTGAAACGTTCGGAAATGGAATTCTTTTAGCGGACGGGACGTTAGATAGAGGCAAACTTGGTGAAATTATATTTCAAGATAAAGCGAAAAGAAGAAAGTTGAACGCAATAACGCATCCGGAAATTGGAAAAGTAAGTACACACTATCCATCCGGAATTCTCCATTTTTAATTCTGTAATTTGTGAGTATTAGGTATAGGTGCCGCTGCTCGATAACCAGTATTGGTTTCTCGCGTCTCCTTCACCCTGAAATATGGCCAATTTATAATTTAATTTATTGCAATTTGTATGTTTGTGCCTATTTTAAGTATGGTGAGAAATAAACTACTGATTTTTTTATAAAAGTTTATCTTTACTGTTCACTCCCATTTATAAAATTGATCAATTTGGCAGTGGCAATCAGGATAAATTTATTAATATGGTGTGGCAAGTAATTTTTATTTATTTATTTTTTATTAACTACCAGTATGTAATTTTTCATGTTCCCTTTACTTAATAACTTCTATATGGTTGTGTGTGTGGGAGCGTGTGTGAAATATTTCAATTATTTTAAGTGAGTGACATCTTCTTGGCAAAACCTTCCATATTATATACATTCTGTACGTTTTAAACCTTATCTGAGGTTTTGTTCGCTCTCCTGATTTCATAATCAGTTTTTATTTATTTATTTTTAGCATTCATTTTATTGTTTTGCTGATTATGGAGTCGAAATAAACTTATACTTATACTTATTATACTGAAGTTTCAAAAATAAACTGGACCTCCTGAAGTATGTGCACCAAGATGACGCACAACCTGAACTCAGGTTGTGTACCAGGTTATGGTTCAGGTTGTGCGACATCTTGGTGCGCATACTTGAAGTTGAGGAGTAACAATAAACTATCTATCCATCCATACTGCCATACCGGGTATCATTTGCAGCGATTCTGGAAATTAAAATTATAGTCCATGTCTGCATGTAGCAATGCTGTCTGGTGAATATGATTCCACATATCATCTTCGAACAAGGCAGACTGGGCAAACTTTTTATATTGAAGGCTGAGTTTATTAGTGATAATTACAGAATTCAAGACAAATAGTCTTTTAACCCTCTCCATGCGATTTTTATTAAATAATCGTATTTGCTACGCGGATTTTATGCATTTGTACCCCCACAACTAATCGATCGACTAACTAAAAACTAATGATCCTCTGCTGCCCACTGACGGCTCGTTGGAAAGCTTATTTAAAGAGCTTGCAATTGGCGATTAAAAAAAAAGTTTTTTAAAAAGTGGTGGTCTGAGTCACAAACCGGATAGAAAAAAGGCATTTTTTTTTCTTGGGAGTTGAAACTTCAAACCGTGATAAAAAATAGAAATATTTGCTAAATCCTTTACTGTTACCGCTTCGTGGTTGGCAAACAATAGCATAATACTGCTGTAGCAATTTCGTGATCTAACTCAAAATACTTTGGTAGATGGAATGGATAATATGTCTTCTATTACCACCCAAAAAACACCGAAATTTGCATAAATTTCAAAAACACTTCCTCGATCCGCTGCAAATAAAATTCCCGTCGTAAACGAAAGCGAGATTTACCGTTGCTTATGTTAATCTGGAAGAAGACTTCTTATCAATAAACTAAAACCCGGAAAAACTAGACCAACAGTTTGTGACCGATTGCTAAATAAAACAGTGGAGTACATCAACGTACCCGCCGCAATCTAGCGACTTTTGTCGTGGGTACGTATACGTGCCCACCGCACGGAAAGGGTTAAATGTTGTTGTTTTACACCATTTAAAATAGTTGAACTAAAAATAAGTTTTTTTCAACAGTAGGCCTATGACTTATTTCTCGAAGATTGCCACAGCATCACACTAACAAATTTTGATGTTTTAGGTAAAAACTAGCTTAAGGAATTGGCTGAGATTTTGATTAAATTTAGTTTTGGCACGAAGCTTATTGTGTTCTGCATTTGCTTATGTAAGACTGTAAATATTGCTCATAAAATGTAATTTTTTATGTCACATTTACATGGTTGCCCACCACTGCAATAGAAGCATGCTTGTGATTAGGTCCTGCATAATACATAACAGCAACAGCTACAGCCTTTTTCAAATTAGATTATTCTGCTCAGTCACGCTTGATTTATTTTTAGGTAATTCTGATTTCCATACTGAAGTATCTCATTCGTGGTCATCGCTTTGTCATTCTCGACGTTCCTCTACTTTTCGAGTCAAAAACATGGATTAATTTAACGACTTTTAACGTTGTTGTGTATTGCGACTTTGGAGCTCAACTCTCGCGCTTAATGAACCGTAACAGCTTGTCAGAAAGTGAGGCGAAACAACGTATCGACAGTCAAATGTCGCTTGAAGAAAAGCAAAAGCTTGCATCGATTGTAATCAACAATAATGGATCGCTAGATGAAACGTACAAACAAGTTGAAGAACTTCACAAATTGCTGCAAAGCTCGAAACGATATTTGATTTTGAGAATTTCAATATTATTGTTTATTTTGTGCTTGATTTATCTTTTTCTTATGTTGATAGGGTAATAATTCAATGCAATTAAGTCCACGTTCAAATCCCATCCTATTTTAGGCAGAAAATTTTTTTGGTGGTTTTAACCTAATGTAAGAAAGCATTGCTGGTTTCCCCGTCAGTATACGATGGTTACAATTTACTTCACAATCACAGTTCATGCAATTGAAATGAATGATTACATAATATATGGCCTGCTAATCAAATGAGAGTCTGTGCTTTGCTGTGCAATTAAGCTGTCTCATCAGCAGTCCTATCAACCTATTCCAGTGGTGGGCACAATTTTTTAGTATAACAGCCGCATGCTGCAAGTCAGAACTTTAAAAGGGCCGCAGAATTTGTGAATTTATTAATATTATCGAAATACTATGAACAGAAAAGAAATTCACACAAGAGTCTAATAACAATAAATAGATAAACAAGGCAACTCTGACAACTCGGTTTTCATCTTCGTACTTTCGTTTTTTTAATTTTGGACACATCGCACAGTAACTTATTAGACAAACTAACCGCAATCAAGCTGCAATACCGCCGACGCATCAATACACATTGACCGTTGTGACGAAAGATTTGCTGACTCGACTGACTTAAATTCAACGCTACAGTGATCTTCATACTGAAACATAGTTTGTCCTAATTATTGACGAAAACTTCTTTACGACTTTTAATAAATTAAAAGAGTTTACATTAAAGTTTTTCTCTTAGTTAAAATTTGGATAATAATTTATGTTAGCGAGAAGAGCCGCACAAAAAGTCTGGCGAGCCGCGGTGTGCCCACCCCTGACCTATTCTATCAACATTATACCTTTGATTGGTTGAAATCATAGCATCTGAAACAACTAATTAACCAACTAATCCTGGACCAAACATGGACTGGTTACCATACGAACGGCTGTGGTTCGTCATATGATTGAACTGCCTTATCGCCTTCCCTCTCCTCCGGGATAATTATGTACCGTAAATCCAATCAATCCCATCATTCTCACAAATTATTATAAAAATCCAATGCTACTCTAAAAATTCAGCATATTTCCTTTTTTTTAATTCGCAAATTTTAATTTCTTAGAACAGAATTTCTAGAATAAATATAATTTTGAATCCCGATTGGTGTCAAATCTCACAACTTTTCTATTATGAATCACAAATGGCTTCAGAAACTCAAGCAGCTACTAACAAAGTGAAAAACCATTTGCGTGTGAAGGGTGTAAAACTATGGCTTCCTCCTTACACAAAAGAAAATGGAGAGATTGAAGCAGATGCCATGAAAACACTGGCTTTGGAATTTAGTAAGGAAATTAAAGTAAGTTCATTCATTTAGTGAGTTATTAAGCATATTGCTCGGAACTAGGCACTGTACAAGAAAATTACAGACATGAAATTCAAATCCACATCTCCTTTTAGCCTTATCAATTTATTAAATAAAACTTTTGGGATCTTTTGTACAAAGCCCCTGCGAACGCTCGAAAATAGGAAAATTAGTACCGGTAAATGTTTATTTAGGATTGCAAATTGCACTGAAAATTTCTTATTTTGAGTGTAGCGGGGCTGTTTTCTCAAATCTAGTGGCGAGGACTTTATACAAAAGAACCAACTTTTGAACGTCAAACTTTTACGTGCATGGGAGAATAAGCAGAGAGAATAAACAAGACCCTACACAAACAGTCATTTAATTTACATACTCTGCCGTATTCTATCCAATGACATTCATAATACTCTTGACAAGGTGGCTTGTGAGTTATTAAAATATCTGATAAATTTGTTTTTATTGTAATCTATATGCTTGCTATTGCATCAATGATTATCCTATCTGAGGTCGAATTAGTAATTATGTGACAGGATTAATAAACTTTTGTTAGTGTAGGTAGGGTTCTTTATGTTTGTTACTTACGGTTCCCTCCACTATTCAAGTCTATGCGTGTGCATCTTAAATAAATACGGGGTCACGAGAGGCCATATTGTTCATCTAAGATCGAGCAGTTTTATAAGCATTCCTTTTACTCCCGGAAATCCCAATTATATATTTTTTTTAATTTGTAGCAGAAAACGTGATAATAGTCTTAACTTTAAATAACAAAACCGACTCAAACTTAATTTTTTTTGCATCATTCATTTTCAGATTCCAGAAAATATTGTCGTCATATGCTTGAATGAACTCTGGCACCACACAGTAGAAAGATTGCGTCAAAATGAGAATTATAAAACGAATAAAATTGCGACATTGAAACTCAAACAATCATCAACCGAAAAAGTGGAGTTTGAAATTGTTGAAACAAATTTGAATGTCTCTGGGGGGGAACTAAAAAAATTAGTCACAGAAAAATTGAAGTATGATTGTAGTTACTTGAAATTTGACTACTCATGTAGTATGTGTACCAGGTTGGGGTTAAGCCATAATTTCAGGTACAAATACTACGTAAGTCACTTGGCTAGTCGGGATAAAACTGATATAAGGAAAATTGGAATAAAATTATGTCCTAACCCTAACCAGGTATACATACTACGTTACAGTGTCCGCCATCCTGGTGCACATACTACGGGAGCGCCGAAATTTATTACTTCAATTAAATTCATGCTCACTCACACTCAAAAACGTGCTCATGCTCACAGATTGATACACTCAAAAATGAACGGATTTTCAGTGACATTACGGACGGTCATTGAAAGAGTTACTGAAACTATATTAGTATATAGATTATAGAAGCTTTATGTGCCAGTAACTATATTGCATTCTCCACGAAAATAGTGAAATGGCATCAAGAAATAGTATAAAAAACTAATTTCAAAGTTAAGAATAACATATCATTTTTTTGTTCACTAAGTAGGCTAATATATCTCAGGCTTTCAGTACGTTCCCAATTTTATTATCAGTATATCTATGTGGCCGTATGTATGAGTGTGTGTGCATATATGAACTAGTTTAGTACTTTCGGGTGAGCAAACACATACCACTTTTTTGACAACAATTTTAAATTTGAATTCTGTACATTTCAAACCTTACCTAAGGTTTTGTTTGCTCTCCTGATTCTGTAATCAGTTTTTTATTTTCTGTTATGCTGATTATTTAGTCAAAATAAAGTTAAACATTTTCTATTCTGTATACCAGGCTTTCAGAAGATGTGAAACTCATTTGTGGAGGTCGCGTGATTCAGAAAGATTCCTCACTCGAATCACAACATGTAAAGCACAACAGTGTTATACTGTGTCTTGTAATCGCCCAATCAGCTCGCAAAGAGTCATCAGAGGTCGAACAAGCATTGAAAGCAGTCAAGCGTGCAAGAAAAGGGGCGGAGTTATTGGCGGAGATGGGTGCAGAATCGAGCGATATGTCAGGGTGAGGCGTATTTACATGACAGTTTTATCCAAGCTGTTCACTATAAGCCAGTTGTTTTCAAACATTTTAAGCCGCACCTTCTTTTTGGGATTTGTCAAATCTCGCGCCCCACCTCATAATTAACTAGCTAAAAATAAGCTACAAATAACAGTTAGGCCGAGTGAGGCAAAAAATATATTGTCCACGGCCAAAAGAGGGGAGGCGCTCTACTGTTTGGGAACCGCTGTGCTCTATCGTTGTTGATGTGACATTAATTATCAAATATGTTTCAAATTGAAACAATTCAACTCAATATTGTTAAGGAAACAACTAAAGGCGAGTGTATTTAATTATTGAAGGTTTTTGTGCATGTTTTTAAAATCTGAAGTTATTCCTTTCATTTCAGGGCTTATGATGTTCAAATAGCAGATCAGAAAGGGCAAGCGTTAGATTTACCAGAAGAAGAAAAACGTTCGCTCACAATAGCTCTCGGACTACATGAAAAAGGTCGTGCAATATTACAGCGTAAAAACTATGAACTTGCTTTATTACTTCTGCTAGAGGCCGATAAAGAGTTCCGAGAATGTCGTGCGGAAATTTTAACGATGGTCGATAACTATGCAGTGCTCTGTTTGGACATCGTGTGGTGTTATGTTTGCACAAAAAATATATCCGCTCTTCCCGACGCGAAATTAAGACTTAAAGAATGTGAAAGCGCTTTTAATAAAAGTTATGGAGACTCATTACAAAGACTGCTTGCAGTGAAGGTACGTTTAGTTGTTAATTGTAATATTATTCTTCATTTCGTGCGTATGCAACTATGCATAATACTAGAACCCAGGTCACTCGGTCGGAACATATTCAAAAGAAAACATAACTTTCCTGAAAAACTTCTTAGATTACTCTAACTTATGGGTGCAATCATACACGAACAGTTCAAGTGTTTGTTGAATACATTTTCACAGAAGTACTTGAGAAAAATATGGGTTTTGTTTTTTGTAATGTATGTTATTATGTAATGTATGTTGTATGTTTAGTTATGCCAATTCTATAGTTGGACATGATGCATGAATATCCCCCAATCTTATTGGCGGTCATACTCTTTGTAAATAGCTGCAAAAAGCATGATATTTTCAAAACAATATATCTTATAACAATATAACAATATATATGTTTTCAGGGTTCTTCCGGAAATGAAATTGCACTTTTTGTTCGCTTGTATTTACTCCAAGGAGTAGTTTTTTATCACGAAGGACAATACAAGGAGTCGAATAGATTATTAGACAAAGCTCAAGGGTTCGTATAAGTTTTAAGTGAAATTTCTGAAAGTAGTGTCACACTTGAACTTAAAAGTAAAGGAGACACGCCTCTTAGCTCAATTATGGCTGGTCATTGAAACTATTGTTATCAACCTTTTCTTTTATCCTGCAATAAATGTGAAAGTCATATACCATGCATCTAACACTGTGTGTTACCCAAAGGTTAACTGTTAAAGACTATCCACCACAAAAATGGTGGTTTGTGTAGGTGACAATATTCCTATACTTGTTGTAGACTGGTAACTGAGATAAATATATGTAATTTCGTCCTAATCTTATTATAATCATAGCTTTTAGACACATTATCAGTTTTCCTCTCTCTTCCACAGGTATGCAAAGATGGTTGTCACTGATCAAGATAAAGTAACGGAGTTGATGACAATGGGATTGGCCGAGAGGGAGGCAAGGAGAGCATTGAGGTTAATGTCATTATTGCAGTGTATTTTTCTTCAAAGAGTTTTGCGAAAAATGCATTACATCACAACTGTAAAATAAGGAAAGATGCTTTCAAATTTATTACTTGAAGGGTCCAGATTCGGATTGGAGTCCGCCGGCCTACACGATTCGAATTGAATTTTTGACCTTGTCTCTGTTTTCAATGCTCAGGGCGAACATGATGGATGTAAAACTGGCAACCCAGTGGGCTTTCAAACAACGAGAAGAACATAAAGAAATAAAGAAACAAGAGAGAGAGAAGAAAAGGAAAAAGGCATTGCAAAAGTATGAGAAGTTATATATGTTTTCTCCGAGCATGGCTCTAGGCCGCTTTTCGAGCCGTATACCCCTATTTGTTGGATTTGTCCGCAACGGTCAACCAAAAAGATGCAATGACTTTTTGATTGAAATCAATCTCTAAGGAGATCAAGCTCTTTTTTTGGTGCTCCTGAAGTATGCGCACCAAGATGTCTCATAACCTGAACCCTGACCTGGTACACAACCTGAGTTCAGGTTGCGCGCCATCTTGTTGCGCATACCTCAGAAGGTCCCTTTTTTCATCGTTATGGACCTCTGTGCAGTCATCTTGAACCCATCTTGAAATCTGCTCTAGGCTACCATTCTTGTTGCATGAAATATAAAACTTCGCTAAGAGCAAGATCCTGATTTTTCATTTAAGTAATATATTTTTAGGGACACTTATTCCTCCTGCCCTACCCTTTGCTCAAGGCTTTGTACAAGCATACACTAATAGCCAATGTAATGATGTAAGAAGCTCACCTTTTTGGAATCTGCTCAGTCTGGCATTGCCTACGATTTATTACATCTTGGGTGAGGTAATGGGCTTGGTATCTGAAACTGAGATTTCAACCTGCCATATTATCATAGAGAGAGAGAGAGTTTATTTCATTTTGTCAAACCAAGAAAACAATATATACATACATACATATGTACATAACAAAATTGAAAAAATGTTTTCGGTACATGACTGGGAGGCAACGATACGACCTTTGGAGGTCATCAGAGTCAGTTGCCACCCAATTCAATAAGCATAAAAAATAAATAACAGGTGTCAATCTATTAATACCTCTCATGTTTGTTTACTATATACAATATTTACATAATATTTATTGATATTCATCATATCATAGTTAAGTCTAGTGCATTCACCACTTTGTCACCAAATGCAATGTATTTCATATTGCAGAATAACATAGTTTTTGCCATTCCCTGCTGCTTTCCAAAATTAACGATATTCTTAATTTTCATTTCAGAAAATTTGGGACGTGTGCCAACGAAGACCCAATTAATATTGACACTTATGAGCAACTCGTGTCACAGTTGGGGTTCGAACCCGCGTTAGTTGTTGAAGCACTGAAGCATGCTAACAATGATGTGGGTGGGGCTATAGAAATGATTGACAGTAATCCTGACCAATTACGTGAAGCTGTTCGAATGAATGCAGAAGAAAATAAGAAAAAAAATAAAAAGAGTGCGCTTCAACAGGTTTGTTTTCAAGATAGTTTTTACATGTTTATCCTGAGAAAGGCTTGGCGGTGTGGAGCAACGAGCTAATCGTTACGAATACGCTTGCCACCGCGCCTCTGATTTCTCTGCTTAGGCTTGCAGGTTCGAATCGAGTATTGCTGGACTCTTCGCCGCGGTTCACGTAACCGCTGGTCGGTTACGGCTTCCTCCACCATAAAATCCCATGCATCTGAAAACAAATAATAACTGGCTAACTAATACCACACACGACATGGACTGGTAACCGGACGAGAGGCCGTGGTTCGTCGTATTAGCAGCTTTCCTCTTCCCTGAGATAAATATGTAAATCCGATCCTAAGATGATAAAACAACCCGAATGCATGGCAAACCACAACCTTCGTCCGGTTAATATAGTCAGTCAGGTATAGGATTAGTTTCACAGTTATTTGTTTCATCTTGTGGCTGTTAGTTGCCACGGTAACGGTAGTCAACTGTAACAGATTGCCCCCTGTCCATCATTCTAGTGGTAAATATAGTATTATTTTGATTGGTAGATTCCAAATACCATTATGTTTAAACAATTTATGCATAAGAAAACGAAAACATCCTGTGAAATAACCTTATAAAGCAATGAAAACTGAGAAGAAGTTTCTTGTAAAGTAAAATTAAAATCAGTTTGCGCCTGGCATTCATAATATATTTGTTTATAAACCTGTGCCTGCTTGCTTACAGCCTTGGTTAGAGACAACTTTTTTAGTATCGTTTTTATTCATCACAGCTGAAATCCATGGGATTTGATGAAGGAGTCGCAAAAGCTTGTCTGGAACATTTCTCTGGTGAACTAGAGGAAGCTGCTTCATATCTTGCTGAACATTTAGGAGAAATTCCCTCAGAATGGATCAGTTCCATCAGCAGCGCTTTGGAAGTAGGAGAATTTGTTTATTAGGCTCGACGGTGTGGCGCATCGTGATAAGTATCAGGAATACGTTCACCACCGCATCTCTGATTATCCTTCGTGTGTTCGATGCGGGGATAGGTATGTGCGAGAGGATTGCTGGACTCCTCACCGTCATAGCGTGGTTCACGTAACAGCTTGCTATGGTTCGTCGATTAAGAAGTCTTATCGACTTTCCTCTCCCCCGGGATAAATATGTAAATCCTATCCTATCCAAAAGTCATGACGAATCACGGCATCTCGTTTGGTTGCAAACCAGGTTTGAGTGTGGGGATAAGTTTACCAGTTAACCAAATATAAATATAATGAACTGAGAACTGAATTTCATTCCAAATTTTCATGCTGATAGACATGTGTTTTCATTTATATTTTATCTATGTGATTGTCTTCCTGGGATAACTGTGCTCTAATCTTATTTCCCACTCATTAACTGACCAATGACAGCACAGCATGATGGCAGGGCATTATGGGTAATACCCAGCTTGCTTCTTAGGTTTATTTGTAGATTTTCTGATATTTATGGGGGGGGGGCTCCTTAACTAATTACCTGCTCAATATGCGTAGACATATCATTTTATTGAGTATTCTTCTTTCTAATTTCAGGACACAGACACTGCAAGTTCATCTCGGAAACTGACGGAAGACGAAGAAGCAATGGTGCATGACGTCGCAGGTGATGTCACGAAGCACACTGACGAATATCTCGATATCTCTTTGTCCGAGGAGTTAGAACTTATTGTGCAATATCTGACAATGATCGAGTCAGTTTCTGGAAAATAGGAATTTTTCAAGTCTGGGTGTTGGAAAAATTTAATTTGAATAAGAATATATTTTAATTTTATTCTATAAATATCTGTTTAAAAAAAATTAAATAATTGAATTTATCTATTCAGTTTTTTTTTATGTTTCCATTGTATTGATGCTGCCTTAATGCGTGCTTTTTTGTATTTCTGATGTGTCTGACAAAAGTTTCGTTTAGTTACCGAACTATTGACTTTCTTACTGACATTGCTCCCAATATTGTTGAGTATTTTAAGGGTCCGAATATCCGTCTTATTTTGTATATGGCACTGTCTAAACTGCCTTTTTATTGTTATAAAAGCATCTCCAACAAATAACCTGTTCTTGTTTGAGGGATTGCTCGCAGTTAGCAATAAATCCATCTCATCTAGTTGAGATTTTGTCTTGTTTTTGTGATTAGGATTGGAATTTCATATAATAGTTTTATATAAGTTTATTTATATCGCGTAACATACCAAAGTGCCTAACAGACAGACAGACAAATATCTAACAACATACCTACCAGTCAAGATCGATAAGTGATGACGGGTTTGTTTTGGCTTCATAATCGATATAAAGGCGAAACATGGGCGATAAAAGCGTGGATAATATTGTTAGGGAGCCAAGTTAAAGTAAGGGAGATACTGGGCGAACTGAGGGTTTTTATAATGTGCTGATATACACATTAGTGTTTTCAGAGTGAAAGATCTTTTTTTCATTCTACATTGGTCACGTGGAGTTGGCATTAAAGATCATAAAGAGTTTTATATTTATCTGTGCCGGAGAGAGCGCTGGGCTATTGAAAGGTTCAAATCAAATGGTTAACTGAAGGTATGTCTTTGAATCGACAAAAATGAAAAAAAAACACTATTATAATATTGAGGAAATACGTAAAATAGTTGAAACAGTAATTGAATGATCATTTTTATGTGGTTTGTGTGCAAGACCAATAATACTCTACTAATTTTTCTTGACTCCGTCTACCACAATTACAGGAAGATTTTGCGCGCTAACGCTGCTAATCGCGCTCGGTCTTCATTTGTTTTCGTTGCGGGTGCTTTTTCCTGTAGCAAAATGAGTGGACGTTTGGAAAGTATCGAAGTTGAAAACTTCAAATCATACAAAGGAAAAATACTGATTCCTTTCAAGAGGTTCACGGCTATCATAGGACCTAATGGATCGGGTAAGCGTAGTTTGGTAGTGGCAATGGTTTCCAATCTGCCGATGGCAAACTGGTGCCCAAGATTCAGAGTTTGCTATATCTGTATATGATAAAAAACTGTAAATGTTGTATTCCAGTTTCGACAATACCTAAGGAGGGTCTTGTCAGTTTTATAGCCAAGACATTTACGGGTCTCATGTAGTTTCTTATCTAACATACTTCTAGTGGGCGTAGCATGACAATTTTTTTTTCACGTATCAATCCTAACCCCCACCTGACTACACCATCCAAAAATTACGTCATTACGACGTCACAGTGAGGTAATAGAGTCCTTCAAACTATACGAACTGCCATCCAAAACGCGCAAACGAGCACCCGAAATCGAACAGTTAGTTCTCTCGTTTTCTCGTCGCAACGATTCCAATAGGAGAGAGACTGATAACGTCAGTCAGTTCTTTATCGTCGGCGCCAATGCCATTTTGGTCGATCGTGCGTATGTTTGGCAAGCTCTATGACGTGATTGTGATGTCGTAGTGATTTAATTTTTGGATGGCGTAATCAGATGGGGGTTAGGATTGACATATCAAAAAATTGTTATGCTACGCCCACTAGAAGTACGTTAGGTACGAAACTACACGAGACCCGACATTGACATCTCAATTCAATCAAACCTTGCATCCACTGGATTATCGTAAAAGTGCCTAACTTCGGACAAAATTACCCTGTTTTCATCAATAACTCGACCATTTATTGTCCAAACGGCGCCAAAATTGCTCGGTAAAACATTCGTGCGGTGATTTACATTCCCTGCAAATTTACTATTGAAATAATCTATTTTTCTTGCCATCTGACGGTTATCCTTCACTGCCCTAACTTCGGACAGTCATTTTCCTCACTGCGTAACGCGACGCACAGAGAGAAAGAGGCTTCCGATGAGGGTGACGTAATCACGCCGTTTCGTGAAGATAAGACGCTCGATCGGCGTCGTAACGTAACATAAACGTCGCGACGAAAATGCATTATTTCAAACTTCCGTCGTCATATGTTTACATCTTTCGTTCGTCATATTTTCGTTACGTCAGATCAGTATAATAACACGTTAGTCATTTCAATCAGGAAATACATACGTAAATATATCTGATGCAAACCGTTTTAATCTACAATGATATTTTAACGGGCTTGTATTGTATCGTTACGAAAATAACAAAGTAATGAAACGAATGTAAACATAGCACAGTGGAAGTTTCAAATAATGCATTTTCCCCGTGACATTGAGACGTTACGGCGCCAAATTGACAATTTCCGTTTAGATTAAGTCGGTGTTCCAGTGTAATATTTCTGTATTTTGTTCGGTCCATGTGTGATTATCTGCCAAAATTACAATACATGTCTTACTTAGTCATGCATTGCAAGTCAAAATGACAGTCATAGAATTCTCTCGGGATAAAAATTCATTTATACTTCTAACAAAATCACGGGGCCAATCCCAATGTTAATTAACGAGATTAAATTGAAGATTAAACTTTTCAATTGGGTTCGCCGTTTGTTTGATATAAATTTATCACTAATAAAGATAAAAGCGTAACATCAACAAAGCTATCCGTCGAGAATATTAAAATATTTCAACTTTTAATAACTTCAACACAGTAACTGGTTGAGAATACGGATAACAGTTTGATTGCTCGATTACTTAGCAATGGATATTTGTTGTCAAGAAATATCATAAATTGTGACAGTGATTCTTTTTTAAATCTGGACTGTAAAGTATAATCACAATTTTAATCAAGATTTTTCTCGAATCGGAGACGAAAAAGCGAAAAGTGTGATTACTCGGCGCTAAGATGTCGCAATATGACGGCGGAAGAGAAATTGCGTAATAAATAACGCAACCCCGTCTTCTGTAAAGCGATTGAGACAGCATAAAAACAACGAAATTTCTCGTTGTTATAGAACATAGATATCTAAATTACGTGTACCTTTTTAATGTATTGCTATTTATCGCACAATGATACCTAATCACACTAATATTAAACCATGTATCTTTTTCCAATCATTCTATGTATTACCAAGTACAAAAGTGAAAATAAATGGAACGAGTAAATAAAAAGGAACTATGTCAAATAAGATAAAAGATTAAGAAATGATAAAAGAAAGAAAATTGTGAAAAAACTTAAATTAAAAAAAAACGAAAACAAAAATGAGTAAATGAAAAGGAACTACGTCAAAAAAGATTAAGAAATAATAAAAGAAAGAGGATTGTTAAAATACCTAAATTAAAATTTTCCACAAGGATCACGAGGATCACAACAACAATTGTAATGAAACCAATGCGTAACTTCACAGAATTCGCATCCAATTCATTTATCTTTTTGGCTTGAGCCGCCCATAGGATCATTCCACAATCCACATGCTGTGCAAGAATCATCCGATGAAGTTGACTGTCCTGAGACTTTGTTTCGTCTATTTTCAATTATACTTCTTTGGTCGCGTAGACATAAATTCCGCCCGGCGTAATCTTTGGGCCTCTTCGGCGGCGCACTGGACTTGTAGTCTCTTTGTGCATTTGACTTAAATATTCAATGAAGCACGATGTGGTAGCGTCGGTTTCACTTCCTTCTTTATTTGGTACCGGTACTGAAATGTAATCAGTTTGGTTTTGTGGCAAGTTCTTCTAAACAATCTCAGGGTTGAATGAGTGGAGACCGCAAATTCGAAATCCCGAGATGAGATTTTTTGCCGCAGTTTTCTCTGTGTCCAAATATAAAGTTTTTAGGAGTAGAGGAAAATATTCCTTTGGGAATCCCCTTATTTTTGTTTCCGTTCGCCATTGAGACAAAATTTTCCTCCACGTTGACTTCAATGGAGAAAAAAACGAACAATTCAGCGGCTGCAAGATGTGGGTGCTGTTCGGCGGTAAGCAGGTGAAATAAATATTGTGGCGATCGGCCATTTCGATTACGTCCATACTTAGGTGGGAACTTAGGTTATCTCCCATAAGAACTTTCTTTCCTTCGAGTGGCTGGCTATGGGGAACAAACAGTTCCCTGAACCACCTTATGAATGTTCTACTATCGAACCAACCACCGGGTGTGGCGTCGTATATAGTTCCCGGTGGACCATCAGACTGCTGATCCGCAGAACATAAAGATATGGATGTTTTTGAATGCTCCTGTATTCTGTCAACCCTATTTGTTCCAAGCGGGACAATCGACCTCTTTTTCCCTGGGTTGTCTTGGAGGTTAGTCTGGTCATAGTTGAAAATATTTGGTTGTGGAACTTCGCATAGTATGGGCTTCAGCTCTGCGAAATAGGATTCAATTTCTTCGCGTCCGACTGTGGCTCTCGCCCTTTTTATGTTAGAAGCTAGACGTTTTGTCAGCCGCCGTCTTTTGCAAAAGTTATTCAGCCACTTTATGCCAGGTTTGTTCTCTGGGAATGAAGACTCCACCCCTTTGGTGTCCAAATAAGTTTTGACGATGTTCCTCATGTCGTCTGGACCGACCGGAAACCCCCAACGAGCTACTATTTCCAGACATGACGCAAATCGGCACTCCTCCTCTTCAGTTCCGTGGGATGACCAATTTTTTCGGATGACGGTTCTTCATTTTGTCATAAAGCGTTGACTTCTTAACCCCGTGCAGTTTGCAGATTTTGCATATGACATCCCCCTTTCGACGTTATCCAGAGCTCTTTTCAAGTCCTCTGGGTTGGAAGAGTTGTAATTGCGTTTTGCCATATTTTGCAAAGTCGTTAGAAGTTGTAGTAAATCGTGATATCATGTACAAAGACAGATTCAAATGACCAAAAAAGTCCAAAAACGTTACCAAAAAACTTACCTCCTTTTTTCTTCATTTTAAAACTTGCCAGTAAACGCTGGGATCTCCTGCTGAGTACACCTGTACGGCGATATTCCGTCATTTTAGAGCACCTATGGACATGCGTAAACGTATCATTCATTTGGATATTCCCGTAATATTTTGTGGTGGAGTCCAGAAAAGGTCATTAATTTTATTTTTGAATATTGGGGAATGGGGGGCTTCATGTACGTACTTTTCATGATTTCATTTTGGTAATTTTATCATTGACTTTGACACTAAGTATACCGGTATCTTATCTAAGCAGTTCGTCACTTTCAAATCCACGAACTTCGACGAGCGTAATCGATGTCTGGCGTCAACCTCACGTCAACGACGCAACATGACGTCTGATTCGACGTGAGCGAAAATGACTAACGTGACGCCGACGTAACTCTTGACGCAGGCACGAAATCGCATTATTTTTATGGAATTTAAAATTGAGAAATTTAGGTTTAACACGAATCTCGTACAACATCTCGTGATCAGTTCAATGGATTATGTACATTGTTTATGCCCTCTACCGGGTGATGGTATTTTGACAATCGTGGTGTGAAATGAAGCGACTCTATGCGTCTTTGAAAAGCGGCCAGTCGATTTTTGTAAAAATTGCCATTTTCTCACTGAAATTTTTTTTATTAAAAATTCAAAAAGTGAAGAATAGATGAACACTTAACAGCGCTATCTATAATAATTAGAACTGTCATTATACGGTGCTTTTTAGCCAAGATATTAAAGTTTGAAATTTTTGTCCGAAGTTAGGCGCTTTTACGGTAACTGAATAAGCGTACAAATCTACAGTCAGACAGCACTGCAGTAGGGCACAGTTCTCGCATTCCAAGATGTCCCGACATTTGGTTCAATAGAACAAACATTCTGTTTGTCTCTGAAACAAGGACGTCTGGCACGATGGCTGATGCGTCACAGATCTTGATAATATTTTGAATTGTAGAGTGCGGCTATCACAGTAGTATCACGAATTTTTTCAGCTATTTTTTTCAATTTCAATTCTCCATCCCAGAATTTTAAATTTATAAACTTTTTTTGTAGGAAAGTCAAATCTTATGGACGCAATCAGTTTCGTCCTAGGAGAGAAGACTAGCAGTTTGAGAGTTAAGAAATTGTCGGATTTGATCCATGGCGCCCCCGTTGGTGCTCCTGTCGCAAACAGAGCTAGAGTCACAGCGACGTACGTTGATGAAAAAGGAGAGAAAACTGTCTTTTCAAGGTTAGTTGCGAACAGAAGCGAGAAAATGAGTAATGAATTCAGTGGATCGAATCCAAAATGACCATATTATAGAAGGATTCGGATCACGCTTTCATATGTTTTCAATTGTTTTAAATTTAAGGTAGTCATCATTTTCACTTTTTTTCAAACTAGACAAGACTTTAAACCAAGGGTGGAAAATTACGGGCTGCTGGCCGGATCCAGCCCACTATGGTGTTTCATCGGCCCAATTGTGTCAGCTGAAATAACGATTATAGTTTTTATTGATATGAATTTCAGCTGAAAATATCGATAAAAATATCATCGAAATAAGCCCGATTGTTACTTTGTGCTTTATTTTATTATATAAACGTTTGTCTAGCTGTTGGAATAGGTGTTGTGAATAAACTGTTTTTTATTCATAGTTTTTCGTATCGAGTTCTGAGCCTCGGTAACCAAGTCTATTGGATGTGACTGGCCCACTCAGAAAAGTAATTGTCCACTAATGCTTTGAATCATGTAGTATTTAGTTTTCCCTCATTTTCATCTTTTCTTTTATTTCAGAATAATCAAAGGTTCTTCAGCCGAACACAGAATCAATGAAAAAGTTGTTCCCCATGCCGACTACAACAAGGAAATGGAGAGAATTAATATTTTCATCAAAGTCAAGAATTTCTTAGTTTTCCAAGTGAGTGTCTGCTATAGCAACGATTCCAAATTTTTTGTTCTTGCGTCGCCAAATTATCATGGGAATACTCATGGCGTACTTACACGATGAAAATTGCTCAATTTTGTGATCGTTAGTGTACATTTGTTAGTTAATGTGTATAATATGCCTTTTTAAGGTTGTAAACATGTAGGCCCAATGAAGGAAGGCAAAAGGTCTTCTTCCTCATCTCCACCTGATTTTCCTTTAAAAAGTAAATAAATCACTCATGATCGCTAACTCAGTTCAGCAAATTGCAGCAAGTAGTATCTGCCTCTATTGTTACATAACAGTTACGTGACTCACTATATTGCCCTCGCAAGCTAGTGTACTCTAGTTGCAACCCCGCTGCCCATACCCTCACTCAGTGTGTAGATTATTCTAGACCAGGAAAATTTTTTCTAAATATTATCTCTTTACACAGTCTGTGACTGTTTATGTAAAGCTATCTGTTCTATTTGTCATAAAAACAAAAATTTCCAGGGACAAGTGGAATCAATTGCTATGAAAAATCCGAAAGAACGGACCCAACTCTTCGAAGAGATATCTGGATCTTCAGAATTTAAAGAGGAATATGAAAGAGCAAAAGCTGAAATGGTCGCCTCGGAACAGGAGACGCAGTATTCGTATCATAGGAAGAAAGGTCAGTATGAAATTATTCATAGCGAAATGGTGTGAAGCCGGGTTGTAGAGCTGGGGCAAAGCTTAACTTAATATATGGAGCTAGAGCCATCAGAAATTTCAGTACTTTGACAACTCTGACAAATCCACACCTCTGGAAGAAATACTATTTTTGTAAAGACCGCAACTTTCATGCTCACCAAAGTTATTAAACTCGGTTAATGGGTGCTCCCGTACCAAGATGGCGCACAACCTGAACACGGTCTGTGTACAAGGTCAGGGTTAGCAGGTTGTGCACCACCTTGGTAGAAATATTACGGGAGCGTCGGTTTATGGGCGTTGGCACAGAATTCGAACCCGATATTTTTAACTTATGAATTATTAAATCTCCAGGCATTGCTGCTGAAAGAAAAGAAGCCAAACAGGAAAAAGAGGAAGCGGAGAAATACGAAAAGCTGCGGGATGATTACGCTCAACAACGGTTACAAGTTATGTTGTTCAAGTTCTTCTATAACGATAGAGAAATGGAAAAAATGCACGAAACATTGCAGGTTTGTAAGAAGCTTTTATGTGAAGTTTCACATATTTTTATGTGGAGTTGCACATATTTTGTGTTTAATTTCACATACATGGTGTGATGCTTGATATATTTTATGTAATGTAGCATTTTACATATTTTTATGTAGTTATCCATATATTTTCATGTGTTTTTTTTTTTTAATATTTATTTGGTGTTTGCCCATATAATGTGTTGTTTCACCTATTCAACATATTCACACTTGGCTAAAAGCTGTATATGGTTTTCCTGTACATGTCTACTCAAAGCAAGCTCTATGCTCTCAACTAAGAGTATGACCTACGCACAACCACTGTTTCACTAGTAACTATAGATAAATTTATTATGATACCAATCAAAATTTATTTCCCTTCTCTTCAGCATAAAAACTCTCTATTGTGTGTAGTATTTTTTGTGACATTTCATATATTATTATATGGTGTCCTACACAACTTATTTGACCAAAGCAAAAAGTCCTTATTTCTTGACAAAAAGTAGAAAGAGTGCACTCATGCCACAAATACACCTTGGTTTTTTGTACATGTTGACCCAAAGCAAAGCCGCATTCTTTCGACTAAGAGTATGAATTGCAAGCAATCACTGGTTCACTAGTAACTATAGATTGGGTACTCCTGTAGTGTGTGTATCAGGTTAGGGTTAGGCCATGATTTTATTCCCATTTTCCGTATTTTAGTTCTATTACTAGTTCGGGGACTGTCTGTGTTAGCCAAGTGAATATACACCCCCTGCCCATAGGCTTCAGTCCCTTTACACAACTTGATGTAAAGTCATAGATTGATTTATAGTGACACAAACACGAATTAACATACCATATTTCCCTCCTCTTCAGCACAAGAACAAAGATCTCAAGCATCTTATGCGGAAAGCAGAACGCACAGAAGAAGAAGTGAAAACCAGGAAGCAAGAGCAGGGAAAGATGATGAGAGAGGCGGCATCTGTCGAGAAGAAGATCCAAGAGAAGGAGACAGAACTGAACAAGAAGAGACCAATGTATATCAAGGTATGTATGTGATTCATGCATGGTAGTGAAACCATTCGAGGGAAACTCACTTAGACCATTTCCTAGGCTTTCATTAACTTAAACAATACTGCTATACAATGTTCCCTCTAATTTCTTGTAGCATGTGTGCGCAGAAATTTTGATGTGTGCGCACTTTTTTGGAAATGGCTAATATTTGTGCAAAAACCAATGAAGAGATTTTGGCATTCTAACCGGGTAATGGGTGGGCCAACAACAAACTTTCGCAACCTGCCAACCGAGAAAATTGTTACATTACATCGAAATACGTCTGTGCGCAGTAAATCTATGCGTGTGCGCAGCCTCTGAAAGCTGTGTGCGCGCGCACACGCGCACACCTTAGAGGGAACACTGCTGCTATACTAAAACTATAAAAAGTGTACAAGAAGAAAATAGTTTACAGATGGTGGCTAACCAAATGAAACCCCGGCTTTTCTATGTGACTAGTAACATCTTCAAATCGCTCGGCGATAATTAATTTCATCACATGGATGTATTGGTCTGATTACTTTACCACACACTTGTTTTCATTGTACCATTACTTGTTGTTACTTAGTAATTATCTTTCCTGTTTGTGTGATGATGCTGCATTGGTGATGGTTTATTATAGTTTGTAACAGGCTCACATGAGATTATTATTTGTGTCAGATTTGAACAAAGTTTTGGCATGTTAACCATAAAAAAAGCATATAATACATTTGAAAAAATTAAATTTAAATATACCCCCACTTTCAAGAAATTTTCAGTTTGATTTAATTTGGCCACTTTTTCAAGTTATACATCAACAATGATTTATTCAATATAGATCTGGGAATAGATGTGCCTAATATGAAGTGTCTGTATAGACACCTGAAAAACCTTTATTATTGGATTCTTCTCAAATGCACTTTCCAGTTTTCCACATGTTTATTTCTTACAATGAATAAACCAATAGGCACCACTATTCCATTACAGGCGAAAGAAAACACAAATTTTGTAATGAAGAAGTTGGAATCGGCCAAAAAATCTCTCCGAACTGCAGAGATGCGACACGAGAGTCACATGCATGTGATTGAAGATTTAAAGCAACAACTGGCAGATGTGGAGTCTAAAAGATTAGAGTTTGAATCACAGGTATGTGGGAGGAGCATAGCCAAGAATTTTCAGAGGAAGGAAGAGATTTTTAATTCTCATATAAGAAAGTAACAGCTAGCAAGTCCGGTAGTAACAACTACCCCTTGGGTAGGCCCTGTTATTTATACATGTTTTGTTCAAAATAATGCCATGAACGATCAGTCATTAATGTGGACTTGGTGAATAAGAGTTTCTTTTATGTATCTGTTTCAAACAAGGCTCTGTGCAAACGACATTGAGGTACAGCTAATATAGTACATATAAAAGTTAAAGACGTTTTTATCAATATTTCCAAACACAGGTCGAACTCGACAGTCAGACTGAAGGTCGTGACCTTGAGCTGGAAGAGTCGCAGATCAACGAATACAATCGCTTGAAAGAGGAAGCGGCAAAACGATCGACTGCAATAAATATGGAAATTGAGAAATTACTTCGAGAACAACAAACTGACCAGGAAAAGTGAGTACACTTTGTGATTTTTAATATTTGTTTAAAATAGAAATAAAAGTTGTTTTTCCGGGTCCAAATGACTTGGTGTTTTACCATTATAAAAGCACTGGCAATGTTTTCAATATCTAAATTTTGCCGAGTCCGGAAAACACAGTTTTTATTAGTCTTGAGGGTTTAAAAAGCATTTCAAGCTAGGAAAGATTGCAATGTATGTTCTCTATATAAAAACTCCATATAAAATGATTCAAAATTTTTATATCCTTCCAGACTTGATGCTGAACGTCGTAAGAAAAGCGAACTCTGGTCTTTGCAGAAACAGAAAAGTAAAGAACTGGAGGAGGCTACGTCAAGGTGAGATATGTTCCCCTGTTGAACAATTTTCTTCAAGCTTGGGTTTTGTCCTTCTTTTATAGTCTTTACAAGAATGTAAAAATGTCTATGGCTCCCTTTTTTGAACTCCACGATAGCAAAATTTTGATTGTGACAATCGAGACCAGTGGTTCTCAATAGATGAGGCGCTCCCCACAAATCGTAAACATTCTTTGGGGGACATGAAGCTGATTGAAAATGAAAATATTCGTTAGATCTGATCTTGCCTGCCTCATTTCGGCGAATTCAAAATGGAAATTCTCTCCAAATCTTGATGAAGCATTCGAAAACTTACTCAAAATGTTTCATTTATTTCATTATTTACGTTTCATCCACCTATTTTCAACGTGTTTTTTTGAATAAAACACACTTTCGCCATACTATCTGTTATTTGTAGCTCATTGTTAGCTAGTTATTTTCGAAATTAGGCGCTAAACTTGATGAATTCTAAAAAAGGGGGCGCTGAAACACTGATATAAAATCTACAACCATCATTCAAAAATCCACCAAAAACCTCGCAAAGATGTGAAAAAAACAGTGAAAAAAAAACGACAATTTGAATTTCATTTAAAAGTATTAAACATTTGTCTTCGGAAACAATTAGTTATCATGTATTTAACTCTCTGCATTGCTTTAAGCAAGTTCTCTTAAAAACTTTTTGTATTGAATTAAATATTCTGGGACTCAAGTCCTATACATTTACGGCATCTTATCAGTGATGAGCATAGTTAAATGTGAGTTAAGTTTCCTTCAAGCTTGGAATTTCATTTTTTCAGAGTTGACAAATTGAGAGATTACATTAAGACAAGCCGACAGACTTTGGCAGAACACAAGAAACTGAAGAGTGAATTGGAAAATGAGGTGGGCAGTACTGGGGCGGTATCGTATTGAAATGGGGGGTATTTTTTTTGTATTGTGTTTTGTGATGTCACATTTTTGTATTATGATATCATATTTTTAGGTGTTGGTGGCATGGAATTTGGTACCAGATTTTCATGTCAACTAAGCATCACTAGCTGATGAATTTTTCTTTTTTTCAACATTTTACTTTACAGAGTTAACTTCCTCTTCCTAGGTTCAAGGGTCATATGAACGAATTCGTGAAATCAACGTAGAGTTAGAAGAAGTCATGAAAAAGCAAGGAGATGCAAAAGTCGATCGTACGGAAAGTTCAAGACAACAAAGGAAAGCGGAATTACTTGCAAATCTGAAGAGACTCTTCCCTGGAGTGGTAAGACTTGTAATCTAATGTTTTGGTCGGTGCAGGGCACGGTTTGGCAACCATTAGCATTGAGCCATTTCGCATTCTTTCAATCAAACTTAAACTTACTCGGAGCGCAACATCTACTCTAATGTCAGTGGCTATTAAAGCTTCCGGAAAATCACTTATGATGCAATAATCTAGTTCTTACTAAGAAGAAGACAATTGAAATATGAATGATGCAATAATTCAATTCACTATAAAATGAAAAGTTTGCTTTGATAGATTTGAATCACCTTAATGTGATTTTTTATTACCTCTCACGACTTATGGATGGATGTTTCCTATACCTCTGATTGACCCCTGGAAAATTATTTCTATACTTCCCCCATCGCAAAATTTTTTGTTCCTGTTTGAAGAGTGGTTTAGGGCCGGGCTACTCGACTGGCGGACCGCGGACTGAATCCGGTTCTTTCAAGTATTTAATTCGGACCGCACCTAATTCTTTATTTTGAATCGTTACTTTTAAAGTTTCATTTTATAAAAATGACATTTATTGTTTTGAATATATATAAAAAGAACTATAACACCATAATAAACAATCTTGATTTGCTAATAATCATTAGCCGGCCGAGAAAGTGCGAGTTTAAGGATGTCGAAATATAATTTCTGGAAATACCGGACCCAAATTATTTTTAAGTTTTGTATGCGAATCTTCGGTAAAAATAGTGAAGTAGCCCTGGTTGAGGAAACCGGTTTTTATGTTTCAAATCTTAACTTTGATTCAAAATATTCAAACCTATCATTTAAAAGCACTGATAGAAAAGTTCTGGTATCATTTAAAAGCACTGATAGAAAAGTTCTGGTTAGCGAAACCGGTTTAGATGTTTTCAAATCTTAACTTTGATTCAAAATATTAAAACCTATCATTTAAAAGCACTGATAGAAAAGTTCTGGTTAGCGAAACCGGTTTATATGTTTTCAAATCTTAACTTTGATTCAAAATATTCAAACCTATCATTTAACAGCACTGATAGAAAAGTTCTGGTTAGCGAAACCGGTTTATATGTTTTCAAATCTTAACTTTGATTCAAAATATTCAAACCTATCATTTAAAAGCACTGATAGAAAAGTTCTGGTTAGAGAAACCGGTTTATATGTTTTCAAATCTTAACTTTGATTCAAAATATTCAAACCTATCATTTAAAAGCACTGATAGAAAAGTTCTGGTTAGCGAAACCGGTTTATATGTTTTCAAATCTTAACTTTGATTCAAAATATTCAAACCTATCATTTAAAAGCACTGATAGAAAAGTTCTGGTTAGCGAAACCGGTTTATATGTTTTCAAATCTTAACTTTGATTCAAAATATTCAAACCTATCATTTAAAAGCACTGATAGAAAAGTTCTGGTTAGCGAAACCGGTTTATATGTTTTCAAATCTTAACTTTGATTCAAAATATTCAAACCTATCATTTAAAAGCACTGATAGAAAAGTTCTGGTTAGCGAAACCGGTTTATATGTTTCAAATCTTAACTTTGATTCAAAACATTCAAACCTATCATTTAAAAGCACTGATAGAAAAGTTCTGGTTAGCGAAACCGGTTTAGATGTTTTCAAATCTTAACTTTGATTCAAAACATTCAAACCTATCATTTAAAAGCACTGATAGAAAAGTTCTGGTTAGCGAAACCGGTTTATATGTTTTCAAATCTTAACTTTGATTCAAAACATTTAAACCTTCCATTTAAAAGCACTGATAGAAAAGTTCTGGTTAAGGAAACCGGTTTATATGTTTTCAAATCTTAACTTTGATTCAAAACATTCAAACCTGTCATTTAAAAGCACTGATAGAAAAGTTCTGGTTAGCGAAACCGGTTTATATGTTTTCAAATCTTAACTTTGATCCAAAACATTCAAACCTGTCATTTAAAAGCACTGATAGAAAAGTTCTGGTTAGCGAAACCGGTTTATATGTTTTCAAATCTTAACTTTAATTCAAAACATTCAAACCTATCATTAAAAAGCACTGATAGAAAAGTTTAGTCTAGTCATAGCTATTTCTAGACAAATTTTGGACCTCCAGAAGTATGCGCACCAAGATGGCGCACAACCTGAACATAGTATGTGTGTACCGATTAGGATTCAGGTTGTGCGACATCTTGGTGCGCATTCTTCCGGGACACCCTAATTTTTATGTAATCTTCATTCCAGCATGGGCGTGTTCTGGATCTCTGCGAACCAGTTCACAATCGTTACAAAATTGCCATCACTAAAGTTCTCGGGAAATACATGTACGCGATCGTTTGTGACACAGAAAAAACAGCAAGGGATTGTATCCAGTATATGAAAGAGCAGTGCGATGAACCAGAAACGTTTTTACCGCTGGATTATATCGACGCAAAACCTGTGAACGACAAATTGAGAGAAATTAGGTAAGGGATGAACTGATTTTTATTTGGTAACTAAATAAACGAGAATATCGGTTGGAGACCGAAGACTTATCGATCGATAGTTAGGGGATCCCCCAAAACAGAAACTGCAGTTTCGATTCATCCGCTCTTGTAACTTGCGCACTGCGCATCGCACACACACACTCGGCGGGTCTCAAAATTCTCTCGCTTTACAAAAATCTAGATCACTATATCAATAATTGATTGATAACTCGCTAATTATACGACATAATTCGCCCAAAATCAATAGGTTTCTGGTCCGAGATAAGATGAATGCACATGCAAAATTTGGAGCAGATTCAACCTCGCCTTCGTGAGATATCGCGTTCATCTAACAAACAGACAGACAGACAAATACGTATCAACATACTTACCGATCTTAAGATCGATAAGTAATGAGGAGTAACTCGGAAGACAGATAACTGGTAATTAAAGTGTTACATGCCAGGAATAGCCAAAACTGAATATTTCACTGTTCCTGATATATTCTGAAAAATATTTTCCAATATGGAATACCAAATACAATCTAAATTGGGGGCAAGTTCATGGGGAAAAGGACATAAATCATCACATCTTCATGTTGATTACATCTGAAAGGCCATAATTATAAGAAGGTCATTGTTTGTTTTGACTAACTTGCGTAATGGCTCATAATCTAACAGTCGATAGCTAACAATGAGCTACAAATAACAGATAGTGAGGAGAAAGTATGTTTTATTCAAAAAAGACGTTGAAAATACAGGGAAAGATCCGCAATCTTTAAACCAGGGTTGGTGCAAACTTTTTTATTGGCGGGCCAAATACAAGTAACTGGGTGAAGCCACGGGCCGCACCTTTATTTAATTTAGGCTTTCTGGTAGTTGCAAGCACAAAAATTGCTTATATTTGCTATTGATCTTACGGCATTATTAGGGGTTCTTGCAGAAATACTAGATTTAAAACGCATAAACTCCTGAAGAAACTGCTATTTGAATTTTTTGTCACACCGACTTCAAACGAATGCAGTGAGAAACATGTTTTTGTAATATAAATCGTGTATTTTGCAACAGAATTTTGCTAGCTTGTTTTGCTAATATGACTGGTATGGGCTTTGCAAGAAAAAGAATAAATACTCGTTTTGCGGGTACACCATTCGAAATTGTTATTTCTCCGCGGGCCACACAACTTCTTCTTGCGGGCCGCAGTTCACACGCCCCTGGTTTAAACAAACAAATGTAAATATCCAAAAAAGGTCGTGCAAGCTCAAATCTAACAATATATTTTCTTTTTAATTAGCGTCACAACCCCTCAAGAAATTGTCCTCTTGTGGAGCGGACCTCACCGTTTGATAACTGCTGATCTATGACATTATCAGATTTTCCTAACGGTTCTATGAATTCCTGTTCATTTTTTTTTCCAGAGAGACTAAAGGAGTTAAACTAGTCATTGACGTAATCCGTTACAACCCTCCAGTGATTAAACGAGCTTTACAATTCACTTGCGGGAATTCCCTTGCAATTTTGCATATATCCGAATACTCTATTTGCATTGCACATCATATTTAATCTGTGTGTCACTGCTTTTATAAAAGCATTTTCCATTTTTTGAGCTAAATTCTTCATCCACAATAATTTCTATTCCCAGGGAGCCAAAAGGAGTTAAACTGGTCATTGATGTGATTCGTTACGACCCTCCAACGATTAAGCGAGCGCTACAATTTACTTGCGGAAATTCTCTCGTCTGTGAGACCGCAGATGATGCACGGAAAGTTGCTTTTGGACAAGTTGAAAAACATAAGGTACGTTTTTTTTTCATTGAGCACCAATTAATTAGTATTATATTTATGGAATGGGTTTTAGAATGGATAAAAAGAAAGTACATTTATGAAAAATGAGACATAGCTTCTTTACTCGACGATATATATAAATTTAATCTTGTTGCAGAGGTGCCATATTCGACATTTTACTATTTGAAAATGAACTGTTATACTCAGTATAATAAGTAAATGTCCACAAACATAACCAAAGTAACTTTAAGACGCCCCAAAATGAATGAGCCCTCAAGTACAGAGAGCTACTTCACCTCCACAGCTGGTCGATGATGGTCACAGCATGATCTGTCATCTGGGAAAAACACTTCCAAATTTCCAAATTGCTAAAGATGGAATCATCCCCCTAGAATTGTATTTATTAATTTTTCATTTATTCATATTCAGGTATTTTTATGCTTTTTCGTTAATTTTAATCATTTTTTGCAAATGGCAGGATATGTTTCAGAGACCTGATGGGACAAAAAGAAGAAATCAGGTTAAGAAACTGCATGTAGTGTAGTATTGTGCATGCTAAGCAAAACACTAATCAGTAAAATATTTGTTTGTTCCCTTGAATAGGCTGTAGATAAGCAGCTAATTAAGATTATGTGTGTACTGTGCTCTAATTTTGTATTAAGTCCCTTTACCTTTTCAATTTTGTTATGAAGTCTGTTCTCAATATATCTTAACCAGGTTTGTTGTTTTTTAATCAGTAATTGTTCAAGTATTTTTACTCCATTTAAAATACATCTGTGAGAGCCAAAACAATTAATGGTATCGATGAATCCCCTTTGCAAATTTAAAAAATGTTAAGACTTTATGGACTTTTCCCCGACCTTTGACCCCCAAAAAATTTCTCTAATACTTTACCATTACCAAATTTTCGGGGCTATTTTAAGATTGCTTTGGCGAGTTGGCTTCTGTAAAATGAGGTATGTGTTACAAACCATCATTATGATTCATCGCATACAACAATCTGTTTTTTAAAAGTACCGGTAAAGAACTTTAGCCTAGTCTATCACAGCTATTTCTACACTAATTTTTTTATTACTGCAATTAAATTAAAACTCCTAGGAAGACAGAGTGATCATTGAATTATCTGATTCATATTTAAGTTTCCGAAACACAACAGAAAACTAACGAATAGAGTTCAAAAACGCGAAAACGAGGTAATGTTTACGACCGCGCTCGAAAATCTGTCTGAGTGAGAATAGTGTCTGAGCGGATGCGAAAAAGGTAGCATTGTTACGTCACTTTTTGTATCTTGCTGATTGGCCAATGTCACGAAATAAACAAGAAAGTCAATGCTTGGGGAAAGGTTCATAGTTCTTTGAAGTATGTTGTGGTGTATGGCCATCGCTGTGTAATTTGAAGATACAGACAACGCAACAGGTTTTCACAAAACAGTAATTATGAGACGTTTCGAATTTTTATTCAGCGAAACTTCATCAGGGCATGATATGTTTTGGATTAGATTCCACTTCTTGATAATTTTCCTTGCTAAATATATATGCCGGTGCCTTCACCAACCATGCCCGGATGGAAGTTTTTCCGAATAGAAATTTGAAATGCTGAAAAATACGTTGTTTTTGCTAACACCAGTTATGTTGCGTATATCACTGCTTGTAGTGTGTCTGCATGTTAATTTGTAATCTTGTGGAATTATCCCAATAACACTCGGTAGCTTTTAAGAGGTGTAAATAATTTCTTACTCTCTCCTGTCTGTCACTAATTCTTCCTTTTTTTATGTGTTCTTCACGTTATGAACTGTATTTAGGATGGTAGATTATTTTAGTTCTTGTCATGCTTGCGATCACAACCTCAATGCATCCAATTTGAATAAGAAATCGTTTTTTGAAATTATTACTTTTACACATTTTTGTGTGATGCTTTTATTCTCTAATTTTCTTCTTTTTCATTCATGCTAGTAACATTACACTAGTATGGCACATGTGTAGAATGTGTCAAACACTTAGTGTAACGTTGAAATATTAACCTTGTATCCTTGGGTTGTAAGATTTTTCAAAATTTATTTTTTTTAAAAAATGGGTTACTTGAAAATAAGTTTAGGAACCACTGTACTAAACAATAACAACTTCCATTTTAATATCCAGGCAGTTGCATTGGACGGCACATTGTTCCAGAAATCCGGCGTGATATCCGGTGGCGCCACAGATCTCAAGAGGAAAGCCCAGAGATGGGATGAGAAGGCCTTGGATCAGCTCAGAGCAAAGAAGGAGAAACTAACTGAAGAGTTAAAACAAGGTCAAATCATTTTCTCCTAAGCAGAAACTGAGATACTCGTGTAGTATGTGAACCAAAATGGCGGACACCGGAACGTAGTATGTGTACCAGGTTAGGGTAGGGCCATAATTTCAGATACGAATACTACGGGAGTCATTTGGCTAGTCCCCGAACTCGTAATAGAACTAAAATAAAAAAAATGGGAATAAAATTATGTCCTAACCCTAACCGGGTACACATACTACATTCCGGTGTCCTCCATCTTGGTATACATACTACGGGAGCACCGAAACTGGTATGTGATGAGCGTATATTTTTTGAGGACGAAGAGTTTTAGGTTTAGTATTGCCTGCTCAATTTTTTACATCCTATGCCAGTAGTTCCCAAACTTCGGTCCATTTATGGCGTAACGATTAAATATGACCCGCCGAGTATGAGTGAAATAGTTCAACACTTTGTTTTTATACTTGTTTGCGTTCTAGATACTGCCAATTGTTACATCATTATCACAGTTTTAGCATGTGTATTTTTGTAACAGTTCAATTGAACCGGTTTCTTAATTATGTGTAACGATGTCGTTCCCTTTCTATTGAAAATTTATACTTCAATATCGGTGTTATGGTAAATATCAGTTGATATTTACCATAATGGGGAAGTCCCTTCCTTATACCCCATCCTAATGGGTTCCTCAATCTTCCAGATTTCTAATTAAAAATCTTACTATTTAGTTCCTGAAAAATCTAATATTGGCACAAATTTTGAATATCGCACTGACAGTTACCACAATGGGGAAGTCCCTTCCTTATACCCCATTCCTAATGGGTTCCTCAATCTTCCAGATTTCTAATTAAAAATCTTAGTATTTAGTTCCTGAAAATTCAAATATTGGCGCTAGTTTTAAATATTGCACTGACAGTTACCATAATGGGAAAGTCTTTTCCTTGTATATACCCCATCCTAAAGGGGTCCTCAATCTTCCCGATTTATAATTAAAAATCTTACTATTTAGTTTCTGAAAATTTAAATATTGGCGCTAGTTTTAAATATTGCACTGACAGTTATCATAATGGGGAAGTCCCCCCCCCCCCCCCTTATTCCACATTACCAACAAGTTTTTACATACTATTTCTCTAGGGATTTATGATTTTGTCAGACTAGAGATTTCTACCTGAAAAACTTACAATCGCAGACTTTTTTAATTCCTTTTGAAAATTTTGCTTCCATGAATTTTAAATACTGCACCGCCGTTTACTATAATGGGGAAGTCCCCTCCCCATTATTTCACATTGCCCATATACTTATACGAGTTTTTACTTATCGATTTTAATCGGTAAGTATGTTGATAAGTATTTGTCTGTCTGTATGTCTGTTAGATGCACGCGATATCTCACAAAAGCGAGATTTAATCTGCTCCAGATTTTGCATGTGCATTCATCTTATCTCGGACCAGAAGCCTGATTTTGGGCAAATTATGTTGTATAATTAGCGACTTGTTAATTAATTAGTGATGGGACACAAGGTGTCACTATGGAGTAAGAGCGCTGTTTTGGGGGATCCCCTAACTTTCGATCGATAAGTCTTCGGTCTCTGACCGATATTCTCGTTTCATAGTTGGGATTTCTAGTTACAAATTACATACTCAGATTTTTTTTCAATGTCTATCTAAATTTGGCCTAATATCGGCATGAAATTTGAATATCACACTGATATATACCATAATGGGTAAGTCTTCTTCTTATTACCCTAATTGGTTCCCTAATCTTTCAGAAATGAAGAAGAAACGTAAAGAATCGGACTTGAAGAATATTATTAGTCAGATAGGAGGACTGGAGAACAGGATCAAGTACTCACAGAATGATTTGAATAATACGGAATGTAGAAGCATGAAGGAACATAAAGATGTAGGTTTTTTTGGGGGGTTTGGAGAGTACTGTTTATTTATTTTGTTTGGAGGTAGGGAATTTTTGGAGCATCCTAAAAGTGAATTTTATTCCGTAAATTACATGCAAGCCTAATGGCAACTTTAAAAGCAGATAAAAAATGACTAATAATTACATTTTTACAGAAAATTGAAGAGTACGAACACGAGTTGCAGAACTTTGAGCCTCGATTTATGGAAATTGAGGAAAGAATGAGAACTCGTGAGTCTGAGATCGGAACGTACAGATCATCTATGAACGAGGTTGGCCATTTTGGTTGTACATGTTTTCTAAGTTTTAGTTTGGGGTCAAAGTTCATGTTCTTTTTGATCTCGGATCGAGAACTTACCATATATTCTCGCATATAAGCAAGTTAAAACTCAAAAATAAAGTTACCTAACTAAGGGGACAGCTTATGTGCGCATAACTCTGATCGCACTCCAACGAAATGACATTATGCCAACTTGATTTTAACAGCCACAACTCAAGTTCTAACGATAAGAGTGTGCATGCACGCACTGAGCGCTTGGTACGCTATGTCAACGATAACAGTCTGTGGTTGGTTGTCATACAGGTGATTGTTGTGTTGCGATTTGTAGGGTCAGCTTATATGCGAATGTAAATTCACCGTTTTAGGGCTGTTTTTAGGTAGCCTACTTGTATGCGGTGATATACAGTAAATCCTGTTGCGAAACTAAATTGTATTCTTTCCGCTATATTTTTATAAATTTTCTCATAATATTTCATTTTCTGGGAATTTAACCTATTATATACAATTTTCTAAGGTTGAAGATGACGTGTTCCGTACGTTCTGCGTCCAAATTGGCGTTCCAAATATCAGAGTCTATGAGGAAAGAGAGCTTAGCAGACAACAGGAGATCATGAAAAAAAGGTTTGTATACGTTTATTGGCAGCATTGGGACTTCTTTATTAGGATTAGATTGTTCTGGCCATTCACACCTCATTGAACATGATCGTAAGTTTGGTTGGTTGAATGGCTGATTGGCAGCATTGGTTCTTCTTTATTGTGGTTCGATTATTCGGCGCTCTCGTTAGATTATTTGGCCTTCCCGTAGTATGTGAATCAAGATGGCGGACACCGGAACGTAGTATATGTATGAGGTTAGGGTTATGGCATAATTTTATTCCAATTTCCCTTTTTCAGTTCTATTACAAGTTCGGGGACTAGCCAAGTGACTCCCGTAGTATTGGTACCTGAAATTATGGCCTAACCCTAACCTGGTACACATACTACGTTCTTGTGTCCGCCATCTTGGTTCACATACTACATGAGTATCGATTATTCTAGTCAGTTATGCCTCGATGACCAAATTGTTCGAAAGGGTCACTCTATTATACATTTTTCAAATACAGGCTTGAGTTCGAAAACCAGAAGTCTCGTTTGTCAAACCAGTTGGAATACGAAGGGTCGCTGGATACTCACCAGAACGTCCAGAAGTGGAACGAAATGATTAAATCAGATGAAGAAAATATTAAAGTTCATAAGCAGGAAGAGAAGAAGGCTATGAAGGTATGGGTTGTCTCTGAAATAAGCTCTTGGCTAGTGGAGTCCTCTCGCATTTTTCTTTGAATAAAGCTTTAGACGACATTCACTGATATACAAACAAGATAGCGATCAGAGACTGCCGACTTATCGACTGTTACCAACAAGCGGCTACCAGACATTTTATGTCCGCAGATTGCCGTGACATCTTATAGTAGTATGCTTTTTTATTCTCATGAGTACGAAAATAGTAATCAAAAATTAATTATAATCGGGCAGTTTTCCGCACATTTTATGTCCGCAGATTGCCGTGATAAGTAGTAATACTTGCTTTTAATTTTTTTCGTACGACGATGAGTTACGTTGAACAGAATTGAATTAATACGGCAAAGCATTTTAAATTCTGTTATCGGTCATAGATTTGAATATTTTGCGCAACAGAAAACCATCCTAGTTACAAGTTCATACTTTTAACTATCATTATCAAAATTATTTGCTAAAAGGGGGAAAAAGTATAAATTATTTTTCTGTGAGTACGAAAATACGAATCAAAAATTGATTGTTATCGGGCATTTTGCCACACTATTTGCGTAATGCATTAATTTTTTCGTTAGTCGACGCAGCCAGGACCCAGGGGAAACTTACAATTGCTTATTGGCACTTGGTACTTTCCACTTGCAGTCACCGGTATATGTTTTTTACTTCAAGTTCAAACTAGAGACTGTGCTTTAAACGAATTTTTATAATATCAATTCCAGGTCATCCAAGAAGCAGAAGACCAGTTACAGGAACTCAAAACCAAGAAGATTCAAAAGAAACGAGATGTTGATGACAGAGCTACTGAGATTGAAGAAATCAGGAAAGAAACTGCAAAGATTAATAAGGTTGGTGGCAGCATTGTTGATGCTGTTCTACGGTTTGGTTGTTCAGACGAACCATGCTTCGCTGAACACAGTGGTTGGTTAATGAATTGGATGGATGTTGATTTGGCTGTTGCAGCATTGTTACTGCATTTTTTAAAATAGATTATTCTGGCCGGTCACGCCTCATTGAACACAGTCGTTAAGTGTGAACAATAGAATTTTCTGGCCAATCACACTCCATTCAACATAGGGTATATAAATTAGTAGCCAACCCCAATTTTTTAAGCCTCTACCGATACATTGAATTCTTTGCGACCCCAATGCTAAACAGTTAGATGCAAGCGCGCTACTTTCTCGGGTCGTAAGATCAAAGTTGTCATTATTATGCAAGCACGCCACCTAAATGATCCTATGTATTTTCTTGAAATCGTGAGATTTATGTTTTGCACTAGTTTTAATAATTGTTTTTCGAATACTAAGTCTAAAAATATACAATAGATATATTTGTTTGTGCGAAATTTGTGTACTCTTTGTGATACCTTAAACTCGTCCCCCCCCCCTTTACGGGATCATGACCCTCAGTTTGAGAAGCTTTGTAGCAACCATTTCTCTTGTTTTCCTCTCCTTAGGAAATCACTCAAACACAGAAAGCCATCTCTGCATCTGAGCTGAAAGTCGAACAAGTCCGTGAACAGAAGCATTCGCTGTTCCAGCAGTCTAAGATGGAAGATATATATTTACCATTGAAGCAAGGATCTTTATCAGATATTGTAGCTCCTTCGGTATGAATTGGGGATTCCCCTGTGTATTTTTTGTGGGGGTAGTGGGGTGCAGGAAAAAATTAATTTTCTTGTTCTAACAGTCTAAGAAGAGTGATATATATATTTGCCATTGAAGCAAGGATCTCTATCAGTTATTGTGGCTCCATCGGTGAGATTTGTGGATTCCCCTGTGAATTTTTATGGGTGGGGGGATTACCTGAGTCAAGTCATTCTAAAAACAATCCCCGTTTGATGAAAATTTCAATATCCAGGAGCTGTGATTCGGTAATATATTTTCAAAATTTCAATTTTTTTTTCAAAAATTTCCTGAATCTGTTCCTGATTGGCTAGTTTGTCCTCAAGTTTCTTATGTCTCAGTTCTAATTGGTCAATATATTTTTGAAATTTCATTATTCATTTCTTATTGGGTAATATACTATGAAATATACAGTTTTTAATCTATATTGGTTAATTTAAAATTCCAGGACGCTTCAGATGCAGCAAGTCAAGCAACCAGTGTCAGCCAAACTCAAGCGATGTACGACATGGAGGCTAGGATTGAAGTTGACTACAGGAAACTGCCTAACAGTCTGAAGGTTAGTTAGTCGTTAATTTTGTCTTCGTTATTGCCAATTCCTGTGTTTTTATGCGCAAGTCCATGGATGTTTCCCCGAGCATTGATTTCCTCGTTTTTTTCTTGACCAATCAGCAAAAAGTCGACGATGGCGTAACAATTGTGATTTTTCAGACACTTCCTTGTGATTTTTCGCTTCCACTTCCAAGTATAGCATTGCTTGATTTGCGTCCAACGCTTAATCATTAGATAAACGGTTCCTAAACATTTTGTTCGCGTGGTCACAATGGAACCATTATCATCATGGAAAAACTCACACGGAAAACAAATTCCTGCCTTAAAATAAAACTCAATTTTTTGATCGTTAATATGTATTTCAAGTTCATAAACATGTCGGCCTAAAGAATAAAGGCAATGTCAATAAAACAACATTTATTTATCTTATGAGCGGTTTGTGACTGCTGCTCTAATCACTTCTTTAGTTATGTTTGACACAATTCTGTTGATGTTTAGGTCACTTTTAGCAAATCTAGTGCGCCACTGTGTTAGACCATCTCACGACCCATTTCCACTCCTTTGCTTCTAAATTTGACATCCTAGTTGAGGTTTTGAGAATGGTTGTTTTAGCCTGAAATCCATTACCTATGATGCCAACAGTTGAGCAGGTCTTGACTTTTACTGCTTATCATTTTATTACTTATCGATCTTAATCGGTAAGTATGTTGATAGGTATTTGTTTGTTTGTCTGTCTGTTAGACACTTTCGTATATTACGCGATATCTCACGAAAACGAGGTTATATCTGCTCCAAATTTTGCATGTGCATACATCATATCTCGGACAAGAAGCCTATTGATTTTGGGTTAATTATGTCGTATAATCAGCGAGTTATTAATTGACTAGTGATAGGATACGTGGTGTCGCTATTGAGTCCTTGCGAATGAAGTTTCTGTTTTTAGGGGATCTAGTTTCCCATATTTGTCATTTCGCATAAGAAGTAGAAGAAATCCCCCATTTTGTAATTATCCGTTCATTTAGGACCTGGAGGGAGATGAAATCAAGCATGACCTTGATCGTTTGATGTCACGCTTGGGCGAGTTGAATGCTACGATTCATCGAATCTCCGCACCGAATATGAAAGCGATGACCCATCTCGACGAGGTTAAAAATCGTTACACAGAATCCAAAGATCAGTTTGATAGCATTAGGAGAAGAGCTAAGAAAGCCAAACAGGTGAGAATGTATAGGTTGTGTGACATTCTATGTTTGGGGGAATACCTTTTTCTATTTTTATACTGTATTTGGGGTGAATAAAAATGTCAACCATCTCGATGGGGTTAAAAAATTGCTACACTGAATGCAAGGATCAATATGAACAAGAACTAAGAAAGGTTAACAGGTGATATGTAGGATGTGTGACATTTTATACAAGGAAAAATCCCTTATCTATTCCCATACATGTGTCTACAAGAAAATTTCCACAAAAGGAACGTTGCGAGCATGTAATCAGAAGTAAAGAATACTCATGCCTGAGCAAAGTTAGTGTACTAACTTAGAAACAAAGCAAACTCAACTCTTGAGTAAATTTACGGCCAAAGTGCCAAAAGCAACTGTCACTATACAGAGGCCAGTGAATACAGTTTGCTTCAATACTTGGAAGGCTTACCTTGGGAAAATAGCATTTTAGTTTTGGAGGCCATTGTCTGCCATGATTTAATTGTTTTATCGCTTTTCATGCTTTTTTATCAATAAAAAAACCTAAAATTTCACAGGATAGCCTTATCTTGGGAAAATAGCATTTTTTTTAGTTTTGGAGGCCATTGTCTGCCATGATTTAATCGTTTTATCGCTTTTCATGCTTTGTTATCAATAAAAAAAAACCTAAAATTTCACAGGATTTCGAGATGGTGAAACGTAAACGAATCGAACATTTCAACCAGTGCTTTGATTACGTTGCGACAAAAATTGACGAGATCTACAAGAATCTTTCCAGAAACAACAGCGCACAAGCTTTCCTCGGACCCGAGAATCCAGAGGAGCCGTATTTGGAAGGTAAGAATATATTGCAATCAAAGAGAAATGAACTAACGGGGATGTAGCCAGGATTTATCAAAGTTCTGAAATTGGATGCCGCTTTTGGCCAGAAACCTAGGTTTTAAAGAGCCTTGAAGATGTAAGAAGCGTTTCAAAATTCTACTATTTTACATTTTAAAAGGTCATTCCCCCCCCCCCCCCCCCCCCCCCCCCCCGCCCCTACTTTGAAATGTAAAAAAGCATTTCCCTGTATTATACATACCAATTTGTCATAGCTTGAACGCTTTTTCGACCAGACTGGCTAGCTGTTACAGCCTAACTTGCAAATTAGAAATTTCAAACCCCCCCTTTTGAAAATTTCTTACTATCCTCAAATTATCCTCAAATGTGAAATTTATTTTTCAAAACACTTTTTTAATATTCCATTTACATACAAGCATCACTTTTTTTCATTCACAAATTGTGAAGTCATATTTATGTTAATCATAACTATAAATGATGTCATAATCTTTTTTTAGGCATCACATACAACTGTGTAGCTCCCGGCAAAAGATTTCGACCAATGGACAATCTCTCCGGTGGAGAAAAGACAGTGGCCGCTCTTGCTCTGATCTTCGCGATTCATGATTACCAGCCATCCCCATTTTTTGTTCTGGATGAAATTGATGCAGCGCTTGGTAAGTAGAGCAGGGTGAGCATCTTTACACTCCAGACAAGTCTACGTGCGAAAAGCCACTGGTATAGGCTGAGCTACTACAGTGGAACCTCCACTAACAAAAGACCCTGAATGTCCGGAAACGTTTTTCGGTAGAAATATTGCTTCAAATAATAAAAAATGTTTCTAAACACGAAAGTCCGAAAACCAAAAATTTAAAAAATGAACTGCTGGCCTTTTAAGCGGATGGGCAGCTCGAAAGTGGCGCACCTGAGCTGCTCTGCTATTGTCTGACGCCCGACAACTTTCTGCCATTTCATTGGCCCTGTCTTAGCCTAGCCTAGTCAGTCAAAAGTCAACAAACATACCGTTCGGTTCTAAATAATTCCTTGTGTATTGGTGATTGCTTTTCTTGAGCCTTGTTCAGAGCAAATGAAATTTATCAATTCACTCGTTTCAGATAACACGAACATAGGTAAGGTGGCCGAATACATCAAGAATATGTCTGAGAGTGTGCAATGCATTGTCATCTCTCTCAAGGAAGAGTTCTACAATAAAGTGGATGCTTTAGCAGGAATATACCCAGAGGTAAGATATTTTTGTTATCATCATAGTCCTTGAGCGGCGCACCAGAAGTATGTGTACCAATATGAAGGTAACTAATTTTGTTCACCTACTTTACATCAAGTTGTGTAAAGGGACTGAAACCTATGATCAGGGAGTATGTTCACTTGAGTAACACAGACAGTCCCCGAACTCGTAATGGAACTGAAATAAGGAAAATCTGAATAAAATGATGGCCTAACCCTAACCTGGTACACATACTACGGGAGTACCTCTTTAGCATCTTCTTGTGCAGTAGTTCTCAATCTTTTTTTCTTTCGTGGCTCATTTCATTTTCATGCCATGTAAAATCTACAAGAAACTTTTTGCAAAAATAGACACTTTCAAATTACTTGTTAGTATCAAAGACAGCATCGTCATTCATTGCTACTACATTCAGTTTAACTATAGTGGCATAAATAAACTAATTTTTTCAATAACTCGAGTGATTTTTATCATGTTTATGGCCCACCCGGTAATGTTTCTGTGGCAAAGTTTAATGTTTTAGCTAAAAAAAAGCTTCAATGAGATTGCGAATAAATTTAGTTTTAACAGAAGACTCATTGTTTCCAACACTTCTGTACCCCTTTAAATATTGTTCATAAAATGTAACATTCTACATCACACTTACATGGCCCGCCAGTCTTGGTGGGCAAAATTTTTGGTGGCCCCATGGCCCCTACCCCTGTTCTAGTCCTCCCAAAATAAAGTGGGTTCTTATGCCTTGATTGTAGCAAAAATTATCTCTTTATTATCTCTCTCGCTGAATCCACTTATTTTATTTATTTACAGCAAGTGGACGGCCACTGCATTGCCAGTAAAGTTGTCACACTTGATCTGACCTGCTACCCAGATGCTCCACCTCAACAATAGTGAGGGAACTACTTCTGAAGAATCTATGGTTTTGCAAACACATTTTGATAGAATAACTTTCATTAGACAGAATTGTTGACGAATGAACTACTTCTGAAGAATCTATGGTTTCGAAAAGACCTAGGATGTGTTTTCTTGGATTTACTTTAGTTGGACAGAGTTGTTTTTCTAAGTTGTTCTGTTGAAAGTGTAATGCTTTCTTTTAAACTACTCACCGATTGCTTCTAAAATTTCACTTGTTCCTGTTGCTGTGGAACTCCACATGGACAGAACTATGTCTGTTCAATATTTTCGCTGCTTGAAGGACAGACTAGAGCTAATACATTAGTGGTTCCTAAATAATTTGACTAGGTGCAATAATTAGAATCTGAAGGGCTTTGATAATGACGTAACAATTGGTGGTATCTTGAACGCAAAAAGGTAAAAACATAAAGTGTTGAACTGTTTCACTTAAGTTTGGTGAGCCATGTTAAATCGCCATGCGGGCGTAATTCTGTATTACATCAAATGGCCTCCAAGTTTATTCTGTATTTTAGAAAATGTTTGTTTTTTTGTTAATTTTGAAAAAGTGGAAATGCAAAATTTGTCTCCTTTGTATCCAATTTTATTCCTCAAATGATAACACTTCTTTTGAGAAGTTCATCAATCAAACATTGGTATATGAATTTGAGATGAACTATGAGCTTTGCTCTTTGAACTTTTATTCGCAGGAAGCAGGAAATGAATTGCTCATTATTTCTTGTAAATATTCAATGTTGTGTATTTGATGTTAATTATGTTCCTGTTCTCATGTTATGTTTTTTTTTTTTCTGCATTCGTAATGTGATTTCTGGATTTTGCCGAGAATCTGACTTCTAAAGTAGTGTCCTAACCTCCAAGCCTATTCAACCTATACCTATACGAAATCATTCATGGTCTCACGTGACCTTCAAATTTTCTTCTTTCCTTGCGACCACCTTATATATTTACCCAAACTAAGAACAATAACTCATGGAAACTTATTCTAAAACGAGACAATTGGACGTTTTTGAGACACTGCGAACATTATCTGTGGATCAGATCAGTAAGGGTTGCAGATTCCAAGTTACGGGTTCCAAACCTGACCCCTTGAGAGAGTTCAATATTTTATCCTAACTCTGGAGAATGCGGACTCATTTGAACTTGAACTCACGTAGCTGTCAATCATAGTTGTTATAGTTTGTAAATATGCTTTGTATGTTGATAAAATCTCTGAACTTGGTTAGCTGTTATTATATTATGTGAAGGAGAGATTTGCAGACTAGTGAAAGTCAAGGCGCTGTTACTGGCCAGAACAATTTCGTCATATTATAAGGCAGAGGTCGGCTACCTTTTGTCGCGGGCCAAAATTAAAGGTTGCAAGTCATTAACGGGCCGCACATATTTTCAGAAAGTTAAAAATCGAATAGATGACCGACGAATCACATTTTATCACACAGATCAGAAGTTAAATTTTAAACAGCGCGCGAAGACTGACCAATTGAATATTTTTTGCGTCATTAAACCATTTGCACTCGGCATCAACTTTTCTGCGTTGTGTTGCCATTCGTCTAAATTATAGGCTCATTAAACCAGTAATTGTAAATTATATACTTGTTACGTTATAATATAATTTAATCTACACGTAAATTCTTTTGCGTAAAGAATATAATCGACAAAACAGCTGTAATTTGTTACTATAATTCAGGGAAGCGTCGCGGGCCGGATTATGTTACTCCGCGGGCCGTAGGTTGCCGACTCCTGTTGTAAGATGACTGCTGCTATTACTTGTTCAGCTAATCAGGTTTGTGACAAGTCGTGTGGACGTTATTGGACACGAAATTAACCTGTGGATCGCTTTGATAGTAGAAAGAAAAGGGCGCTATTTTTACAGTCTAGAGTTCTACGAATGTGGCGATGTGGCTCAACGGGCTAAGCGTTAAGAATACGCTCACCACCGCACCTCTAATTACTCTGCGTGGGTTCGCAGGTTCGAATCCCATGCAGGGATGGTTATGTGCGAGAGGATTGCTGGACTCCTCGCCGTCGTTGGGTGGTTCACGTAACCGCTGGTCGGTTGCGGCTTCCTCCACCATCAAGTCCAAGCTTCCGAAAACAAATAACTAACTAATCTCATACCCGACTTGGAATGGTAACCGGACGAGAGGCCGTGGTTCGCCATATGGATAAGCCGTCTTATCGGCTCTCCTCTCCACCGGGATAAAAATGTAAATCCTATCCTATCCTGTAAATGTGTCGGGCTCACGGTCGTCGTCGCAGAATATATTTTTGTTGAATAAAAAGCTGACTGTTAACGTTTAGAACATGTATGCAGAGAGAAAACAACAGAGCAATGCACAAATATATGAAGACAAAATTCGAAACGACCCATCAAACTTCATGACTAACGTAATCACCACAAGGTGCGCAATTTTTGATGACGTAATCGCACCCAAAAGGCGAGCCGCATAGGTCCCGAGTACACTCTTTCTAGCGAAAATTTCAAGGAAATTGTTCCAGTAGCGACTTTGGTGCGATTTTTTTCACAGTGAGAAAGAGAACATCAACAACATAATGATCAAGAATACCAAAACGATTCATGGATCCATTTCGTGTACAAAACAGCAAAAAATCAAGATTTTGTGTCACATTCTACCAGACAAAAGTTGTTTTCCCCGTCTTGTTTATTACCGTAAGATTGACTCTTCAGGAAAATGTCAACGGTGTGATAGCAAAAGATAATAGAGGATTTGCATATTTATCCCGTAGGAGAGGAGAGACGACATGACGGCTGAACCATATGGCGAACCACGGCCCCTCGTCCGATTACCATTCGACGGGATGGCATAGCAAGGTATTTTGTTTTCAGATGCGTGGATTTCAGGATGTGCTTAGCACGATGCGCCACACCGCCGAGTCGAATGATTTCTAGATGCGTCTCTTTGCTCAGCTGGCATAAAATTCAATTTATATAAATTTCTAATAATCCTATAATCTTACTCTTTTTTGTGACATTGCCAGCCACATCTTATTGAAATTCCACATGTTGCTTTCTGCAAATGAATTCTAATCGGATGACCCAGCGTGACCCCATAATCACTCATGCGGATATTGATTGACAGATCCATTTGTAAACACACGCGTTTCTGGCTTTGACGTTTTTTGTCGAAGTTTTGCTATAAAGACAGCGTTTTATCTACAATCGCAGTTAATGTCGAGGTAAATTTGTAGATACAAGGATATATCGTCTCTAAGGAAACCTAATATGGCGAATATTAACCCTCCTTCAAAAGAACAACTTGGTAAGTAGATGTCTCTAATTTTTATAAGGTCAAATAGAAATGGCAGAATGGGGTTCGAAATTTTCAAGATTTGAACAAAATCTGTCTTTCGCAAAATTAAAGACGCGTTCAGTTAAAATTAACTCCATTTTCAACTAAGCAGGTATGTCCCATGCCAAATAGGGCATAGCGTTTTGAGGAAGACCGACTTTTATTGGAAAAAAAAATGTGGGCAGAATTTTTACATCACCTTTTTGTTGGGCCCTATTTAAGCACCTACAACATGAACTTCATCAGACTCATAACTAGGGTGCAATTTTCATGTTTATTTTGTAAGTATATATTTTATTTGCCTCGATAATCAGCATAAAAGACAATAAAAAAATTGATAAAAATATTAAAATGAATTACAGAATCAGGAAATAGTAGAGGAGAGGAAAGTTGATGAGCTGTTTTATTCACATGCTGGACATAACATTGCAACAATCAAGCTTTCTTTCTGTTAAAAAAGCGCTTCGATTTTTGTTGGAAATTTCGATTATTCAACTTTGTTAACGCGCTCTACCTTCCAATTTTGAAGAGTTTGAAAATACAACTCTTCCTTTTTCTGGGATAAATATGTAAATTCTAATTCTGCAATTTCACCTCAAGCTAGCTCAAGCAAACATTGCAACATCCACAATTGGTTATTAAAGCAAAGTTATTCTGATTATTTTCGCTTCATCGACAATACATTTTTTTACAGAAGATTTCTTCAGCAAAACTGTGACAGTCTCGAAAGAGGATGAAAAAGTGAAAGAGACAGAAGATGAAAAAAAATTAGCAGAAGAAATTAAAATTGAAGAAAAACGCAAAAATATGGATCCTAAACATCTTGAATTATTTGAAGCAATAGATAAAGGTAAATAAATAACTCTTTTATTTATAAAGGTAAATAAATAACTCTTTTATTTATAAACTGTGCTTGCTACACTGGTTGGTATCCATCCTTTTTTTATACATCCCATTCTCACTGTGCATACTATGTTTCCGTTTGTCTTCCAGTCTTCAAATTTTGAAACAATCAAAAGCGGCTTCTGCCATGTCGTCCAGAACCATGCTATGAGGGAAATCCTGATTAATCTCCATAGCGAAGGTTGCTAAATATTTATCCCGGGGGAGAGGAAAGTCGATAAGACGGCATATCCATATGGCGAACCACGGCCTCTCTTCCGGTTACCATTCCAAATCGATGCTTGTCCACCAAGTCCAACAATATAACTAATCCCATACCCAGCTTGGAATGGTAACCGGACGAGAGGCTGTGGTTCGCCATATGGATAAGCCGTCTTATCGGCTTTCCTCTCCCCCGGGATAAATATGTAAATCCTATCCTATCCTATGCCTTTTTTGATAAATTCTTTTTCCGCTATGCATAAAACTTTTGTTTTTGTTTGTCATTCAATCTTCAATGCATCACAAAAGACTGATAGGTGCAATTCAAGTTGTGTAAAGGAACTGAAACCTATGGGCAGGGGGTATATTCACTCAGCAAACACAGACAGTCCCCGAACTCGTAATAGAACTGAAATGAAAAAAGTCGGAATAAAATTATAGTCTAATAATCACTCATCTCATCCTCTCATTTACAGGTAATATTGAAACTGTAAAAAGGCTAATCACAGAAGAAAAAGTTCCAACGAATATTATGGACGAGGTTTGTGTTTTATTAATCTGTTAATTTATCTGGTTAGATGGAGCTATAGAGTCAAACTTTTGTTTTCCCTTGTCTCGTTCGGTGTGAGGAACTTGAACTCGCTGAATCTCAAATCACAAAATGAAACCCTAATTTTTGTAGAAAAGGGGGGGGTCTTCAAAGTTTATTTTTTCTGAGTCAGAATAAATGTAGTCTAACACAGGGAAGGCTGTACATCCTTTTATTGATTGAATGATTGCTGTATGATATGCTGAAAAAGTTATGGAGAAAATGATATATAAGTTAGCTCAAGGAATACGTTGAGATTGCCATTAAATTTAGTTTTGACACGAGGCTTATCGTTTTCCAATTTGGCTTTTGTAACACTGTAAATAAAATTTGTTTCCTAAAATGTAATTTTTCACACCACACTTACATGGCCCGCCGGTGTAGGAAGGCCTTGCCCATCATTGTTATAACACCACACATTCAAGTTCTATATTAATTATTATTTCAGCACGATATGTCTCCCCTACTCCAAGCATCTTACAAAGGACATTTGGAAATAGCTGAAATCTTGCTTCAGAATGGGGCGGATGTGAATGCTACTAGTCATACTAACTTCTACACACCGCTTATGATGGCTGCGATATCAGGTTTGCTGTCTTTTCATGCATGAATGCACAAATATCAAATTCATATCCTACAATTTATATCAACTATGTAATATTGAGTATATTCTTAATTGGGCACATTTTTGTTTTTCTGAAATTAATGTTTAATTTATTAATTGGTCAGTGAAACTGGCAACTAGCACTCTGGCTAGCACTCTTTGCTCAGTTTAAACAGGTCAAAATGTGCCCATGAATATAATATCACAATTATACTAAATAACTAAAAAATATTAATAAATGTACAAACAACACAAATTGATAATTCAATATTTCCTCCGAAAACAACATGGTTTTTCCCGGAAAAGAATTCCACTCGGACTGGGAAATTCCCATGTCTGCTTGTCGAGCAAACACCCAAATGATGAGAAAAACACAATTTTCTTCGACTTCCAAGTCTGATTCTGAAGTTTTGTGGATTCGGGCATTCGACACCGGCTTTCTGATCTAACCTTCCAACTCTTTAAGTACTCATGTAGTATGTGTAGTATGCGCACGCCGGAACGTAGTATGTGCACCAGGTTAGGGTTAGGTCATAATTTCTGGTACAAATACTACGGGAGTCACTTGGCTAGTCCCCGAGCTGGTAATAGAACTAAAATAAGGAAAATTGGAATAAAATTATGGCCTAACCCTAACCTGGTACACACACCACGTTCGGGTGTCCGCCATCTTGGTTCACATACTACGGGGGCGCCAAAAATTCCAATATTTGTTTTGAAATTTTCTATTTTTCCAGGCAAGCAAGAAACAGTCAAACTTCTCCTCGATGCAGGAGCCAGCGTCACCAAACTTAACTCAATAGAAAAGACTGCTTCAGATCTGGCAGGGTTCGTGGGTGAGTTTAAAAATATGTAAACTTAATCAAACTGTGTTTCAAGCATGGGTGAGTGTTCTGGTATACATATTTATCCCCCATTGTTTTGTTTTATTTACTACGAGAACACAGCCTTATAGAGTAATGTGGCAACCACTATTTTGGCGGGACGCGAATTTTTGCTCTATTTCTGAGGGTTTCATTCCGGATCGTAATTTTGGAGACGTTAGTTTTTACCTATTATCAACCATGGATTTGTCACTCTCGCTTTTACAAATTTTGCGTTGATTAGTAAGACCGAACATTCTGGAACAGTAATTCTCAAATTTTTTGAGCCGTGCGCTCCTCTAGGAATGAGAGCGAGTGGCGAGTGTTCGTAGCATTAAGCTCAACTACGATGGCATCAAAGGTTATTTTGATTTAATATTTAAACACTATACTGCCATCTTGCCCAGGTTGTTGTAAATCTGGTACCCAATGGCGTAACAGGAAAAATACCAAGTTATGATGAAATGATTGCAAAATATTAGCAAGTTAACTTGAGAATAATCTTGCTAAAAAAATTGGTTAATTTAAACAAACCGAATCGTCCATAAGTAAGTTCCCATTGATCCTTCTTTTGGGGTTACAAATATCAACCCCCCAATCAATTTGTGAATTTGTAAACAAAATTGAAAACCGATCCTTTCAAGTTTCAACACTTATTCTATTTTTTGATTTATGATTCTATACAGGTGAATTTTAATCCTCATTTTCCATATTTCTATGATTTACCAAACGGACTTCGCCATTAGTAAGTTCCCATTGATCCTTTTTTCGGGGTTACAAATTTGAACCCCCTATTTCCTATATTTCTCAGGCCAGCATGAAGTCTCAACACTCATTCGTAACTATCTCACGTTGGATCGATTAGAACCGTACTTCACGCCACAAGGAGACCAACCCGCTCGAATCACTGAATCACTTGCCAAAGCTCTTCAGGAAATCGTCATGGCTACGAACTTTCACCCCGTAAAGGTGAGTAATTTTTTCCAGCGTTCCCTATGGGACTTGCCCTACCTTCAGTGCCTCATGGATTATGTCTGAAATGATACATTGTTCAGTCTTTTCGAGGGGGTGAGGGCATGTACTCGAGAAATGGGCTGAACCAAATAATATTTATTAATTTCAATCACATTCTGAAGTAATACTTTAAATGAATGGTAAATATGTTTTTAATATTTGAACATTGTAACATAAAATTTCTGATATTATAAAGTAAATCACATGTTTTGACTCTCTCAGGGGCGTAGTCAGTAATTTTCAAATGATGGGGGGGGGGTTCTGAAATTCTAATCTATTTTTTTACATTTCAAAAGAGGGGGGTTTCGACCCCCAAAACCACCCCCCTGGCTACGCACATGGATTCACCACCGTATGAATTCCTTAAATCTTCAAACTTTTTACTCCCATATAGATTGTGATAACAGTCAACGAAAACTCCGAACTCGGTACCGTTGAAAATTTGAAGAAATGTTCTAATGTTATGGATGACCTATGTGGAAAATGCGTCAGAGCAAAGTGAGTATAGATGGTACAGTTGTCATAGGTGTAGTTGCATAGTCGTAGATAGGGGGACCTGAGTGGCCATGGTTCTTCCAAAATTTTTCCATTTAATTTTTTAATGCAAATTTGCGGCATTTGCAGTGAGACATAAATTCATACGTCTTTTTCAACACTATTTTGGTCTATGTTTAACTAATTTACTGAACCTGACGTTTGCTGGCTTGCTATCAACAATTGCATTACCGTGCGATATTTTTTTATGTAATTTATTGTCTCGTTTTAATACTTTTGAGGAGTTAATTTATTGACGCCTCCTAATCAGGCTTCTCTTTCCTTTTTCAGGCATGATTTTGACGAAGTTTTAGCTTTGAAGCTTCACCATGTCTCCTCCACACTGCAACTATGCAAAGAACAACTTTCTAAAGAGGACGGCGATTTGAAAGTTTTACTCAAACAGTGAGTGTGTTTTGTTGGTACTCATGAAGTATGTGAACCGAGATGGCGGAAACCGTAACGTAGTATGTGTACCAGGTTAGGGTTAGGCCATAATTTAAGTTACAAATACTACGGGAGTCATTTGGCTAGCCCCCGAACTCGCAATAGAACTAAAATAAGAAAAATTGGAATAAAATTATGGCCTAACCCTAACCTGAAACACATACTACATCCCAGTGTCCGCCATCTTGGTTCACATACTTCAGGAGCGCCGTTTTGTTTGTTTAATTTTTCTGTAGTCAAAGACTTTTTCTTCAAATTGCTTCCAAAAACTTGCTGTTTTGTTTTAATCCACAAGACAGCCTTGAGCCTCTGGAACGTTTCATTGAGGTTTCACTCCACAAGATGGTTGAAAGCCACTGGCCTTATTCTGGGCCAATATACAGCTGTAACTTATTAACCTCAACTCATTACAGACTACTGAAGGAAAACGACATTGGCATCAAACTAGGATGTGAAAAATTGATCCGACAATCATTATTGAAGTTTCCCTACACAGATTTACCGCTACTGGAATATCTTGTCAAAGCGCTGGCACCTACAAAAATGGTATGTTGCAATTTTTTTACTTATGAAATTAAAGGTCTCGTGTTCAAACTTCGTGCCCACTGACACCCAGACTGTAGCTAATTTAAGATTTTATCAAAGCTATGTTGTTCATGTTAAAAATTCTACTGATACACATTGTTATAATCTTGAAGATATTTTTCTATACAACGGTTATTCAAACGTTTTGCTTCGAACACATTTCTTTACAAACGGACACAGATGCATGATGGTGGGCTTTGGACAACTGATAAACAGTCGAATCTTACATTTTAACCATTTTGCCACGCCATCTGTTTTGTTTGCACTGTTGTTCACCGCATTCCCCCAATTTATTATGAATTTTTGGGCTTTGCAATAAGGTTCTTTCACTCCCAGCAGCTTTTTAAAAATATTTACTGCTTTCGAAGAGCCTTGTCAAGAGAGAAAGCACAAAAATTATTTGGTCAATTTAATTGTTTTTATTGTTTCTTGTCAACTTTGTCGGAAGCGTGAGACTTATTAACTTTGTTGACATCACAGGTTAAAATTTTCGGACCCAAATCTCATGTCCCCCACTTGACCCAGAGTGTATTAAATTGTTAAGCAATTCCAAACCGGAAATAAAGAAGCCCCAGCATATCAATGGTGTTTACTGTTGTGAATTAATATTTTATTTAACACGAGCAATACTCAACATAAACAGATCATTTGTCACCACAAATAACAGAATATAAAGTCAGACATAAGCTCTGCTACACCAAAGTACTGATACCTTTGAAGACCAGCATGGCAGTATTTATATCCAGGAAGCATACTCCAGTGGTTTTACCCACAATGCCATACCATCAAGATGTGCTGTCATTGGTCAGTTAATGAGTGGGAAACAGAACACTGCTATCCCAGGATGCCAATCACCTGGATAAAATGTGAATGAGAACACAAAAGTTAACGAATGGCTGCATCTGCAGAGTCTTGTTAGAAGCAAAGGCCATATAAATTTGACATGTAAAACAATCCACTTTTGCACAGTCTGTACTTTTAATTTTGTTTTTTAATTTTTGTAACACAGGGTGAAGAGCCCTCAGCATTAGGTAGTATGCAGACGGTATTCAACGGCATGCAGTCAATGCGAGGGGTAGATAGTTGGTGTGCAGCTTGTGGTGAAAGGAAAACGGATTTAAGATGCAGCGCTTGTAAACAGGTAAAAATTAGGCCTCCTCCCAGGACAAAAATTTTTTCTTTGCTTTTTGGAGAAAATCTGGAAAACCTGAAAACATACTTTGTTTTCTACATATCAGTCCATTACTCGTTGCCAACCCTTTTTTCAAGAACCCAAATTTGTTGAAAAATAAATTTTGTAAAATCTCACGACTCGAAAATGCACTCAAATACAAGACGAAATGTACTGCTAACGTCTTTAATATTAGGAAATTAACTGACTGACTAATAACATCAAGATGACGCTGTGACACTTTTCACATACACAACTACTATTAGCCAAACAGGCCCTTTTTTAGAGAGATTATGCTATAACAACCAATAAAAAAGAGTAGCCATTATTTACATAACCACTTTTTCAGGTAAATCTTTTTTCTTAGTACTTATTCCTTACACACGGCACTACATCTACCAGAGAAGATTATAAATGCAGATTCTAAGCTTCCTATTTGAGAAGTGGCTACTTATCTACGGCCATCCTCAATGTGAAAATATCATAAAACCCGCTGTATGAGGCAACGGTTTTTAAAGCAATACTGGTGCTGGTTTTGAGTGTAGGCAATGAAGCATAAAGCACTATCTTATTTAAACATTAGACCAGGGGTTCCTAAACTTCATTGGCCGCAGGCCAAAATTTGAATCGGAGGCATGTTTGCGGGCCGGAAGAGTGTAGCACTCGAAAGTGCGTAACATGTCTAAGCTCTTATGGTTCATAACTAAATTACTGCCCTATGTAATCATAATACCGGTACGAATAACTGAGAAAACGCTTTAATTGAATTGTTACGATAAAAACACGTGCTTAAAGTGTGATAATGGCATAACACTTGGCACTATCTAGAATGCAAGAAGGTGAAACAAAATCTGTTGCACACTATTTCACTCAAGCTTGACGGGCCATTTTAAATCGTTACGCGGGCCGGATTTGGGAACCCCTGCATTTGACGCATCTGCTTATGAAGCGCACAATTGATATTTGAGAAAAAGTTATAAAAAGTACGCTATAAAATAAATCCAACCCATAAAATATGGCAATCATTAGTTTCGTTATTCTTTTTGCACACATCTCATTTTCATTGTTTTTTATATTTTTCAGATTCGGTACTGCAGTCAGCGTTGCCAGAAACTACATTGGTTTGTTCATAAAAAGAAATGTGTCAAGTCAGCAAAAAAATAATGATGAATTAGCAAAAAATAAACATGAGTCAGCGAATAAACAATGATGAATCAGCAAAAAATAACCATGAGTCAGCAAATAACTAATGGTGAATCAGCTAATAAATCTGTTACTGAATAATTTCCCTTGAGAGTTGATCACGATTGAAAATGGATCAGTATCCAATCTTAAGCTCATAAAAATTGGTATAGCTGTGTTTCTTTTAATATATCGATGACGTCATTACCTTTGACTTCATCATTTTTTATTGCTCTTTATAAATTTATCGCATTTGCATTTACCGTAACAGCTTTTTACATTTCAAAAAGGGGGTTCAGATCCTCAACCCCTCTCCATTACCATGAGGGAGTCGTAACTGAACTCCTCATTTTTAAAATCCGTGTGGCATTTCAATACTAAATGTTACAAATTAGTCGACACTCAGGTAACAGCTGCTAGATTTTCATAAATTTATTTGGTAGTCGGGGAAAAATGTGGAGGGTACATCTGAGGTAGTACGAAAATGTATTCATTCGTGTGATTTTTCTGTGAGCGATAAGTTACAAATAGTGATAATGTGATCTTATGATAATGTGGGAGACACTTTGTATTTTTTTTTTCATTGGGGGGTGGGGTATTAGCACACGCCCCCTGACTGGTGCTTTGAGTGTTTCCAACTTTGATATTGATTGCCAATACAGCCAACTATAGCTGGAATTGATCCTTTTTCGTTATCTTTTGTGTCGTCAGTATGGTCTGAAATTTTATAGCTTTTATGATGTCAATCATGTCTTGTTTGGAATAAAGTTTTTGGTTACATGTTAGTTTATTGACTCGGCGGCTATCGCATCCGGGGTTGTGCTGCTAAGACCAGTACAGGGAGTCCTCGGGTTACGACGGTCGCGACTTACGCTGTTTCGAGGTTACGAACGCACTCCATATAAATATAAAAGATAATACTGTACTGTAATATCTAAGCCCTTAAACTGGATAATTGTGATCAAGAAAATCAGTGCTTTGGGCCCATTGGTTTTCCTCGTTTACATCGTACTTTTTGCATTATTTGTACATTTTATTACAGTACCATACTTTACAATACAGTACGATATGTATAGAGTAATTTATGTACTGTACAGTATAATGTTCCGACTTACACTGAAATTCGGGTTACACCGCGTCTCCAGAGAACGGAACAACGTCGTAAGTCGATCTTCCATGTCTTCCTCCATAGGCGTAGCCACAGGAGGGGTAGCGGAGACCCCGCCTCAAATTTCAACATTCTTAAACAATTTACTGAAAAATGCCTTTTCCTGGATTGCTATCAATAATCTTTTCACAAAATGAACCAAACCAGATTGTAGAAAATGCGTGCTTATATGCCTTGGATAACTTCGACAGCGAAGTAAGTTTGCAGAGAGATTATTTACGATATTGTTAGATATTAGCTTTTATCTATCCTCGTTCCGAGCAAAAGACACGACTAAGCGTCGCATTGCGTCGATCTACAACAAAGTTGGAAGGAAGTTGAGGTATGCATGGCATTGACGGAAGCCCTGGGCAGACGTCATGCTATTTGGCACTAAGCATGCGTGGAAGCTCGGGGACGAAGCCTCTGCCTTGCAATGCATAGCAAATACGGAAGCCCCCATGTATGAATGACTGTTGCCCACCCCGCGACATGACTACGAAGCGTTAGTACCACTATGACTCGGCAATGACGTGTCTTTCAGACACTGATCCGAGACTGGGAAAATTCTGATCCGTAAAAAAAAAATCTACAACAAATGTACTCCCCCCTCCTCCCACACAAAAAATAGGGTTGACTACGATCTTGTCAATATACACTACTTAGCACGGTTGTGTGCAGCCATGACTCGGGCAAAGCGACAAAAAGATTTAAGTGTATAATGTTACAATTAGGGCTGGGAATGGTTAATCGGTTAACCGATTTTAGATGGTTAACGGTTACTATTTATTTTAACCATTAACTGACATCTTAGGTACAAATCATGTTTATAATGTACAATTTTTTCAAAAATGATTACGTCAACGCAAATTTATCTCCTGTGGCATTTAATTCGCAATAAATGTGAACAATAATTGAAGTACCAAGATTGCTCATCATGAAAATTTGACAATGATGAATTGAGTTTTCGGTAAAAATATTTTGTTAACGATTTTATTCCAAAATCGTATATTCAATGTCATCCAACAAGTGCGCTGTTTTTCTTTATGATTTCTCAGAGTAGAATTTGCACGTCGAACACTGAAAATTTGTCACATAAATCAGGTTTTATTAAAATACTTCCAGATGTCCGAATCACGCTGCATATCTCTTGTAGCTAGGGCTGGGAATTTCAGGGAAAACACTTTATCCGTTAACTGGGCAAAATTAACCGGTTAACCGCCGCGTGACATTTGACGTAATAATTTATAATTTCAGCTTGTTACATCACAATGTTTATAAAGCAATTTCGCGTGTTCTTATCCCGGTATCGCTTATTAAAATTATTCACGAATCGAGATAGTTTCATGATTGCTCTGCTGCAAAAGATAGGCAGCGTGGTTCGGGCGTGTGGAAGTATTTTAGAAAACCTGATTCCGTTGTTAAACGTCATTTATGTGACAAATTATCAGTGTTCGATGTGCAAATTTTACTTCGAAATATATATCAAATAAAGAAAAACTGTGCACTTGTTGTATGACATTGAATATCCGATTTTGCAATGAAACCGTGAACCATACATTTCGAAATCGATCGAAAACTGATTCTGAATTCGTCATTGTCAAATTTCCATAATCAGCAATCTTGGTACTTCCATTATTTTTCACATTTATTGATTCCTTACCCACACAGTTAGTAATATTCTTTTGAATTAAATGCTACAAGAGATAAATTTGCGATGACGTAATCATATTTGAAGAAAGTGTACGGTATGAAGATGATTTGTACCTGAGATGTCAGTTAACGGTTGAAATAAATCGTAACCGTTAACCATCTAAAATCGGTTAACCGGTTAACCGGTTAACCATTCCCATCCCTACTTGTAGCAGAGCAATCACGATACTATCTCGATTCGTGAATAATTTTGAGCGATAGCGGGATAAGATCACCCGAAATTGCTTTGTAATCATCGTGACATAACAAGCTAAAATTATAAATTATTACGTCAAACGTCACGTTACGGTTAACCGGTTAATTTTACCCGGGCAATTACTTTTCTGAGTGAGCCAGTAACACATTATAGACTTGGTTAATGGGCCGGAAGTTCAAAACTCAGCATTTAAAAAAAATGAATAATAAAAACAGATTGTTTGCAACAGCTAGGCTAACGTTTATATAATAATATTAAGCAAAGACGTTACATTGAAAGCATTACATTGAAAGCGATACATTGCGTCCTAGATAGCGCCATGTGTTACGTCATGATAACAGTTTAAGCACAGTCATGTTTATTGTGACAATTCAATTAGGATTTTATAGGGCACTAATTTAGTTGTCAACCATATAAGAAAACTAGACTCTGGAAACAGACATTCTTCAGATAAATGGCAGCGGTTGTGAATCCACTGAACTCCATCTAAACCAGGGGTGGCCAACCTATGGCGCATGCGCCAAACGTGGCGCATTGCATGATTAGAGGTGGCGCATTGCATTTTTAACCCTTTTCATGCCAAAATTGTTAATTGCACTTGGCTTCTCCACGCCAAGCCGTTTTTTTGCGATTTACATGGTGACTTTTGATTGTACCTAAAACCTATTCTTCTTACTCCACGTCGCCCACTTACGGCTTGTTGGAATTAGAAACAACAGGCGAAAATCGACGTTAGCTTTTGGATGGACTTTATGACATTCATTATAGACTTTTAGCAAAAATTAGTAAAATTTACTATTTTTTCCCTACTGAAGTAAAAAGTTCAGAACTTCTGGAAAAATAGAAAATCGTCATTTATCAGCTTGAAACATGGATTTTCCATTGCCCAGACTTCCCAAATATCTCCCAATAACCATTGAACAACCAGTTGAATTGCCCAAGCCTAAACAAATTTCTTATAAATCAACCCACAACATGCTGAAAATGACCCCTAAATACCACCTTTTCCATCCAAATTTCAAATGACCGTTGTCAACAAAAGCAAAGTGTAAAATCGCTTGCTGTGACGCAAGTACTAATCTCGAAGAAGCCCCTGGAGTAGAATCACGCGACGCTAGGCCAAACAGCTGATTAGCAAAGGCCAATTAGAATCGAGGGTAGAGTGGAGTAGAGATTGATACTAAGGGCCTGTTGTCACAATATTACGCCTAACTTTACTTCCTAATCGTACCTCACATAAAAGAACACCGTGAATGTGCTGCTGGTAATGGCAATTTGGCAATATACACAGAAAAAATCAAGTTATTGCAAGAGTTATTTGAAAGTCGTTTTCATGATATTTCAAAAGAAGAAGACTCTATACTTGCTTATATAAACCCATTTTCACTTAGTGAACTAACCATAATGAAGATGCCAAGCAATATACAATTGGAACTAATTGACTTGAAAACTCATCCATCATTGAAAATTTAATTTGATGAGCTTTCTTCAGTCCCAAGTGCATCTGACAGAATTAAGTTCTGGCAATCGTTACCCCGTGAAAATTTTCCAGAACTGAGAAAATTTGCCCAGGGTTTTATATGTCGTTTCGGAACAACATATAGATGTGAACAAACATTTTCTGCCATGAAACTAATTAAAAGCAAAGCGAGGTCAAGACTTACAGATTTAAATTTGAAGAATGCACTGCTCCTCTCAATAACAAACTTAACTCCAAGAATAAAAAAAACTGGCGAAAGTAAAACAGCAGCAAAAGTCTCATAAAAGCGGTACTTAAAATTAATCAGTTTTATTCATTATACTTCCTTGCTTAATTTCTATTCATGTGAAGTTGTAAATTGTAAAAACTACATATACGTGTGTATATATGTGTGTGTATCATAGATTTATATAATTTCAACAAGAAGCGGACATTAAGCGTGGGAATACAAGAGATTTACGGCGCATCTGAAACATTATGTTTAAAACGTGGCGCATGGTATGTGAAAGGTTGGCCACCCCTGATCTAAACCCTTTTGTGCACTACACTCTTCCGGCCCGCGAACATCCCTCCGATTCTAATTTTGGCCCGCGGCCAATGAAGTTTCGGAACCCTCGATCTTAGTGTTTCATTACCTCTAAACTGGTGAAATTCTGAGCCTGATGTTACGGGCAGATTAAACAGAATTTACTTCTTATCACCAAGGTTTGGAAAGAGTTTCTCAAATTTGGTCCTTGGCCATTTTAAGGTCACTGACCATGAAAGTATCAAAACCGCTAGGTCATTGGTTCTCGACTAGGGTTGCCAGATATAAAAAGTTTCAATAAAGGACATAGAATACCGTCATCATTTATTTTGTAACTTGCAGGAAAGAACAATATAAAGCAATGAAAATATAAATATATACTGAAACAATCTTCATGTGTTTTTCATTTAATGTTTATTTAACATTGACCCAAACAATGTTAATAAAATTGTTACTTCTTTGGCTATTTGAGTCGGACCAAAACGGAATTAAAGAGAATAGTTGAAAGCTTGCAAATACATAAACGGAGGCAATTTTTTAAGACCGGAACAATATCAAACCCAGTACTATAACTATCAGGCGAAACGACGTTGGAAAGAAAAAAGGACAATTAGCATATTTTCTAAATGCTAAAAAGGACAAGGACCGAAAAGCTTGATTAAAGGATTGCCCTTTGAAATGAAGGACGGTTGGCAACCCTATTCTCAACCATGGGGTCATTGA